CGGGCATTCCAACAGCAACGGCGACGGAGCAGGCGATGAGGAGGGCTGAGGTACAGGAGACGTCGAGGGGCGAGGCAGCGGCGGCTGCGGTGGAAAAGGGAAACGTCGCAGCGGCGACTGCGTCGGTGGAGGTGGTGGGGGAAGTGGCTGCTGCCGCGGAGGTGTCCGCGGAGGCTGTGACGGCATTGGGGCGGGCTGGCGGAACTGCCGCCGCTTTTGGCGGCGGCTCAATTTCACTTTCTGCCAACCACCAGGGGGCACAACAGCAGACGCTGGAGCTGGGTCTGGCGGTGGATCGGGAACCGTCCGAGGCGGTGGGATTGTCTGCGTCACCAGCGCCGGTACCGGCGGCGGTGTTGGCTGCGGCGATGACTGCTGCGACCGCGGCAGGGAACCTGGCCGACGCCCCGATCGAGGGGGAGGCATCGGTGGCCGCTGTGAGCGCCGGAACATCTGCTGCTGCCGAGGGCGCAGACACGCAGGAGCGCGACCAGGCGGCGAGCGGAAGACGGGGTCATGGGACCGGCGCCCCTGAACGCGCCGCTCGCGGGAAGGGCGGGAGGAAGCTCCGTGCCCAGCCAGCGCCGAGGCGGCCCGGAGCAGGGCTGGGGCCTGGCGCCCCGGGTCCCCTCCGGGGCTGGAGTGAGCAAGAGCAGCCGCCACTATCGCCAGAGCGTCAACCTCCATCTGTGGGACAAGAAAGAGGGGAAGGCGGTGAGGAAGCTGACGTCAGGCACGTGGGAGGACACATCGCCCCGGATGCAGCGACTACACAAGGCCCACAGCGGGAAACACGGAGTTCCACCCGCTCACAAGGAATTACCTGGGGCCGTCCGAGGTTGGGACTGGCGAGACAGACACACTCACCGTGGATACCGGCAGGAAGAGCGCCACAGGCCGGGCGAGGGGGATGGAACGACGAGAGCCGGACCGGGGAAGGAGCGCCTATCCGTGGGGCCCGAGGCGGAGGACGCGGGGCAAGAGGTGGTAGAAGGGGCGGGGGCGCAATCGTCGGCGGAAGGGAGGCGCTTGTGAGATCAGGAACGTGGAGGGAACGCCACGACCGCCCGGAGCAGGAGGCACCACCGACGAATCAGGAGGAGGGGGACACTGGGAATGGGGATGACGGGGGGGATTATGTAGCCGAGACCCCCGAAACCTCCGAAGAGTTCTCGCTGGAGGCGGAGGGAGACACTACAGGAAGAGAGAGGGGACGGAGAGAGATTGGGAGAAACCCCCAGGACAGAAACCCCGGGGAGAGAGACCCCCAGGAGAGAAACCTCCACGAACAGGGAGAGATCGGAGCAGTGACGAGTGGGAGCCAGAGAGCAACCGGGCAACCCAACGTACAGTCTCCGGCCGAGCTGGCGGCAAACGAGGCAAACTGGCAGCAGGCAGCCACGTGGGAAGTTGCCCCACTTCAGCGGGGGGACCAACCTTTCTTGGTTCGGAGGATGCTCCCCAAAATTTTGGAAAGCTACACCCTCTGCGTGCTGGCACCACTCCTACGCCTGCAGAAATATCCCGACTGTCCAGGTGCATGGGTGATCCTGCAATTCCTCCCGAGGCTGACCTTGCGGCCCCTTCTCGAACCAGTTCAAGGAAGTCGGTGGATTGGAATCGAGGAAAGGTTGCACCGTTTCCAGCAAGGCAGCTGGGCGGAACTCTTCGAGGAGGCTAAGGTCATCCCCGATACGGAGAACCCGTCACGCCACCAGGCCGATGACGCTGGACTCTGTGCTAGGGCGGAAGGACTTATGAAGAAGGGTAATATCTCGAAAGCAGTTGCAGCGTTACGCGCAACCCCACTCGCCGAGGCCACACCAGCGACACTCACTGCACTGCAGGCGAAACACCCCGATGGTGCATCGCCCCCGGCCATGTTCGTTTCCGGCTACACTCATTCGGAGCTGCGGGTAACACCAGATGACCTTCGCGAAATACTCAAGCGATGCCCGAACGGAGTGGGAGCAGGCCCATCAGGTACCTGCTTCGAACACCTCAAAGACCCTGCGCTCGCGAGTGAGGAGGTGCTCATACTCCTCGCGCAAATTATCAGCTACCTCCTTAGCACCTTCCAGACCCAGGCGGTCCGCGGTCTGCTTCTGCCCTCGAGACTCATCGCTCTGGAAAAACCGGGAGGAGGCGTTAGGCCCATCGCGATAGGAGAAGCAATACTTCGCGTAGTAGCAAAAGCGGCTTTGAGGGAACTAGCACAGACCATTCGTGAGTATTTCCTCCCCGTTCAGTTTGGGGTGGCAGTCACTGGCGGCGCAGAGTGCGTCGTCCACTCAGTCCGATCACTGCTTAAGGAAGACGAGAGCCGAGTAGCGCTACAGCTCGATATTGAGAACGTCTTCAACAGTGTCGAACGGCCGGCATTCTTTCGGGCGCTCTCGCAATCGAGCCTGTTACCACTCCTACCCCTCGTACGCACGCTTTATGACGGCCCGTCTCGGCTCCTAGTGGACCACAAGCTTGGCGTCGATCAGATCATGAGCAACCGAGGAGTTCGTCAGGGTGATCCGCTCGGTCCGCTCCTTTTCGCAACGGCAATCCAACCGACACTCCTGAGCACGGCAACGCTCCTCCCCGAGGTGGCGATTGTCGCCTACGCCGACGACATCACCATTGTAGGCCCCCGGGACGCGGCCTATGAGGCTTTTGTCACTATCACAAGGGAGCTCCGATCGGTTGGCCTCCGCTGCAACATCGCCAAGTCCTCGGGGTGGGGACCGGAGACGGAAGGGGGGAATGAGATCCCACCACCGCAGGGCCTGCCCATGAACACCAACGGCATCGGAATTTTGGGAAGCCCGATCGGCACGGCTGAATTCTGCACAGACCAGGCACAGACAAGCCTCACAGAAGCGGCCGCACCGCTGCCCCTGATTGCTCAGCTGCACCCACAGCACGCTATGCTAATACTCTCGCGGAGCATTTCCCGCAGGATATCGTACCTGCTGCGGTCCACCCCGGCTACAGTGCTGGAAAGGGAGGAGTGGAGGTCGTGGAGCGAGACTCTGATGGCGACAGCCCTGGCGGCAGCAAAGCTACGGGTCCCAGCAAGTGAGCTGGAACAGAGCCTGCTGTGGCGGCAAGGAACCCTTCCCGTCAGGCTGGGGGGGCTAGGCATCATTGACCCTACCTCGGAGGCACCGGCGGCCTACATCGCGTCGGTAACGGCAGCCCACACCCTACTGCGGCAGATGAACCTGCCAGAGGCGTACCTGCTGAGGAGAGCGGCCACACGGCTGGACCATGCGTGGAGCCCTGCCCCACCTGAAGTTAACCAGCTAGCGCCACTGGAGGCAGCCCTGCCGGCATCAGCACGAACCGCACTACAGGCGTTCAGGGAGCAGCCGGCAGGACAGGGCAACCTTCAACTACTACTCTCCCGCCACATCTACGAGAGACGGACAACGGAACTGCTGGCTGACACGATCACAGACCGCCCAGGCACACACCGCGGGCACGCCATCCGCCTCATCAGCCTACAGGGGGTGGGGACAGGGGACTGGCTACATGCAGTGCCTTCGAGAGCTGACCTTACATTTGCCCCTGGTCAGTTCTCCTTGGCGCTGGGGTTCCGCATGGGCATGTCCCTGCCGGTCACTGAGAAGTGTCCCTGCAAGAGAGAGTATTCAGACATCAACGACATGAGTCTGCCGAACCATCTCCTTAGGTGCGGGTACGGGGGCGACGTCGTTAGAACGCACAACGCGCTAGTGTTTGCAGCCCTCAGGATGGCAAGGGAAGCGGACTTCACGTGCTTCCACGAGACATCAGCTTTTTCCCCACCGATTCTCAGGAAGAGGGGAGACCTGGCGATTCGAGACAAGGAATCAAACGAGACCTGGGTTACAGATGTGACAGTGACTGACCCTGTGCTTCAGCAGCGCGACACCAGGGCACGGAAACCACCAGGATGGGCGGCTGAGGAGGCCTCGGCTAGGAAGCACAGGGAATATGAGGATCGGCCAGCCTACGTCGGCTTCTTTGGCCTCGCAGTTGAGACGTATGGGGCTCTGTCCTCGGACACACAGGAGTTCCTACGGCTACTGGCCACCTCAGCAGCCAAGAAGAAGTACCGCCAGGGGAAGTTGACAACGACGACTGCACGGCTCACCGCACACTACCGGCAGCGCTGGTCAGTGATGCTGCAGCGCTCCCAGGCGACATCCTACCTGAACAAGTCAAACCTCTCTGACGAGGCAGCGTTCCCCCAGGCTGCTCGGGACCCTTGGGAACCCAGCCTGGGGGACCTCTGGCAAGTGCTGGAGGATGAGCTGGAGGGGGTGAGGGCTCAGTAGGCGGGAGTAGGTGTAGGCCAGTGATGTAGCCATGGCTCGGTTGCTGCATGTTTGGCCTGAATGACCAGCCTGCCTGGACTGCTGACCGTGCTTGGCCTTGCCCTACAGAGCCCTGCTTTGCTGGTTTGTGTGTTTGGTTGTTGGCTTGGCCTGCCTCACCTGACCGGTTCGTCTGTGTGCAGATGTCCTGCTCGTTTCCCGCTCCTGCCATGCATGATTAGTAGCCCCAAATGCCTAGGCCTGCCTAGCTCTATTCCTGCCATGCCTGTACCCCTATGAACCTATCAATGAAGGACTGCTTGAGAGAGAGAGAGAGAGCACAAGAGAGAGAGAGAGACAGAGAGAGAGAGAGAGAGAGAGAGAGAGAGAGAGAGAAAGAGAGAGAGAGAGAGGTGGAGGGGGGGTGGAGGGGGGAGAAGGGGGGAGAGGGGCTGGGGGTGGGGATGGGCAGAAGGTGGTAAGAGGGCAACAGTGAGGGGGAAGAGAGGGCATAGCGAGGGGAAAGCAAAGGGCATGGGGGGAGGAAGGGAGGGGCAGGGAGGGAAGAGGCTGACCGTGCAGAGGGTAAAAATGAGGGGCACCGATGGTAGGAAACAAGGGCAGGGGTGCGGGAAATCAAGGGCAGGGAGGGGAGAAGCGATGGGTGCAGGGTAAACAAAGGAGGGGCAGAGGGGGTACAAGGTAAGCTCAGGGAGGGAAAAAACGTGGGGCAGGGAGGGGAGAAACCATGGACAGGGGCATGGGCGGCCAGGGGCAGGGAGGGAACAAAGGAGAGGCACGGAGAAAGAATGGGAGGTGCAGGGAGGGGAGAAACCGGGCGTGGGGTGGCGGAAAATGAGGGGCAGGGCAGGGAGGAGGTAGAGGCAGGGAGGGGAGAAGCTGAGCACAGGGAGGGGGAGAACGTGGGGCAGGGAGGTGGAAAGCCAAGGGCAAGGGGGGGAGAGTGGGGGGGCAGGGAGAGGGGGGGGGAGGGGAGCGGAGAAAAGCAGCAAGGGGCAGAGAGGGGAGAAACCAAGCGCTGGGGGGCGAGAAATGAGGGGCAGGGTGCAGATTGAGGAGAGGCAGGGAGTGGAGTAGGTTAGCAAGGGGAAGGAGAAGGTAAACGAGTGGAGGGCACGGGTGGGGAGGAACGAACGGCGGGCGGTGGGAAACGGCGACGGGGGGGCAGGGAGGGTCAAAAGGGGCGGCGAGGGAACGGGCACACGGAGGGTAGGGGCAGGGGGAGCGGATTGCATAAGGGGGCAGGGGGTGTGACTATGAAGGGGGGACCCGGGCAAGGAGTGTGTACCGGTCGGGGCACGGGATTGTCGTGGTACGATCATACCTCGGCTACTACGCCGGATCCCATCAGAACTCCGAAGCTAAGCGCCGGTGGGCGAGAGCAGTTATTTATTGATAAGGGAAATACAATCACAAGCCGGATATAAGTGTTTTTCCAAAAGGAGGAAATTTTGGCATAACCACTGCTCTATGAGGACGATATATATTGTTTGTAGGGAAGAGAAGTAAGAAAGAAGAAGAAAAGGTCAAGGAGTGAAAAGAAGTAGTAGGGAAAAGAAGAGAGTGGTAGGAAGAGAAGAGAAAAGATAGAGGAAGGGAAAAGAAAGAGGGAGGTGGGAAGAGGAGAGGAGAGAGGGAAAGAGACTAAGGAGAAGGAAGCACCAAGGGACCAGACACGGCAGCAACCCGCACAAACAATCGCGGGCACAGCATTTCAAGCACAGCCACTAAACTCTCTACACATATGCATCATACATATATTGCATATCGGCAACACTCTCGAAGCACCCTGTGATATGGTTCCAGGTACCCTGCCCCGCACCCAGTGGGACGGGTGCGGGCATCCACCCGTCGTCGGATCCCCCCAACTGCCGCACCGCATGCTGTAAGATGCATTGAGCCTGCGCGCGCTGCAGTGCCACGGAGAGACGTGTAGTGAGTCCTGTCTCAAATTTCCGTGCCGATCAGTCATGCCCCCCTCCCCAATCCCTCCTCCGCTGTGCTATCCTCTTCGCGCAGAGCCCCAGGAACTGACGCAACGGCTCGCTCAGTAGGCCAAAGGTCTCAGCCACACACGCGTAAAACTGTGGTGCCGGCTGCAAACCCTCTTGGTGCGGCCCCCAGTGACGCAGCTTCTCCTGCACCCGCCTAGCTGCTGCCACTCCAATTTGTGTGGGGGTCGCCCGTCTCAGCTGCACGTTCCCCTCCCGCTATGGATCCGCTATGGAGACATCCACAAGAACCATCATCATAGTCTGCCCAACGTCACGGCAGGTGAGGTCTGGGATGCGGGAGGAGGTGCCTGCACGGCCTGTGCGTCCGGCTGGTCCCTGCTGCTGCGCTGGCTGCTGCCCTGTCTGGTCCCTCGGTGCCTCCTCTCCAGGCGTCTCTCTCCCCCTATCCTCTCCTCCACCCACCTGTCCTCTCCCCTCCCCCTCTCTACCCTCCCCTCCCCCTCTCTACCCGCCCCCAACCCTCCCAACCCCCCCTGCTCGATCCCTTGCTGCCTCTCTCACTCCCTGAACCTCACCTCCCAATCTCCCCGCCCCCCCTGTACCCCCGTCCGCTCTCTGCTGCTCTCGTCCCTGCCCCACCCCCGAGCCCACACCCTGAGGCGCGGCGCCCTGACCCTGCGACCTGTGCTGGCTCTCCTGCTGCTGCCTCTGCTGTCCCCCCTCTCCGCCCTGGCTGGTCTGCACCCCCTGCCGTCCCCTCTGCCCACCTGCCCCTCGCGCCACCCGACCCCGCAGCTGATGCTGTCCCCACTGTGCCCCGCCGCCCGGCTGTCCCGCCTCAGCCCTCTGCTCCAGTGGTCCCCCAGCCCGTGTCCCCTCTCCCACCACCGGCTGTCCCTGCAGTCTCGCTCGAGCTGCCTCCAGGTGTGTGAACAGCGTAGAGTCCTCCACCTTCACCGCGAAGCCCGCCTCGACAGCAGCGCGAACTTCACCGTGTCTTGGATGACAGTGGCGACGCCGAATCGTGGGCACCGAACCGCGTGGTGAGGCACCGTCATGTCGTCGATCGCCTGTCCACAGGAGCACCGACCTGTGAGGGCTAACTGAGGGACAGGGAGACCAAGACGACATGATGAAGCCACATGCCACTGCGCCTCCGGAATGCGCAGGGCGTACGCGTATGGCACCGCCTGCAGCCACGCTCCTGCACCTACGCCCTGAAGGGAAGTCAAACGGGCAAGGTGCAAGGGAGAGGTGTGACGGGCACGCACGGCCTCCAAGGCATGCGCCTCCAGAAGGCGGCTCGCTCCTGCAAAAAGGGAATCGGGGGAGGTAGAGGCACAAGAGGGCCAGGGTGGGAGGAGAGAGAGGATGTCAGGTGGAAGGCCCTCCAGCGTCGTCCGTAGGGAAGGGTCGATCTGCTCCGTCTCACCGGAAGCAAAGCTCTGCCGAAAGACCTCACCGCACACAGGGAGAGAACAGAGGATGGGTGCACACTGCACCCAAGAGCACACGAAACTCACCGGGGCAATGCGCTCCATGCGACGAATGCCGAAACCCCCAAGGCGGATGGGGAGGAAGATCTGGTCGCTGGCGGCATCTCTGACGTCCTCGCAGCATGCCCAGGTCCCTGACGCTAAAAGCTGCTGAAAAGTCTCTCCCAGGCGTGCGTCCCAGCGTGCGAAGCTGGAGAGCACTGCGGGCGAGGGAGGGACAGTCCTCGACAGGTACTGCGGGCGAGTGCTGACACATGCCGAAAGAAGGCGAGCTGCTGTCTGGGGCTGGCGCAACCTCGGGAGCCAAGGTAGCACCCTCCCCATCTTCTCGAGACGATCCGGGACGCTGCGCTCCACAAACGAAACGGTACCCACCAGCACGCCCGTCACAGTGAATCCTCGGCGTGCGACCTCGACCCCAAGACTCGTGAAAGCCTCCACGTCCCTGGACAAAAAAGACTCAGTCTGGTAGACGAGGCACTTGTGCGATTCGAGGCCCATCTCGCCCAAGCGCCTCACGATCTCGGAGAAATGGTGTAGCACCATGTCTGGGGGGCCTAGCACGTACGTGTCATCGGCATACGACCAGAGCTGGACATCGCCCTCCGTCAAAACCGGCTCCAGGGCAAGTCGCTGTGTCAGAGCGTACAGGAAGGGACTGAGGGGGTCTCCCTGGCGACTGCCACGCTCCGAGTGCATCGTGACCACTCCCTCACCTGTCCTGTAGTGGAGATCTGAGGGTGTCCCGTAGAAAAGGCCGATGAAAAGGATGAGGCACTGGAACTCTGGGCTGGCATGCAAAGCCTGGAACATCATGTCTCGGTGAAATGAGTTAAAGGCGTTCGCCACGTCTAGCTGCAGGACCACCTAGTCCGGGTGGTCAGCCAGAGCACGGCGGACACCTCTAACTACGACCTCTGTGCCACACGTCACCCCCACCCCAAACTGCTGGGACGCCAAGAAGACCCTCGCCATCTGGTCGCGTAGCTGGAGGCAAACTGCTCGCGAAAGAATGCGGACCAACACCTCGCCAATGGCAATCGGCCGAACATCCATGTTCAACTTCGCCAGAGCCACGAGGGTGGAAGACGCCAGTAAAGAGCGCGTAGCTGGAGCGCAACGACCTCGGAGCCACTGCTGGTACACGGCTAGAAGAGAGGGGAGACTCTGAGGGAAAGCCAGGAAAGTGTCTCGAAGGTGCTCAGCAACCCACCCGGACGGTCCCCCCGAGGAGCCACGCGGGGCTGTGAAGATGGCGCGACGTAGGTGATCCGTCGAGAGCACGAGAGCAGTCCCCTGGTAGTCCGACAGCCAAGCTGGGGTCGGCCTCTCCGCGTTGGGGTGCTTCGACTTCAGGCGCTGTGTCGTCCCCTGTGTATCTGGGGCGGCCTCCGCGGACTCGAGAGCCGCGCAGGCTCGTGAGGTCTCATTGCACGCTGCCAGACGGAGGCAACGTGCAATGCGACGCTCATCTGCGGTGGACTGGGTGGCGACGGGACGTGCGCGACGTGAAGGGGGGTGCGACGGATCAGGGCCTCAGAGAGTAGCTCTGTCCACTCACCTCGCATGAAGCGGGAGACCCGTGCTGCGATGGCAGTCGTGTGCGAGCGGTCTGGCGGGGTCGCCTGCGTCAGGAGAAGTGTGGGTGCAGCGGCGAGGAGGAAGTTAGGGCCCGGAGCCTCGGGATACTGGGATACACGGGCTAAGATCGTTTACAGGACGTCAAGATATCCTCCGCGAACCCTAGTTGGAATGTGTCGGAAAGGGCGGGCGTGGGTGCGCTCTGGTGAGAAATACTCAGACCAATCGAAGTATTCCAACGTCTGCCACTGTGCATATGTGAAATGCGTCCTCGTCCCCTGTGGCTCCGAGAGGGATGGGAGGACAGATGAGGTGTCGTGGAGGGCCTGTGCCCTACGAGCTGCGTCCGCAGGATGGCAGAAGGGCGTGTGGTGCTGAAGCGCGCGTCGGTTCGCGATAGAGCTCCTGCAGGTGGGGCATCTCACGACCTGGTCGGGTGATGTCGCCGTGTCGGTGGGGTAGATCGGGGCCGTGGCGTCTGAACTGGCTGTAGAGGGGACCCCATGGGCGGCCTGGACTCCAAGAGGATCACCTAGGATAAGGGGAAGAGAGGACTTGCCGGCCCCGTGCAGGGGGGGTGTCTGAGAAGATAGAGGTGGTGCCACACAGGATATGGCTGGGCCTCGCGGCGGTACCGGTCCCGAAGCTAGGGAGGGGGGAAGTGGAGGTGAGCCTGAAGTGTGTGCCGTGGTGTGCCCCTGTCCGTCGGCGTGGTGCGGTCCAAATGGCGGCTCCGCTACCCCAGGCGGAGGGGTCTCGGCAGGGGCGGATGCCTCATCCCTAAAGCTGGTTCCCTCCTGTGACACGGCAACGGGCTGAACAGGGGGAGGCGCCACCACGTCTCGGTGCGAGTGACACGGCCTCGGAACCAGGTCCGTCTCCATCGGGGACGGGCGTCTGGCTGAGTAGTGGGGTCGATAAGAGAAGGGACAGAACGGGTGACCTCCGCATACGTCCGTGTTCAGACCTGTGGGACTGGTAGGGTGGGGGCAGCCGGAGAGCTGCTCGGGCTCCGTATCGCTAGCAAATCTGAGATGGCAGCCCTCACCTCCTCTGGGGTCCCGGTGACCTGCCTGCCTGCTGGTGAGGGTAGGAGGGCTGGCAGGGTAAAGGGTGGGGTGGGGCGTGCTGGCTGAGCAGAGCTCGGGTGTGGACCCTGCCCTAGAAAGCCCCCTTGGCCCTCCCCAATCACCATGGGTTGCGGTAGGGGGCCGTCGACATGGATGGGGTGGGAGGCATGGGAGGGGGAGTCGGTGGCGTCTGCCATGGGCGCATCCCTCATCCCGTCGGCCTCCATCCCGGCAGCGCACGCGGCTGCCGCCACCTGGGGGGGGTTTAGAGGAAGGGAGAGGCGGCCCGGGGGAGAGTGGGCTGGATCGCTCCCATGGCCTTGTGGAGGGGCAGGTACGGGAGGGGGGTGTGAGTTTGGTGGTTGGCCTACAGGGGTAGGGCCCGGTGCAGGTTCAGTGCGATGTGGGGTGAGGAGGGGCAGTTGGAGGGGAAGGGAGGGAGGGGGGAGTAGGTGAGCTGGCCCCTTGCCGCCTTTGCCTTTCTTCTTCCGTCGACGGCCAACCTGATTTTGGTTGTCCCTGTCTGGTTGTGAGGGAGGGGCGGGCTGAGAGGCTAAGGGGATGGGTGAGGGGAGGATGGGTATCACCTCCCCTCCCCATGACATCACCCTCCGTAGAGGAAGCTCAGTGTGCATCCCCCCCCCTCCCCATGACATCACCCTCCGTGGTGGGCTGTATGTGGGGGGCGATGACTGCCCAACGGGGCCACTCGTGGTGAGGCAGGCTGTAGGCGGGGGTTGTGGGTGGGGGGCGAAGGGCTGGAGCAATGTAGCGGTTAAGGCGTGGTGTTTGCGGTGGAGGGAGTGAGGTCTGTGGTGGCTGCGTGGTGGAAGGGGGGGGATTGAGGGGGGAATGAGGTTCAGAGGTTGTGCCCGCATGCTGTAAGTTGGCACCAGAGCCCCTCCCACTGGAGGCCCCTCCGGTGGGCCCCGCGCCCACGGTGTCGTCGCCTCCCTGAGCTAGGGGCAGGGGCCCTTGTGGGTGGGTCTTGGATGCTTGGGGGGGGGTGGTGTGAGGAGGGTGGGAGGGTTGGGGTTGTGCGGCGAGTTGGGTGATTTGGGTGTGTGTAGGGTGTGGGGCGATGCGGGGATGGAGGCGGGTGTGGCAGGGTTGAGGTTTGAACCTCTGAAATGTGCTTAGCCCCGGGTGTGGGAGGACCCGGAGGGGGTGGGGGTAGTGGGCTGGTGGGGGGTGACTGGATGGTGTTAGGGGTCGCGGAGCACAGCTCCGCCAAGAAGGCCAGGGCCCTGGCTGCTCCCCGTGATGCTAGAGGGAGCCCCTGAGGGTGGGGGCGGGAGTGTGCTGCTCTTAGGGGAGAGGAAGGGGCCGAGGAGGGGTGAGAGGCAAGGATGGGGCTGAGTGTGGGAGGCTCTGCCCTCGCTGTGCCCGCGTGCTCTCCTGGCGGACCGTCTGCAAGCGTGGTGTCAGGCGTTGTGGGAAGAGGGGGGGGCTGGCCAAAACACTGCGTAGGGGTCGGGGAGCACGGCTCTGCCAAGAAGGCCAGGGCCTTGGCTGCCCCCCAGGACGCTACAGGGAGCCCCCGAGGGTGGGGGCGGGGATGTGGTGCTCCTGGGGGGGGGGGGGGGTGGGCTGGAGGATGAGGGGTAAGGATGGGAGCGCCCCCGAGAGGCTCTGTCCTCAAATTCTCCTCCAGCCCCTCTATCGGTCCATCTGCCAGCATGGGGTTGGGCATAAGGGGGAAAGGGGGAACCTCGTCATGAGGCTGCAGGGGGGCTGGGTCGGCCTCACCGTCAGGTGTGAGGTATTGGGCCAGTGGCCCGTCGATGTGCATCCCGTCCTCTATCGCATCCTCGTCCCTCACTATCACTTCCCCTCCTCCAAAAACTCCCCTGGTTGGGACCCCACCCACCCCTCCTGCCCCTGTTGCCCCTATGTCCCTTGAGCCCGCCCCCCCTGCTGGCTCTTTACTGCCAGCCCTTTCTGCGGCCTCTTCCGCTCCAGATACAGCCTCTGTCGGCCCTGCTATGGCCTCTACTGCACCTGCTGCGGCCTCTGCCGCCCCTGCTGGCCGTGCCATGGTTCCCTCTGTTGCTTCGGCTGCAGCCCCAGCTGCTGCGGCGGATGCAGCCCCCTCGTCTGTCTGTGCCGCCTCTGCGGTCCCCTCTCCCGCTGCAGCCCCCGCTGTGCCCTCCCCCGCTGCGGCCGGGGCACCCGCCCCCGCCACACTCTCTCCCAATTCAGCCCCCCCAGCCCTCTCACCTGTTGTAGTTCCTGCTGTCCGCCCTCTTGCTGCACTCCCCCCTGCTGCACTTACCACTGCTGTAGCCTCTACAGCTATCCCCACCACACCACCCTTCTCTGCTACTGCCCCCCCCGCTGCAGCCTCTACTGCACTGCTGCCCGCTACCGCAGCGGCCTCAGCAGCCGCGACAACTGCGGCGGCTGCCGCTTTATCCCCTGCTGCCTGGTGTGCTGCAGCTCTCCCAGTCTCTTCCGCAACTACACCCACCAACCCAGGAGCTGCCCCCTCTGCCACAGGTCCTGCCCCCCCTGACACAGCTCGCAGTGTCCTTCCAGCAGCCTCTGCTGCCCTATCTGCAGCCCCTGCCATCCCAGCTGGGGCCTGTGCCACTCTTGCTGTGGTCTCTGCCGCCCTTACTGTGGCCTGTGCCACTCCTGCTGTGGTCTCTGCCGCCCTTGCGGTGGCCTGTGCCGCTCCTGCTACCCGAGCTTCCCGCGCTATCCGGCTCGTGCCGTCTGTGCCTGCAGCTCTGTCCACTGCGGTCTCTGCCGCCCCTGCTGTGGCCTGTGCCACCCCTGCTGTACGGCCCGTGCTGCTTGTGCGTGCAGCCACATCCTCTGCTGCTCCTGCAGCCCTGTATGCTGCCATTTGTACCGATTCAGGGCCTGCCGCCTCTGTAGCGGCTCCCAGGGCCCTTTGTGGTGCTTCTGCAGCCCCTGCTGCAGCACTCGCCGCCCCGCCTGCGGCTCCTGCCGCCACCACTGTGGCCTCTCCCCCCCTGCTGCGGCCTCTGCCGCCCCTTCAGTGGCTTGTGCCGCCACTGATGCCCGTGCTGTCCCGGCCGTGCCGCTCATGCATGCAGCCCTCTCCTCTGCCGCCTATGCAGCCCCAATTGCTGCCGTCCCCACCGACTCAGGAACTGCCGACCCAGCGGCGGCTCCTGCTGCCCTTCCTGCTGCCTCAGCACCCCTCTGTGCAGTCCTTTCCGTACCAACCGCGGCCTCTGCCACCCCTGGTGCAGCCTCAGCCGCCCTTGCGGCGTTCTCTGCTGCCTCTGCCGTGGTATGTGCCACCTCACGTGTGGATCTTGCAGCCCCACCTGCATCTGCCTCTTCCACATCCATAGTCACACCCCCTGGTGTGCCTCCCTCAGGAGCCTCTGCCGCCCCCAACACATCCTTTGCTGGCCCCACCGCAACCCCAGCTGCCCCCGCCGCATCCCTTGCTGCCTTCACCACATCCCTTGCTGCCCCACCCACAGCTTTTGCTGTCCCACCCACTTTCCCTATTGTCCCGCCCACATCCCTTGCTGCAGCTCCCGCTGCCCCATTTCCCACACCTCCACCCTCTCCTCCTCTCTTATGCTCGGATGGGGCCAGCCCAGTCCTCCCTTTCAGTCCTCTAGTGGGGTCCCTTGTGCTTCCAGGGCTGCGGTCGTGTGCTTGTATCTTTTTGTGTGACCTTTTTTTGGTGTGGGTGCTGGTGGGTGCGGTGGAGAGTGGCTCTGTAACCTGCTGGGCAGCCTCGTTAGCGCCACGTGGAGAGGGGGGCTGTGGGGGAGCAGGTGATTTGCGGTGTGCTTTGGAGCGTGCGTGTGCACCCTCGCAGTCCTGCTCCTGCTGATGCGGGCGTGGTTGGGTTTCGATCTCGTCTAGTGCTCCTGGGTGACCTCGGGGTGTTAGAATTATATTATAGCATGCTAAGCCTTTTGTGACTGTACACCAAGTGTGGTGTACAGTTGGGTTGGGACTACACCCAACTTTGGGTGTAGCCTTGCATGTTGGGGAGTCAATCCAACCCAATTGTGGTGGAGCCCCCAAATGCAACCCATTGGTCGTTAGGGTGCCATCATTTGAGGAATGTTGCCAACCCAACCCAATGGGCCATAGGTTGGCAACACTTCCCCAAATGTTGCCAACCCAACTCAATGGGCCATAGGTTGGCAACACTTCCCCAAATGTTGCCAACCCAACCACCACCATCCAACTCTCTTCCCTTCCAAGCTCCCCTTCCAAACTTACCCTCCAATCACTATGTATGCTATTTTTTCATTCTAGTGAAACAACTCTTTCAGTTCACATCTCATCCCAACTAAGGGATTTTCACATGGTATAGAGCTGTTTTGGCTAACGCCAACTTCCCCTTCCCTAGGCACCTCCAGCCACTGTGCTGTCCTAGGTGATCCTCGGGCTCGTGCCACCTTCATGGCCCTTGCACCACCAGCCTGCTCCCCTCCCTCAGGCTTTCCTTCGAGGCATTTGCGGCGACCAGCGCGACGAACGTGCCGAGCAGCATTTTGCCCGTCAGTTCTTCTCCCGCGGGCATTTCGCCCGTCACTTCGTCTCCCGCGGGCATTCCGCCCGTCAGTTCTGCTCCCGCGGGCATTTCGCCCGTCAGTTCTGCTCCCGCGGGCATTTCGCCCGTCACTTCTGCTCTCGCGGGCATTTCGCCCGTCGCTTCTTCTCCCGCGGGCATTTCGCCCGTCGCTTCTTCTCCCGCGGGCATTTCGCCCGTCGCTTCTTCTCCCGCGGGCATTTCGCCCGTCGCTTCTTCTCCCGCGGGCATTTCGCCCGTCGCTTCTTCTCCCGCGGGCATTTCGCCCGTCGCTTCCGCTCCCGCGGGCATTTCGCCCGTTAGTTCTGCTCCCACGGTCATTTCGCCTGTCAGTTCTGCTCCCGCGGGCATTTCGCCCGTCAGTTCTGCTCCCGCGGGCATTTTGCCCGTCAGTTCTGCTCCCGCGGGCATTTCGCCCGTCAATTCTGCTCCCGCGGGCATTTCACCCATCAGTTCTGCTCCCGCGGGCATTTCACCCGTCAATTCTGCTCTCGCGGGCATTTCGCCCGTCACTTCTTCTCCCGCGGGCATTTCGCCCGTCACTTCCGCTCCCGCAGGCATTTCGCCCGTCAGTTCTACTCCCGTGTGCATTTCGCCCGTCAGTTCTGCTCCCGCGGGCATTTCGCCTGTCAGTTCCGCTCCCGCGGGCGTTTCCTCCCCCTTCCCCCTCGCTTCCTCCTCTTTCGGGCCATCCAGCCCTCCTCCCCCTTCCCCCTCGCTTCCGCCTCCTTCGGGCCATCCAGCCCTCCTCCCCCTTCCCCCTCGCTTCCTCCTCCTAAGGGCCATCCATCCCTCCTCCCCCTTCCCCCTCGCTTCCTCCTCCTAAGGGCCATCCAGCCCTCCTCTCCCTTCCCCTTCGCTTCCTCCTACTAAGGGCCTTCCCGCCCTCCTCCCCCTTCCCCCTCGCTTCCTCCTCCTTCGGGGCATCCAGCCCTCCTCCCCCTTCCCCCTCGCTTCCGCCTCCTTCGGGCCATCCAGCCCTCCTCCCCCTTCCCCCTCGCTTCCTCCTCCATCGGGCCATCCAGCCCTCCTCCCCCTTCCCCCTCGCTTCGTCCTCCTAAGGGCCATCCAGCCCTCCTCCCCTTTCCCCCTCGCTTCCTCCTCCTAAGGGCCATCCAGCCCTCCTCCCCCTTCCCCCTCGCTTCCTCCTCCTTCGGGCCATCCAGCTCTCCTCCCCCTTCCCCCTTGCTTCCACCTCCTTCGGGCCATCCAGCCCTCCTCCCCCTTCCCCCTCGCTTCCTCCTCCTTCGGTCCATCCAGCCCTCCTCCCCCTTCCCCCTCGCTTCCTCCTCCTTCGGGCCATCCAGCCCTCCTCCCCCTTCCCCCTCGCTTCCTCCTCCTAAGGGCCATCCAGCCCTCCTCCCCCTTCCCCCTCGCTTCCTCCTCCTTCGGGCCATCCAGCCCTCCTCCCCCTTCCCCCTCGCTTCCGCCTCCTTCGGGCCATCCAGCCCTCCTCCCCCTTCCCCCTCGCTTCCTCCTCCTTCGGGCCATCCAGCCCTCCTCCCCCTTCCCCCTCGCTTCCTCCTCCTTCGGGCCATCCAGCCCTCCTCCCCCTTCCCCCTCGCTTCCGCCTCCTTCGGGCCATCCAGCCATCCTCCCCCTTCCCCCTCGCTTCCTCCTACTAAGGGCCTTCCCGCCCTCCTCCCCCTTCCCCCTCGCTTCCTCCTCCTTCGGGCCATCCAGCCCTCCTACCCCTTCCCCCTCGCTTCCTCCTCCTTCGGGCCATCCAGCCCTCCTCCCCCTTCCCCCTCGCTTCCTCCTACTTCGGGCCATCCAGCCCTCCTCCCCCTTCCCCCTCGCTTCCTCCTCCTTCGGGCCATCCAGCCCTCCTCCCCCTTCCCCCTCGCTTCCTCCTCCTTCGGGCCATCCAGCCCTCCTCCCCCTTCCCCCTTGCTTCCGCCTCCTTCGGGCCATCCAGCCCTCCTCCCCCTTCCCCCTGGCTTCCTCCTCCTTCGGGCCATCCAGCCCTCCTCCCCCTTCCCCCTCGCTTCCTCCACCTTCGGGCCATCCAGCCCTCCTCCCCCTTCCCCCTCGCTTCCGCCTCCTTCGGGCCATCCAGCCATCCTCCCCCTTCCCCCTCGCTTCCTACTCCTAAGGGCCATCCAGCCCTCCTCCCCTTTCCCCCTCGCTTCCTCCTCCTAAGGGCCATCCAGACCTCCTCCCCCTTCCCCCTCGCTTCCTCCTCCTAAGGGCCATCCAGCCCTCCTCCCCCTTCCCCCTTGCTTCCGCCTCCTTCGGGCCATCCAGCCCTCCTCCCCCTTCCCCCTCGCTTCCTCCTCCTTCGGGCCATCCAGCCCTCCTCCCCCTTCCCACTCGCTTCCTCTTCCTAAGGGCCTTCCCGCCCTCCTCCCCCTTCCCCCTGTCTTCCTCCTCCTAAGGGCCTTCCCGCCCTCCTCCCCCTTCCCACTCGCTTCCCCCTCCCAAGGGCCATCCAGCCCTCCTCCGCCTTCCCCCTCACTTCCTCCTAAGGGCCTTCCCGCCCTCCTCCCCCTTCCCCCTCTCTTCCTCCTCCTAAGGGCCTTCCCGCCCTCCTCCCCCTTCCCCCTCGCTTCCTCCTCCTTCGGGCCTTCCCGCCCTCCTCCCCCTTCCCCCTCGCTTCCTCCTCCTTCGGGCCATCCAACCCTCCTCCCCCTCCCCCCTCGCTTCCTCCTCCTTAGGGCCATCCAGCCCTCCTCCCCCTTCCCCCTCGCTTCCTCCTCCTTCGGGCCATCCAGCCCTCTTCCCCCTTCCCCCTCGCTTCCGCCTCCTTCGGGCCATCCAGCCCTCCTCCCCCTTCCCCCTCGCTTCCTCCTCCTTCGGGCCATCCAGCCCTCCTCCCCCTTCCCCCTCGCTTCCGCCTCCTTCGGGCCATCCAGCCCTCCTCCCCCTTCCCACTCGCTTCCTCTTCCTAAGGGCCTTCCCGCCCTCCTCCCCCTTCCCCCCTCTCTTCCTTCTCCTAAGGGCCTTCCCGCCCTCCTCCCCCTTCCCACTCGCTTCCTCCTCCTAAGGGCCTTCCCGCCCTCCTCCCCCTTCCCCCCTCTCTTCCTCCTCCTAAGGGCCTTCCCGCCCTCCTCCCCCTTCCCCCTCGCTTCCTCCTCTTTCGGGCCATCCAGCCCTCTTCCCCTTTCCCCCTCGCTTCCTCCTCCTAAGGGCCATCCAGCCCTCCTCCCCCTTCCCCCTCGCTTCCTCCTCCTTCGGGCCATCCACCCTCCTCCCCCTTCCCCCTCGCTTCCTCCTCCTAAGGGCCATCCAGCCCTCCTCCCCCTTCCCCCTCGCTTCCTCCTCCTTCGGGCCATCCAGCCCTCCTCCCCCTCCCCCCCTCGCTTCCTCCTCCTAAGGGCCATCCAGCCCGCCTCCCCCTTCCCCCTCGCTTCCTCCTCCTTCGGGCCATCCAGCCCTCCTCCCCCTTCCCCCTCGCTTCCGCCTCCTTCGGGCCATCCAGCCCTCCTCCCCCTTCCCCCTCGCTTCCTCCTCCTTCGGGCCATCCAGCCCTCCTCCCCCTCCCCCCTCGCTTCCTCCTCCTAAGGGCCATCCAGCCCGCCTCCCCCTTCCCCCTCGCTTCCTCCTCCTTCGGGCCATCCAGCCCTCCTCCCCCTTCCCCCTCGCTTCCGCCTCCTTCGGGCCATCCAGCCCTCCTCCCCCTTCCCACTCGCTTCCTCTTCCTAAGGGCCTTCCCGCCCTCCTCCCCCTTCCCCCTCTCTTCCTCCTCCTAAGGGCCTTCCCGCCCTCCTACCCCTTCCCCCCTCGCTTCAGCAGCCCTCTCCCGGCTGGCGTGCGACCTCGCCTGCAGCAGCCCTCTCCCGGCTGGCGTGCGACCTCGCCTGCAGCAGCCCTCTCCCGGCTGGCGTGCGACCTCGCCTGCAGCAGCCCTCTCCCGGCTGGCGTGCGACCTCGCCTGCAGCAGCCCTCTCCCGGCTGGCGTGCGACCTCGCCTGCAGCAGCCCTCTCCCGGCTGGCGTGCGACCTCGCCTGCAGCAGCCCTCTCCCGGCTGGCGTGCGACCTCGCCTGCAGCAGCCCTCTCCCGGCTGGCGTGCGACCTCGCCTGCAGCAGCCCTCTCCCGGCTGGCGTGCGACCTCGCCTGCAGCAGCCCTCTCCCGGCTGGCGTGCGACCTCGCCTGCAGCAGCCCTCTCCCGGCTGGCGTGCGACCTCGCCTGCAGCAGCCCTCTCCCGGCTGGCGTGCGACCTCGCCTGCAGCAGCCCTCTCCCGGCTGGCGTGCGACCTCGCCTGCAGCAGCCCTCTCCCGGCTGGCGTGCGACCTCGCCTGCAGCAGCCCTCTCCCGGCTGGCGTGCGACCTCGCCTGCAGCAGCCCTCTCCCGGCTGGCGTGCGACCTCGCCTGCAGCAGCCCTCTCCCGGCTGGCGTGCGACCTCGCCTGCAGCAGCCCTCTCCCGGATGGCGTGCGACCTCGCCTGCAGCAGCCCTCTCCCGGCTGGCGTGCGACCTCGCCTGCAGCAGCCCTCTCCCGGCTGGCGTGCGACCTCGCCTGCAGCAGCCCTCTCCGGGCTGGCGTGCGACCTCATTGGCCTGATTCGTCCGGGCGCCCCTTGCTTCAGGGGTTGTTCTCTTCATGTCTTAGCATGCTAAGGGGTTGTGTTAGAATTATATTATAGCATGCTAAGCCTTTTGTGACTGTACACCAAGTGTGGTGTACAGTTGGGTTGGGACTACACCCAACTTTGGGTGTAGCCTTGCATGTTGGGGAGTCAATCCAACCCAATTGTGGTGGAGCCCCCAAATAAAACCCATTGGTCGTTAGGGTGCCATCATTTGAGGAATGTTGCCAACCCAACCCAATGGGCCATAGGTTGGCAACACTTCCCCAAATGTTGCCAACCCAACTCAATGGGCCATAGGTTGGCAACACTTCCCCAAATGTTGCCAACCCAACCACCACCATCCAACTCTCTTCCCTTCCAAGCTCCCCTTCCAAGCTTACCCTCCAATCACTATGTATGCTTTATTTTCGTTCTAGTGAAACAACTCTTTCAGTTCACATCTCATCCCAACTATGGGATTTTCACACTTAGGTCAGTGTGAGTGTCGCCGGCGCTTGCCTGGTCACCAATAGCCGGGTTTTTCTTAGTAGTGGGAGGGGGGGCAAGAGAGGGATAGGGGGTAGGGCGGCCCTGGATCCTGCCGGAGCGTCGGGTTGGTCCGGAGCCAGCCTCACCCCCACCTTGGGGTTGGCGGGGCATGCCTAAGGTGGCTGCATGGTCGGGGAGGGGAGGTGTGGGGGCATGGGAGTTGAGGGGTATGTGCGCGCAGGAAGTAGGGGAAAACGGGGAGAGCTGGGTCTGACCTGGGTGGCCCGAGTTCCTGGAAGGGGGCGGAAGGGTGGTGAGAAAAACAGATGACAAAAGGAGGGGGAATTCTGACGCCTGGAGGGAAGGGAGCGGGAGGTGAGGGGGAGGTGGAGAGAGGTCAGAACTCAAGGGAGAGCATGAGCCCAAGGGATAACGGAAGGCAATAGGAGGGAGGTTGGGGAGTTGTGGGGTGGGCAAGAACCAAGTTTATGGTGTAGTGTGCCGGACTGGAAATGGGGGATGCGGTCTAGATTCAGTCCTGGAAGGGTTGTGAAACAGAGCACTAGCTGTCTTTCGGAAATTCTGGTTTTGTTTTGTGTTTTCCTGTTTTTATGCCTCTTTTTTATTCCAATTTTCTATTTATATTTTCTCTTGTGTTTGTACTACGACTATAGTCTGGCTGCAGGTATGCAGGTAGTGCTAGGTGGCGGGCGAGCGGACAGTGCTTGGCGGCGGATATGCGGGCAGTGCTTGGCGGCAGATATGCGGGCAGTGCTTGGTGGCGGGTATGCGGGCTGTGCTAGCGGCGGGTTTGCGGGCAGTGCTAGCGCCGGCGGTAAGGGAAGAGCGGCGTAGTATGAGTGGCAAGGAACGGACGTGGTGTGTGATGAAGCCGCGCGAGCGATGCCTAAGGTGGCGGTGTGTGAGCCGCTTAGTCTAAGGCCACGGTGCGACTAGTGACAAACGCGACATAGGGGAGGAGGGAATGCCGCATACGCGATGCGCTAGCAAACGCATTCGCGGCTCCTGTCCCTTCGTTCCGCCTCGCTAAGCAGCTTGCGCGTTTTCGATAAGGGCATAACAGCGCGCGCTAAATCGAACGGTCGGGAAATGTGCGGGATAACGAAAATTTTAAGAAAAGGAACCGAAGCGCGCGTCTAATGTTTGAAAATTAGGGTTTCGACCATGACGAAAACGGGGGAAACGGTGCTTAGGGAACTAGATCGCGGGTCTACGACGTGAGAGGGCGACGCTAAGCGTGGTGGTTGCGTATCGATCGTATGAAAAACGGGAATAATGGCTACCACGGGTGGAAGTTGATAACTTCGAAAAGAAAAGCAGCGGGAAGAATGGAGCGGGGGGTGGGAGGGAGCGTCGAGAGAGGAGGAAGGGCGGGTACACCGTGACTGTCGGGGTTGGAGAAACGGGCCGCGCGAGATGTTACTCGTCGCAGTGAACTTCGCGCCACCGCACCACTTTGCGTTACACCCGCTGCAGCGCGTCCGCAACGTCCCCACGATGGCGGGGTTCGACAGCCGATCCAGTTACATGCGGTAAGTACCGTTTCCGAGTGCCGAGAGGGTCGCGCTCGAAACTCGCGACCCTCGTCCTGTCGAACTCGACTATCGAAAAATCCTCCCGGTGGGCGAGAGCAGTACTGGGCTGGGTGACCTCCCGGGAAGTCCTCGTGTTGTACCCATTTATGCCCCTTGTTCGGCACGTGCCGGGGAGGGGCAAGCGGGAAAAAGAAAAGGACGATTTTTGCGCGTTGGATTATTTTGTTCCCGTTTTTTTGCCCGAACGACCACTCAGCGGGGTGGGGGGGCACCGGGGAGGCTTGCCCGCGCGAAGAAACGCCCCGTGCGCACGACCGTTGGGCGATTGGAAGCCGCACACGGTCGCGGGGGTGGAGAGCGGAAACGGGCAGCCGGGGGTGGGTGGGGGCTGTTGGATGGGAGTGGGGTGTACGGGGGGCAGGGGAGTTGAGAGGGCAAGGGGAGGGGCAGCATTGGGCAGGGGTTGGGCCAGCTGAGGGCAAGGAAAAGGGGCGGGCAGAGGGTGAGCAGAGGCGCGAACGATGCAGGGGAGGAACCAGAGGGGTGAAACCAGCTGCATGGAGGTGGGAGGTGAGGGGCGTGCGAGAGGGTGGAACAGGGGCAGGGAGGGGCAGAACGGGAGGAGGGGGGTGAGGGGGGGAGGGATGGAGAGAGAGAGAGAGAGAGAGAGAGAGAGAGAGAGAGAGATAGAGAGAGAGAGAGAGAGAGAGAGAGAGAGAGGTGGAGGGGGGGGGGGAGGGGGGAGAAGGGGGGAGAGGGGCTGGAGGTGGGGATGGGCTGAAGGTGGTAATGGGGGGGCAGTGAGGGGGAAGAGAGGGCATAGCGAGGGGAAAGCAAAGGGCATGGGGGGAGGAAGGGAGGGGCAGGGAGGGAAGAGGCTGACCATACAGAGGGGGGAAATGAGGGGCACCGATGGTAGGAAACAAGGGCAGGGGTGCGGGAAATCAAGGGCAGGGAGGGGAGAAGCGATGGGTGCAGGGTAAACAAAGGAGGGGCAGAGGGGGTACAAGGTAAGCTCAGGGAGGGAAAAAACGTGGGGCAGGGAGGGGAGAAACCATGGAAAGGGGCATGGGCGGCCAGGGGCAGGGAGGGAACAAAGGAGAGGCACGGAGAAAGAATGGGAGGTGCAGGGAGGGGAGAAACCGGGCGTGGGGGGGCGGAAAATGAGGGGCAGGGCAGGGAGGAGGGGGGGGAAGGGAGGGGAGAAGCTGAGCACACGGAGGGGGGAAAGGTGGGGCAGGGAGGTGGGAAGCCAAGGGCAAGGGGGGGTTAGTGGGGGGGCAGGGAGAGGGGGGGGAAGGGGAGCGGAGAAAAGCAGCAAGGGGCAGAGAGGGGAGAAACCAAGTGCTGGGGGGCGAGAAACGAGGGGCAGGGTGCAGATTGAGGAGAGGCAGGGAGTGGAGTAGGTTAGCAAGGGGAAGGAGAAGGTAAACGAGTGGAGGGCACGGGCGGGGAGAAACGAACGGCGGGCGGTGGGAAACGGCGACGGGGGGGCAGGGAGGGTCAAAAGGGGCGGCGAGGGAGCGGGCACACGGAGGGTAGGGGCAGGGGGAGCGGATGGCATAAGGGGGCAGGGGGTGTGACTATGAAGGGGGGACCCAGGCAAGGGGTGTGTACTGGTCGGGGCACGAGAATGACGTGGTACGATCACACCTCGGTTACTACGCCGGATCCCATCAGAACTCCGAAGCTAAGCGCTGGTGGGCGAGAGCAGTTATTTTTTGATAAGGAAAATACAATCACAAGCCGGATATAAGTGTTTTTCCAAAAGGAGGAAATTTCGGCATAACTACTTCTCTATGAGGACGACATCTATTGTCTGTAGGGAAAAGAAGTAAGAAAGAAGAAGAAAAGGTCAAGGAGTGAAAAGAAGTAGTAGGGAAAAGAGGAGAGTGGTAGGAAGAGAAGAGAAAAGATAGATGAAGAGAAGAGAACGAGGGAGGTGGGAAGAGGAGAGGAGAGACTAAGGAGGAGGAAGCACCAAGTGACCAGACACGGCAGCAACCCGCACAACAAACGCGGGCACAGCGTTTCAAGCACAGCCACTAAACTCTCTACACATATGTATCATACATATATTGCATATCGGCAACACTCTCGAAGCACCCTGTGATATGGTTCCACGTACCCTGCCCCACACCCAGTGAGACGGGTGCGGGCATCCATCCGTCGTCGGATCCCCCCAACTGCCGCACCGCATGCTGTAAGATGCATTGCGCCTGCGCGCGTTGCAGTGCCACGGAGAGACGTGTAGTGAGTCCTGTCTCAAATACTGGGCTGGGTGACCTCCCGGGAAGTCCTCGTGTTGTACCCATTTATGCCCCTTGCTCGGCAAGTGCCGGGGGAGGGGCAAGCGGGAAAAAGAAAGGATGATTTTAGCGCGTCCGATCTTTTAATTTTCGTTTTTTTGCCCAAACAACGACTCAGCGGGGTGGGGGGCCCCCGGGGAGGCTTGCCCGTGCAAAGAAACGCCCTGTGCGCACCACCGTTGGGCGGTTGGAAGCCGCACACGGTTGCGGGGGTGGAGAGCGGAAACGGGCAGCCGGGGGAGGGTGGGGGCGGTTGGATGGGACTGGGGTGTACGGGGGGCAGGGGAGTTGAGGGGGCAAGGGGAGGGGCAGCAACGGGCAGGGGCTGGGCCAGCTGAGGGCAAGGAAAAGGGGCGGGCAGAGGGTGAGCAGAGGGGCGAGCGATGCAAGGGAGGCACCATAGGGGGGAAAACAGTTGCACGGAGGTGGGAGGTGAGGGGCGTGCGAGGGGGTGGGAAAGGGGAAGGGAGGGGCAGAATGGGAGGATGTGGGTGGGGGGTGGGGGAGGGGAGTGTGTGTGTGTGTGTGTGTGAGAGAGAGAGAGAGATAGAGAGAGAGGGAGAGGGAGGGGGGGAGAGAAGGGTGGGAGGGGGGCTGATGGTGGTAAGAGGGCAGCAGGGATGGGGAGAAGGGAGCGTAACGAGGGGAAAGCAAAGGGCAGGGGGGGAGGAAGGGAGGGGCAGGGAGGGAAGAGGCTGAATGGTAGGAAACAAGGGCAGGGGTGTGGGAAATCAAGGGCAGGGAGGGGAGAAGCAATGGGTGAGGGGAAGACAAGGGAGGGGCAGAGGGGGGGCAGGGAGGGAAGAAACGTGGGGCAGGGAGGGGAGAAGCCAAAGACAGGGGCATGGGCAGGCGGGAGCAGGGAGGGAGCAAAGGAGAGGCACGGAGAAAGAAAGGGAGGTGCGGGGAGGGGAGAAACCGGGCGTGGGGGGGCGGAAAATGAGGGGCAGCGTGGGGAGGAGGGAGAGGCAGGGAGGGGAGAAGCTGAGCACACATAGGGGGGAAAGGTGGGGCAGGGAGGTAGGAAGCCAAGGGCAAGGGGGGGAGAGTGGGGGGGCAGGGAGAGGGGGGAGGTGGGGAGTGGAGAAAGGCGGCGAGGGGCAGGGAGGGGAGAAACCAAGCATAGGGGGGCGAGAAACGAGGGGCAGGGTGCGGATTGAGGAGGGGCAGGGAGTGGAGTGGGTCGGCGAGGGGAAGGAAGAGGCGTGCAGCAGAGGAGGGGAGGGGGGAGGAGAAGGTAAACGAGGGGAGGGCACGGGCGGGGAGGAGCGAATGGCGGGCGGTGGGAAACGGCGAGGGGCGCAGGGAGGGTCAAAAGAGGCGGCAAGGGAGTGGGCACGCGGAGGGTAGGGGCGGGGGGGGCGGATGGCATGAGGGGGCAGGGGGTGTGACTATGAAGGGGGGACCCGGGCAAGGGGTGTGTACCGGTCGGGGCACGGGATTAACGTGGTACGATCATACCTCGGCTACCACGCCGGATCCCATCAGAACTCCGAAGCTAAGTGCCGGTGGGCGAGAGCAGTACTGGGCTGCGTGACCTCCCGGGAAGTCCTCGTGTTGTACCCATTTATGCCCCTTGCTCGACACGTGCCGGGCATCACAAAAATGTGTGTGTCTGAAAATCATCTGACGTTCCCGCCGGCCGATCGTAGGTTTGACAAACGTTTGAAAAACGTATAGAAAACCTACCAAAAACGTTTGTCCCTCTTGAGACGTTTTCGAGACACTAATCGTATGTTTCCGCTCAATGTTTCTTGCGTGTAGCTGCAGCATTAGGGTTTCGCGACCAAGAGGGGTTGGAGCTGGTCTCCTTGCTTGGAAGAAGTGTGCTGGAAATTTGTTCTCGATATAAATGTCTCGTTTTTACTTCTGTGCATTGTTTGTTAGCATCAAGACATTTGAAGATAATTCTTTGAATTTGTAGATTCCACTAGGGAACATGTGTCTCCACGAGTCATATTTAACCAGTGGTTATTAATTTTGCGCCTATTAGATCAAAGAAATGCATAAACATATCAATATTCTAGGATCAAAATCAACGTTTGCCAAAGTCACATTGGGTCAAAGTTCACGACGATTGCAAGACCTCACCATACAAATCTGTTGAGGAGGCTCACTTCATCGTCCTCGCACGAGGGTACAACGTGCACGAGACTAAGAATGCAGTCTACATCGATCACGTCATAATTATCAACGCCTTCTGTGGGTACAAGACGCTTGCATCCCGTCGACGGGCATTGTCGCTTGTCCTCGGTGTAGTACTCCACATATGCGCCTCGCCTCAGCTCACCACCCTTGTTGTAATGAAACAGCACAAGGCAACGGCCATACCACGGGGATCCCTTTCCTGCAGGGTTGATCGCGATCGACGAGAAGTTTTTCTGGGCTGGGCTAGCCTTGACGAACTGCCCCCTTGACGTCCATTCCATCTTATCGTGTGGCGGGATTGCAAGTGCCATGTGCACCTCACACCACGAGCATTCAACAAAGAAAATGGGAAAGCAGCGAAAGAGGGGGTGGAGAGCATAAGGAAAATGGGGTATTGGCCAGGGTTTGCATGGAAAGCAGTCTGGAGAGGGGGAATCGGGGCTGGATGGGGTGGAAAGCAAGCAGGAGAGAGGGAATCGGGGCTGGATGGGGTGGAAAGCAAGCAGGAGAGAGGGAATCGGGGCTGGATGGGGTGGAAAGCAAGCAGGAGAGAGGGAATCGGGGCTGGATGGGGTGGAAAGCAAGCAGGAGAGGGGGAATCGGGGCTGGATGGGGTGGAAAGCAAGCAGGAGAGGGGGAATCGGGGCTGGATGGGGTGGAAAGCAAGCAGGAGAGGGGGAATCGGGGCTGGATGGGGTGGAAAGCAAGCAGGAGGGGGGAATCGGGGCTGGATGGGGTGGAAAGCAAGCAGGAGAGGGGGGAATCGGGGCTGGATGGGGTGGACAGCAAGCAGGAGAGGGGGGAATCGGGGCTGGATGGGGTGGAAAGCAAGCAGGAGAGGGGGAATCGGGGCTGGATGGGATGGAAAGCAAGCAGGAGAGGGAGAATCGGGGCTGGATGGGGTGGAAGGCAAGCAGGAGAGGGGGAATCGGGGCTGGATGGGGTGGAAAGCAAGCAGGAGAGGGGGAATCGGGGCTGGATGGGGTGGAAAGCAAGCAGGAGAGGGGGAATCGGGGCTGGATGGGGTGGAAAGCAAGCAGGAGAGGGGGAATCGGGGCTGGATGGGGTGGAAAGCAAGCAGGAGGGGGGAATCGGGGCTGGATGGGGTGGAAAGCAAGCAGGAGAGGGGGGAATCGGGGCTGGATGGGGTGGACAGCAAGCAGGAGAGGGGGGAATCGGGGCTGGATGGGGTGGAAAGCAAGCAGGAGAGGGGGAATCGGGGCTGGATGGGGTGGAAAGCAAGCAGGAGAGGGGGAATCGGGGCTGGATGGGGTGGAAAGCAAGCAGGAGAGGGGGAATCGGGGCTGGATGGGATGGAAAGCAAGCAGGAGAGGGAGAATCGGGGCTGGATGGGGTGGAAAGCAAGCAGGAGAGGGGGAATCGGGGCTGGATGGGGTGGAAAGCAAGCAGGAGAGGGGGAATCGGGGCTGGATGGGGTGGAAAGCAAGCAGGAGAGGGGGAATCGGGGCTGGATGGGGTGGAAAGCAAGCAGGAGGGGGGAATCGGGGCTGGATGGGGTGGAAAGCAAGCAGGAGAGGGGGGAATCGGGGCTGGATGGGGTGGACAGCAAGCAGGAGAGGGGGGAATCGGGGCTGGATGGGGTGGAAAGCAAGCAGGAGAGGGGGAATCGGGGCTGGATGGGATGGAAAGCAAGCAGGAGAGGGAGAATCGGGGCTGGATGGGGTGGAAGGCAAGCAGGAGAGGGGGAATCGGGGCTGGATGGGGTGGAAAGCAAGCAGGAGAGGGGGAATCGGGGCTGGATGGGGTGGAAAGCAAGCAGGAGAGGGGGAATCGGGGCTGGATGGGGTGGAAAGCAAGCAGGAGAGGGGGAATCGGGGCTGGATGGGGTGGAAAGCAAGCAGGAGAGGGGGAATCGGGGCTGGATGGGGTGGAAAGCAAGCAGGAGAGGGGGAATCGGGGCTGGATGGGGTGGAAAGCAAGCAGGAGAGGGGGAATCGGGGCTGGATGGGATGGAAAGCAAGCAGGAGAGGGAGAATCGGGGCTGGATGGGGTGGAAAGCAAGCAGGAGAGGGGGAATCGGGGCTGGATGGGGTGGAAAGCAAGCAGGAGAGGGGGAATCGGGGCTGGATGGGGTGGAAAGCAAGCAGGAGAGGGGGAATCGGGGCTGGATGGGGTGGAAAGCAAGCAGGAGGGGGGAATCGGGGCTGGATGGGGTGGAAAGCAAGCAGGAGAGGGGGGAATCGGGGCTGGATGGGGTGGACAGCAAGCAGGAGAGGGGGGAATCGGGGCTGGATGGGGTGGAAAGCAAGCAGGAGAGGGGGAATCGGGGCTGGATGGGATGGAAAGCAAGCAGGAGAGGGAGAATCGGGGCTGGATGGGGTGGAAGGCAAGCAGGAGAGGGGGAATCGGGGCTGGATGGGGTGGAAAGCAAGCAGGAGAGGGGGAATCGGGGCTGGATGGGGTGGAAAGCAAGCAGGAGAGGGGGAATCGGGGCTGGATGGGGTGGAAAGCAAGCAGGAGAGGGGGAATCGGGGCTGGATGGGGTGGAAAGCAAGCAGGAGAGGGGGAATCGGGGCTGGATGGGGTGGAAAGCAAGCAGGAGAGGGGGAATCGGGGCTGGATGGGGTGGAAAGCAAGCAGGAGAGGGGGAATCGGGGCTGGATGGGATGGAAAGCAAGCAGGAGAGGGAGAATCGGGGCTGGATGGGGTGGAAAGCAAGCAGGAGAGGGGGAATCGGGGCTGGATGGGGTGGAAAGCAAGCAGGAGAGGGGGAATCGGGGCTGGATGGGGTGGAAAGCAAGCAGGAGAGGGGGAATCGGGGCTGGATGGGGTGGAAAGCAAGCAGGAGAGGGGGGAATCGGGGCTGGATGGGGTGGAAAGCAAGCAGGAGAGGGGGGAATCGGGGCTGGATGGGGTGGAAAGCAAGCAGGAGAGGGGGATCGAGGGCGTGGATGGGGTGGAAAGCAAGCAGGAGAGGGGGAATCGGGGCTGGATGGGATGGAAAGCAAGCAGGAGAGGGAGAATCGGGGCTGGATGGGGTGGAAGGCAAGCAGGAGAGGGGGAATCGGGGCTGGATGGGGTGGAAAGCAAGCAGGAGAGGGGGAATCGGGGCTGGATGGGGTGGAAAGCAAGCAGGAGAGGGGGAATCGGGGCTGGATGGGGTGGAAAGCAAGCAGGAGAGGGGGGAATCGGGGCTGGATGGGATGGAAAGCAAGCAGGAGAGGGGGGAATCGGGGCTGGATGGGGTGGAAAGCAAGCAGGAGTGGGGGGAATCGGGGCTGGATGGGGTGGAAAGCAAGCAGGAGAGGGGGAATCGGGGCTGGATGGGATGGAAAGCAAGCAGGAGAGGGAGAATCGGGGCTGGATGGGGTGGAAAGCAAGCAGGAGAGGGGGAATCAGGGCTGGATGGGGTGGAAAGCAAGCAGGAGAGGGGGAATCGGGGCTGGATGGGGTGGAAAGCAAGCAGGAGAGGGGGAATTGGCGCTGGATGGGGTGGAAAGCAAGCAGGAGAGGGGGGAATCGGGGCTGGATGGGGTGGAAATCAAGCAAGAGAGGGGGGAATCGGGGCTGGATGGGGTGGAAAGCAAGCAGGAGAGGGGGGAATCGGGGCTGGATGGGGTGGAAAGCAAGCAGGAGAGGGGGAAATCGGGGCTGGATGGGGTGGAAAGCAAGCAGAAGAGAGGGAATCGGGGCTGGATGGGGTGGAAAGCAAGCAGGAGAGAGGGAATCGGGCCTGGATGGGGTGGAAAGCAAGCAGGAGAGGGGGAATTGGGGCTGGATGGGGTGGAAACCAAGCAGGAGAGGGGGAATCGGGGCTGGATGGGGTGGAAAGCAAGCAGGAGAGGGGAATGCACCTGCAAGACTTGCGTGTTGATGCCCGCCTGTTTGAGGCGCAGAACCATCGCACTCATGGCGGGTTCACCCAGTGTCAAGACGTAGCTCGGGAACACCGAGTCGGTGATGTCCCCGACGACCATCTTCTTGTGGGTCTTAGTAAGCACCCTCCGGCCAGCCAGACATGCCTGTCACCATGGAGATGAGAGGGTTGGTATAGGGAGGGGGTGGGGTGAATGGTGTGGGCATTTGGAGGAAGGAAGAGAGGGGGGAACAGAGAAGGGGAACAGAGCATAGGAACCACAGCAGGATGTTCCAAAGCAGGGATGAGAGCAGGGCAAACAATGCAGGGACCAGAGCAGGGCAGACACAGCAGAGAACATAGCAGGGAAACAGCGCTGGGGACAGAGCAGGGAAACAGAGCAGGGAATAGAGAAGGGGAAATGACTAGGGGAACCGTGCAGGGGAAGGGAGCAAAAGAACCGAGAAGGGCAACAGAGTAGGGGAACAGAGAAGGGGAACAGAGCAAGAGAACAGAGCAGGGAACCAATGCAGTGAGTTAGAGCAAGAGAGCAGAGCATGAGGTTAAGGGAGGGAAACAAAGCTGACAAAAGTGTACAGGGGAACAGAGCAGGGGGAAAATTGCAGGTTTCAAAAATCACCTCTTTCATCGAAGTCTCGTACGTGTTGTCTCCGCCGGCCTCTCGCGCTAGTTGTCTAACTACCGCATGCTCCAGGTGTTTCCGAACGATGCGATCTTCAACATTCTTCCAGTTCGTGCCACGTGAAGGACGCTTCACAGTGGTCTTCTGGGAGTGCTCGTAACAGTTCGACGAGTACTCGGCAGGGATTCCCCGAAGACGGATGGTTGAGAGGAGGTGAACGAGGAGATGAATCTTCACTATTTCCACTTTGACTTCTGCTTAGGGAATGCAACACGCAGAGCCTTCACCATGCTGGGGAGAGACAGTCGAGAGCATGCATGCAATTAAGGTATGGAATGCAGGCCAGGGAGGGAGAAACGGCACGAGGGAGGGGGGGTGAGGAAGCATGCAGTCAAGGGGGTAAAAAAGGCAGGAGGGAGGTCAAGCAGGTGGGGTATGGAAGAACAGGGATGCAAAGGGTTAAAACAAGATGAAAGAGGGGGGGGTGGAGCATGTACTAGGTACGGTTGAGACAAGGAAAATGGGTGTATGTGGCAATGAATGGCTTGGGAACCGACACAACAACAAGAGTAACTACCTGATGGTGGCGTCTTTCATCCGTTTCAGGGAATCGTCAGTGTGGTACTCAGCGCGAATGAACTCCTTGTACCACTCGACCATGAGCACGATTGCCGTCCGGACATCTTTCCGTCCTTGGAGATCGATGATGAGAGGCAGGACCTGCATCATCGCACGATGCTCTGAAGCTGAAAAGCAGGCAGTGGATGTGAAGTAGGCCCACGCCGAAGGCAGACGAAGCACGGAAGCTGGAGTGACCTCCTTCAACATCTTGTATCGCCTAGAGGGAAGGAACGGTTCAGCAGGGCGCGGAAAGCAAGCAAGGAGGGGAGGAACGGTTCAGATGGGGCGCGGAAAGCAAGCAAGGAGGGGAGGAATGGTTCAGATTGGCGCGGAAAGCAAGCAAGGAGGGGGGGAACGGTTCAGATTGGGCGCGGAAAGCAAGCAAGGGGGGGAGGAACGGTTCAGATTGGTGCGGAAAGCAAGCAAGGAGGGGAGGAACGGTTCAGATTGGGTGCGGAAAGCAAGCAAGGAGGGAGGAACGGTTCATATTGGGCGCGGAAAGCAAGCAAGGAGGGGAGGAGCGGTTCAGATTGACGCGGAAAGCAAGCAAGGAGGGGAGGAACGGTTCAGATTGGCGCGGAAAGCAAGCAAGGAGGGGAGGAACGGTTCAGATTGGCGCGGAAAGCAAGCAAGGAGGGGAGGAACGGTTCAGATTGGCGCGGAAAGCAAGCAAGGAGGGGAGGAACGGTTCAGATTGACGTGGAAAGCAAGCAAGGAGGGGAGGAGCAGTTCAGATTGACGCGGAAGGCAAACAAGGAGGGGAGGAACGGTTCAGATTGACGCGGAAAGCAAGCAAGGAGGGGAGGAACGGTTCAGATTGGCGCGGAAAGCAAGCAATGAGGGGAGGAGCGGTTCAGATTGACGCGGAAAGCAAGCAAGGAGGGGAGGAACGGTTCAGATGGGGCGCGGAAAGCAAGCAAGGAGGGGAGGAACGGTTCAGATTGGGTGCGGAAAGCAAGCAAGGAGGGGAGGAGCGGTTCAGATTGACGCGGAAAGCAAGCAAGGAGGGGAGGAACGGATCAGATTGACGCGGAAAGCAAGCAAGGAGGGGAGGAACGGTTCAGATTGGCACGGAAAGCAAGCAATGAGGGAAGGAACGGTTCAGATTGGCGCGGAAAGCAAGCAAGGAGGGGAGGAACGGTTCAGATTGGCGCGGAAAGCAAGCAAGGAGTGGAGGAACGGTTCAGATTGACGTGGAAAGCAAGCAAGGAGGGGAGGAGCGGTTCAGATTGACGCGGAAAGCAAGCAAGGAGGGGAGGAACGGTTCAGATTGACGCGGAAAGCAAGCAAGGAGGGGAGGAACGGTTCAGATTGGCGCGGAAAGCAAGCAATGAGGGGAGGAGCGGTTCAGATTGACGCGGAAAGCAAGCAAGGAGGGGAGGAACGGTTCAGATGGGGCGCGGAAAGCAAGCAAGGAGGGGAGGAACGGTTCAGATTGGGCGCGGAAAGCAAGCAAGGAGGGGAGAAGCGGTTCAGATTGACGCGGAAAGCAAGCAAGGAGGGGAGGAACGGTTCAGATTGACGCGGAAAGCAAGCAAGGAGGGGAGGAGCTGTTCAGATTGGCACGGAAAGCAAGGAATGAGGGGAGGAACGGTTCAGATTGGCGCGGAGAGCAAGCAAGGAGGGGAGGAACAGTTCAGATTGGGCGCGGAACAACTCACTCCAGCAGAATCTTCCATTCTTTCGGAGTCAGCTTCTTCACAAGGCACTTCATGGCATGCAGCCATATGCCCTGCTCCCAGATGTGCATGATGTCTGGGGGTACAGCAAGGTACGTGTTGCCCCAGAGAGTCTTTGCGAATTCCCAGTCCCACAAAAGGCTCTGCGTTGTGGGTCAAGGACACAGAGTCACTCTGGCGGGTCGGGGTAATAAACACAAACAGCTGGCTGCGGATTGGAGTAGGTTTTCATGCACACTAGCTAGTGCAGTATATGGCCAATATGGAGGGAAACCAGATGAGAACCGCAGCGATGCTTGCGGAACTCGCTCGGGGGCAAGGCTTACCTTCACAAAGTGAGTAGAGGTCTTCTTCTTCACTGCCTTCAGCTTCTTTTTTGTTTTCGCTGATTCCATCTCCTTGTACGCATCCTGCTGACTCTTGACAGTTCTGAGGACAATGGTGTCTTCCTGCTCATCCAGGCACTCCTCATCAGGTGGCGTCTGAGTCAACTTAAAAGTCATCTCATCAAGGTGCGCCTTATCAGCCAAGCACAACGAGCACGGATGGAGCGAGTTGCATGCCATCGTACAAGTGACCTTAGAAGACTTCGGGTGATCTGTCACCCATGAATATAGAAGCGTGAATGCTCTATATTGCACACCCGCACTGTCTTCCACCATCACACCGCCCCTGCACAGCCGGCAAGGATGGAGGGGGAAACAGGGAGGTAGAGGGGGGGATGATGAGAGAACACGTCGGAGATGGAAGTAACGGGGTGAGCATGGGCGGCCCTAAGCAAGCAGATGAAGAACGGTTAGGAAGATGGGGGACAGCAAGCAGGGAAGGCATTAACGGCATGAGACGGTGGCAAAGCAATGTAAGGACTGAATACAGCGATGTGGCACGCATGCGAAGCATGACCAGATGAGAACGAGGGTCAACGAAGGGGGCGGAGAGGGTTTGACTCATGGGAAGAATATCAGAAGGGTAGTGGGGTGGATTCAATACGGAGTGGCTGGTTTCACCAAACCAGAAGGCATATGATGCAAACTGCGGGGTGGGAGGATTGTGAACAGGGAAGAGGCAGGTTACGTAGTATGATGACGGCGATTATAAGGGATGTGCGCCTTATGGGTGACGGTAGTGTTGACTCACCCTTTCAGATGTGAAGCCGCCTTCAAATCCTGAATCATGATCGCTGCAGTGCGTTGGAACACTCGAACCTTTTCTTCGGGCGAGAGGTCAGCTGGGATATTAGGCAGGAGCCCGAGAAGCCCAGTGCCTCCCTCAAGCCATCTAGCCCATTCCGGGATGTTCCCAAAGGACAACAGAAATGGGTGAGCAGATTGGCGCCCGTTGTACAATAGATTGGTCTGGTCCGAGAACAGAATGAGCGTTATAACTATGCCATCCTCCCGCACCCTCTCCTGCCATAGTGAATGAGAAAGTGTTGGAAAGATGCATTGGATCCAATGTCTCGACGCTCGTGACGAACGTGAGAGGAGCTGGAGCAAAACTTACCCAAGCCTCCAGCATCCAGTTAGTGTTTGCAGGGGTACTGTAGCGGCGAACCCCATCAACCTTCCACTCTTGAGGCATGATGGTGAATCCCTTGATAGCTGACATCTTCTTGAACATGGCCTGGAGGAGCTGATTATCAAAAAGGAAACAAAGATGGAAAACAGTGGTGAAGGATTGATGCATCCATTGGTTAGAAGATTTGACCGTCATCACGAGTCGTGATACGTGACAGCGCACCAGCGAGACACTCACAGTTATGGCGTTTCGGCGTTTGAAAGTGAGAAACCCAATCTCGTGATCCACTGGGATCTCCTCGACGATCCATTCGTTCGCCTCTCCAAGGTCAAAGGTGTTCTCGTACTTCTCCAGGTCTCTGTAGCTGTTCCAATCGTCCAGCTGCTTTGGGTCTAATTTCGGATGTCTAACTAACTGTATCGTGTCGTTTATCGCACCGTTGGTAAGGCCGTGAGTGCGTGCTAAAATGCATATTTCGGCCTTAACGTCGAGAACCTCCTCTGTAGGAACTTCTTCCCCCACCAGTGTGGTGCTACATGTATGGACTGCATCCGGAACTCGCTGTGTTGGCTGCGGATGCTGCTCTATTGCGTTCGGACCTGCGGCTAAGGGAATCGAATGGTTCGGCGCGGGTAGAGTGGCTGTTGACAACGGGACAAAGGTATACTGCTGCTCAACTGCACAACCCAGCTTCTTTCTCTTAGCAATCTCTTGAGCCTTCCGCCTTTGTGCCCGCTTACAACCATCATGGTTGGCTTGATGGCTACGAACGGTTTGATAGCAGTAAACGCGCTTGTTGCAAAACTCGCATGCTTGAGCGTCCATCGAGTTGAGGTTTTCCTACAGAATCTGAAGTACAGATGAATGCTTTAGCATAACACATTCCTGTGACGCGAGAACATGATGGCGAGGCAGTGTTGATCACCCTAATACTCACCGTCACTACGTTACATATTTGGTTTTGGGAGGGACGGGTTTGGCGGGAAAGGAATGGGCGATCTGAGGTTGTCTTTCCATGTTTCGCGTAACCCAGAATGGCGATTTGGCCTTCGTGTGCCAGTCTGTGTCGTTCTGTTTGGACACTGTTCGCGTAACTGTACATTTTTGCGCGCCAACTTCTGACAGTTGTGCGAAACTGCCAAAATATTCATTCATACACATCTGCACCATCTCCCGAATCCTTGGACATGACTCAACTGGGTCCCCAATACCTGATGCAGTGTGCGACGGGCCTGTTTCCAGAAACAAAGTGGCGTGTTGTGATGTCATCTCTATTTCTCGCCCGGCACTGTACTTCGCTTCTATGGGGTACAAGCTCGCGTATTTGACAAAGTGTCGTAGTTCTCTGAATAACTTGACCCTCAGTCATGTGAGACTGAGATCAACGGTACACTAACTTGCACGAAATTTGACAAGGGGCCACGTCAAACGTGCCAACCAGTGTCAAGCCGCATCACGATCATTGGAGCAGAGATTGCTGTCAGACCGTGCAACACTGCTCACCACCAGGTCTCCCAAATATCAAAATCGCACTGTGCAACGTCACCGATTGCAGCACGGATTTACGCTCATGTTGACCAATGCCCATGATTTCCAATGGAACGAATAGGAGGTAGGGATTCACGCACACTTGTTCGCCTCTCAAGCAGCACAACGAAATCACAACTTGTCAAGTGCCGCATTCTGCTCTACGGTACTTGTGAGGCACTTGTTGAGTTAGCTATCTCAGACATGGCGGACGAGGACTTACGCAAGTTATCGCGATCACGTTTCCAGTTGTTCAGCATGCCGTCTCCGTTTGGGGGCGGGTGGCTTCATCTCCAAAATGTAATGTCCCGAAACTGTCCCAAAAGATTCTTTTCGAATACTTTCAGGACAGGTTGAAAAGTGTCTCGAAAGACACTTTCGAGACTAAGTGAAATGTCCTGAAAGTGGATCGCCCAACTGACCGGAAAGTGTCTTTCGAGACACTTTTGGGACACATTCGAGACCTCTCTTCCTGTAGCATTGAGGACTCTCCCATGGACAGATTTGGGACCTCTCTGGGTTAGCTTGCATTGCAACTGCCTCTCTTGCGTTTGGCCTTAAAGCCCATTGTATTTAAAACAGGACATTAATACAATGTTTATAAAAAAAAAAACACTAGAAACGCTAATGCATAATTCTTGCACCATGATGTATACAAATTGCCACAACTTCCAAAACCATAAGGCTCAAATATATCATCTGGCATAACACAAAAACACCGCAACATCTAAGTAGTGGCTTCAGTTGAGTCATAATAAACGTTGTGCAGACATGAAGTATTGCCCTTGAACCGACGAAGTTGTTAGAAGACAATTACAAAAATGAATTGATCCAATTATAATATATTGAACCACAACATAGGCATATAGTATGCTGGAAAACATCATTTGTCAGTCATTAAGGTTAGAAAACAAAGCTCCATAACAGAATGAAAAAAACTTACCGTCGACGAAAACATTGACATCTCCTTTTAGCAAATTCTGTTCAGACAGATCTTACAATCAAACAACAACGTTGACACACCAAACTGTTTTGTTTACAATAAAATAACAATGTTCCAGAAAATGAAATTGCAAGAAAACGTACAAGTGAAGTAGATGATTCATCGTGTTGAATCGTACGAAACGCCATGATTCCTTTCCAACGTCATTGAGAAGATGTCACTTGCTATCCTGATTCAATGCCACGGGAAAAAGGATGAACGGATGGGAAAGCCAGTTTGAAATGTGACGCGGTAACATAGTAGGGGACGTAAGCAGTGACGCGAGATGAGAGAGACTTCAAGGAACTAAACAAATAATCGTCAAAATCATGGTTCTAGTTACGAAAGACGAGTTAGAACAAGAGCGTAATTCATGACAAACGAAGACTGCCGGGTAATATAGTGATTTAAGGGCGTAAATGTTACTTGAAGTGTTGAACAGAATTAACAAGTCGAGCCTAGTTACTGGGAGACACAAGAGCAGAGCAGCAAATAACAAAGTGAAGAACAAAAGGTGACGAGAGAAAAACGCCTTCTTCTAGCAACAAGTTTGGATTGTTTCCGGTATGGATGGGTTATAGTAGTTTCGTAGCGGTGATCGAGATGGGGTTTACACCATGAAGTGGACCTCACAGGTGGTTGAATATTTTAGTTCTGTGGTGGACCTTTGGCAGTGACGCGAATTCTTTTAGTGCACGTGGACGATTTCGGCACTGCTGGCAGGTGCCACGTATTTCCTTTCGCGACACGTGGCGCGAAATTTTGGTTTAGTGGATTGGGCTGATCTGTTCAAGACAAATTGAAATCGATAGCAAAATTGAAGGTTGATCATTTACGTTAGCTCATAGCGAAGTGGTCTTGTACTTCTGATGTTTCCGAAGGTCCAAAGTTCGATTCCCAATGAGGTCCTCCCGACGCAATACACAAAAGCAATATTTTGTTTTGTTGTGCTTGTTTTGAGTGCCAGTTTTTGTAACAAACAACTACTGGTAACATTGTGGGATTATGATTACCACCAACATTGTGGTGTACTTATATACCGTAATGAAAATATTCCAGAAGGGTACAACACGAACGAAAATCATAAACAAAATCTACACCCAACGCAATAGAACTGACATCGACGGGCATCGAACCTGCGTCTTCTGATCGCGTTGCAGTTCAAACCTTCCCAGGCCTGGGCAGATTACGGCACAAGTCACTTTTGGGACATGTTGAAATGTAGCGCAAAACCGCCTGAAGACGAAAATGTCCCGAAAGTGTCTTCCAAGATAGTTTCGGGACGGATTTGTGTCTGTTCTGGGACAGAATGGTTTCGGGACAGACTGGGGACCACGCAATTTTGTAGATGTTGAAGTTAAACCCACAGATTACAGCACGTTGCGAAACGAGCAGTGGATCAGCGGAACCGTCATCAAATGGCTTTCATAATGAGAAGTTAGCAAATCTTAGAAATTGGATTCCACAACTCGTGTTTAAAGTTTCTAATGAGCTACCACGGGCTTTTCACCTTTCGATATTCGTCATGCAGTATGTTACACTACGAAAACGGCATTGTAAGCGCAACGTGGCTTTGCACATCGCCCTACTTCTGGACCCTCGTGGCGCGGCCCGGGTCGAAGAGGATCACAAAGTAGGCATATGGCCTCGATATTTTATCGTTTGAACATGTGCTAGTTCCGATTAACAAGGAGTAAGTGCCCACATGTGCTACAATTGCGCACATTATTGGGTGAGACCTACTAAATTGTTCTCTTGCCTGTGCAGCGCTCACTGGAGCCTGGCAGTCATCGAAATAAAACATGCACCGGGAGCTCAAATCCCGATCGAGTGTGTCCTGTGGCACGCAGATTTGTATGCAACTCACGGCGACATCGACGGTCCTTTGCGAAAGCGAGAGAGTTGTGATGCGAATGTATCTAGTCACTTCCAGACCGATTCTAACGAGTACGTCTCGGTGCGCAGATGTTTGATGAGTCGGGTCGTGAAGAGCTACGCATGGGTCACTGAGACAGAAGCAAAATCGTGGGTGGCAAGCATTCATTTAAACGCCATCGAGGTATGCACGGATGAGTAGGTGAGTGTGAGGAGCTGTCTGCGCATGGACAGGCATGGAATGCGCGAATGAGTAGGTGCGTGTGAGGAGCTGTCTGCGCATGGGCGGGCATGGGATGCGCGGATGAGTAGGTGAATGTGAGGAGCTGTCTGCGCATGGGCGGGCATGGGATGCGCGGATGATCAGGTGAGAGTGAGGAGCTGTCTGCGCATGGACAGGCATGGAATGCGCGGATGAGTAGGTGCGTGTGAGGAGCTGTCTGCGCATGGGCGGGCATGGGATGCGCGGATGAGTAGGTGAATGTGAGGAGCTGTCTGCGCATGGGCGGGCATGGGATGCGCGGATGAGTAGGTGAATGTGAGGAGCTGTCTGCGCATGGGCGGGCATGGGATGCGCGGATGAGTAGGTGAGTGTGAGGAGCTTGCTGCGCATGGGCGGGCATGGAATGCGCGGATGAGTAGGTGAATGTGAGGAGCTGTCTGCGCATGGGCGGGCATGGGATGCGCGGATGAGTAGGTGAGTGTGAGGAGCTTGCTGCGCATGGGCGGGCATGGGATGCGCGGATGATCAGGTGAGAGTGAAGAGCTGTCTGCGCATGGACAGGCATGGGATGCGCGGATGAGTAGGCGAGAGTGAGGAGCTGTCTGCGCATGGGCGGGCATGGGATGCGCGGATGAGTAGGTGAATGTGAGGAGCTGTCTGCGCATGGGTGGGCATGGGATGCGCGGATGAGTAGGTGAGAGTGAGGAGGTGTTTGCGCATGGACAGGCCTGGAATGCGCGGATGAGCAGGTGAATGTGAGGAGCTGGCTGCGCATGGGCAGGCATGGAATGCGCGGATGAGTAGGTGAATGTGAGGAGCTGGCTGCGCATGGGCGGGCATGGGATGCGCGGATGAGTAGGTGAATGTGAGGAGCTGTCTGCGCATGGACAGGCATGGGATGCGCGGATGAGTAGGTGAGAGTGAGGAGGTGTTTGCGCATGGACAGGCCTGGAATGCGCGGATGAGCAGGTGAATGTGAGGAGCTGGCTGCGCATGGGCGGGCATAGGATGCGCGGATGAGCAGGTGAATGTGAGGAGCTGTCTGCGCATAGACAGGCCTGGAATGCGCGGATGAGCAGGTGATTGTGAGGAGCTGGCTGCGCATGGGCGGGCATGGGATGGAGCATGCTGCGCATGATTTCGCCTAATCCATGCACCACACGATCCTTGTGCGTTTTGCAGGTGCGTCAGCAGGACAACGAAAATGACTGCGGTGTTTTTGTAATGAGGGTCATGCATACGCTTGTCGAGACCAGGTTTGGCAGTATGAATGCGTGCGACTTGGCCGGGACACCAAGACAGTGGAGGCGCCAATATCGTCACGATATGGCAAAGTGTTCATGCTTCTATGACAATGCATGTGTCACGATTCATGGTGATCGCTGCTCTTAAACCTGCTACTAGTTGCTGGCTAATGACATTCATAACCGACTGATGCTCGTAGTACAGCTCGGTGTTTGGTAGGAACTTGCAACCCAACGTTTCTTGACATAACGGTCCCTGAATTGCACCAGACGGTAAGCGCTATACCAACCCTAACCGAGTGTCACCACACTAAGAGGTATGGCTGGAAATGGCTGAGCATAATCATGATGAACCTGATAAGTGCAGCATGCGGTAAAATGATTGATGGTATCTGGATGATGGCAGGGTAGCATTGCCACAAGGTCACATACCATACACCTCTGCAAAGAGCGTCATACAGCAGCGCACAAGTTAAGGTGCCCACAGTTGGACCTTTAAAGTAATGTTTAGTAACAAGGTGTGGATTCTTTAAGACTTTTGACTCTTCTCCTAGGCTGAAATGGTGACACAAAATCTATGTTGCTGACTAGACTCTGCACTGTCCTGCACTTCAAATGCAGTCAAGCAAGTGCCTGATGAACGCTGCTCGGCTTGAATACGGTGTTTGTGCAATATTGCTACTCCCAACTATCCCTTTCCATAAACCTCTAGAATGGAGGTTGGTTATAATCACCCTACTATTTCGCCAAAGATGATGGGGGGATATCTCTTGTTATTACTACCATGCTTGAAAAGTGAGCCTGCTTACGGTAATATAGTGTAACTAAATTAGATGGAATTGGACACATCAAATTACTGCTGTAGCTTTCGGTCTTCAAAGGGTAATGCGCTGAAACGTAATTTCAACGCAACCACCAGAGTCATTCTCGAACCGCGATCGCCTTGGCTGATCACGGTTCCCAACCGACAATGTGGGCGGTTTCGAAACGCATTGCCAATTTTCTGTTGTCACATTGGTTTTTTTGCGTCACGCCTTAGTTTCAGTTCCCGAGCGCCTTTCTTGCAATTACTTACTAGTATTCCGCGTATAGGAAAGACGTTCTCACCCAAGTAGGCGCCTTAAGCATTGGATTGTAAATTCAGACTCTCACTCAAAGGGCAGTGCGAATGACTGCTTTATCGTTTCATTGATTCCATTCCCCAGCGATGGAGGTGTTGAGCGCCACTCCAGCACGACGTGACGTTGAAGGCTTTTCGTTTTAGGAACATGCCTCGGCTGGCAAGTCCCGTGGCGGTAGTTGACACCACGGGACCCTCCACTTTTGAGGCACCAAGAACGTCTTGCTGGAGTCCGTTGTGGTTCTCGTCACGATACTCTCCTACGGTAGGGCACATCCAGCTATTCCATCTTCCCTCAGATACCCGACTAATTTGCGCATGGCTGCTAAGAGTAGGCACGTCAAATCGTTGCGTATTGGTGTTCTCGTAGAAGGCACGTCCAGAAATAGCGCGGGGTCGCAAAGCGCCGCGTCCAGCAATGGGGCGCTGCAATTCTCGCTCGCACGACTTTTATTGGCGCGTTTCGCGGGCACGTACTGCCATTTCGCGCTGCTGATCCAGCAGGCACGTCCAGCTTGCGCGATGTAGTCTCTTTCACCTCAAATACTATTTAAGACAGTTCTGAACCGTAGAAAGGCACTCCTCAACCTTTTAACCGTTCGTTGAACTGGTCTAGCGGCGCTAATGGCGGACATCGTCGATCAAACTCAGCAGGTCAATACTAGTGCGGTGATAGTAGGCTATGGAGCTTCACAGCCCTTGGACGACGCCAGAACAGCTGCGGAGGAGAGGCTTCATGACGCGATGACACCGCATGCTGCATCTCAGTTAGCTGTTCAATATCGCAGGAAGAACAAATCTTCTGCATGCGCTGCCGTCTCGGAGGAGGAGTCGGGAGGGGACTCATCATCGGATAGTGATGAGTCTGGGGACGAGCCGTACGCTGGCCAAATTGGTCGCGGCGGTTCACGCGAGCCGCGGAACGGTCGTAAGGTGAAGCAATTGGACCAATGCGAACCTGCTAAAAAGAGAAAAGGTAAGCAAGAGGCTTCTATTTCCGTTTTGCGCCTCGATCTGTCCTTTTGCACCAGGCGCCTCATGTTTCCCCTTTCTTCCTTTCTTGGCACCGCGGGTACCTACAACACACATAAAGAAAGGACGAGACGATCAGTGGTGACAAGGGTTTAGGCACTATAGATTGGTTGCGAAATCTGCCACGCTATTACTAAGCAACCCTGGAACAGACCGTTCTGAGGAGGAATCAGAGAGCTCCTCCGGGAGCGAGGAGAAGTACGACGATGAGGAGGACGAAAGCGAGGATGCAGAATCGGAGTCAGAGAGTGAGGAGGAAGACAGGAGAAGGGGCAGGGCTCGGGGTGGACGCCGAAACGGATCTAGCGGAAAGCGTTGTCTCGCAAGGAAGGAAAAGAAAGTGCGTAAGAGGGGGAGGCCCCAAGAGCATGCACCAGCCAAGCGCTTTGAACGTGGGGAACCCCGGGTGGGTAAGGAGCGGCGTACTTTGAATGCCGATCTCGGGTTCTACAACGACATGAAGGTTTTGGGTAACACATTAGATGCTACAATGGAGAACCGACGGGAGAGCATTCGCATGAAACGGGGGGCTTCAGACGACCCCTATGCTGCACTCGCTTCAGGGTCCTCGTTGGGAAAGAGTGCCCAGCCGGTTCGCGGGCGGAGTGGCGTGAAAGTTGAAGTCCAGCGTGTTCCTGAAAATCGTAAGCATGGAGGAAGTGACAATGAGGAGTGGGGCATTGGGCAGGGTTTTGAGCGGAGCAGTGGCGTGCAGGTCGGACTCCAGGGCGCAGCTGATGGTGGCAACCATGGTGCTGGAGGTCAGCCAGGCGACGGTCGACCCAGTTGTGAGGCTTTTGGTAAAACTGATATTGGGCCTGAAGTCGCGGGACAATCCGCTAGGTGCAAGCAAGAGGGTGCGGCAATTGTATTCCCATTCAGTAGTGCTGGTGTATCACCCAACGCGTCCATGCAGCAATTGTTTCAGGCATTGTAGGAAGCGAATAGGCAGATTGCGGAGCTGAAGGCAGCACCAAGGCCCCTGGGAAATTCCGCTGGAGTAGGAATGCCAGTTCCACCTCTGCAGGCGATATCCAGCGAGCTACCCTCCCAGGAACCTGAGCCCGTGTGTGTGGCGGAGAGTGCTGTACAAGGACAGCCCATCGCTAGGAGACATGGGATGCCAACTGCCACGAATTTGAGGGTCAGTTGCCCTTCCCCAACCCGTAACTCTGTTTCCCTGCATGCCTTGCTTCGCATCCATCTCTTTTTGCCCCGTTCAAAGCATGCCGTGCTCCCCATGCATCCTAACCTTCCCAGCATGCCTTGAATTGTATTCATCTCTGTTTGCCTCATTCAAAGCATGCCCTGCTCCCGTTCCATCCTAATCTGCACCTTCCTTGCATGCCTTGCATTGCATTCATCTCTGTTTTCCCCATTCAAATCATGCCGTGCTCGCCATGCATCCCAATTTGCACCTTTCCTGCATGCCTTGCAGTGCAGTCATCTCTGTTTGCCCCATTCAAAGCATGCCCTGCTCCCCATGCTTCCCAAATTGCACCTTCCTTGCATGCCTTGCATTGCATTCATCTCTGTTTGCCCCATTCAAAGCATGCCCTGCTCCTCATGCATCCTAACCTGCACCTTCCCTGCATGCCTTGCATTGCATTCATCTCTGTTTGCCCCATTCAATGCATGCCCTGCTCCTCATGCATCCTAACCTGCACCTTCCCTGCATGCCTTGCATTGCATTCATCTCTGTTTGCCCCATTCAAAGCATGCCCTGCTCCTCATGCATCCTAACCTGCACCTTCCCTGCATGCCTTGCATTGCATTCATCTCTGTTTGCCCCATTCAAGCATGCCCTCCTCCCCATGCATCCTAATTTGCTCCTTCCCTGCATGCCATGTTCCATGTTTTCCCTTCCGTTGAATACTTCAATAGCTCTACATCGAGGATACCCGGAATCGCATGTGCATGGAAGCTGACGACAACAATATCAATTTCTACCCATCTTTTGAGAAGAGGATCTTGGTCTTGCACGCGGTCATATCGGAGAACTACATAGTGTCTTTGATTCAGTTGAAAGAGGTCATGCAGGACCAGAAACGCATTGAAACTTTCAAGCGTGTTTGGACGCAATGGAAGAACGAGCGTGCCTTCTACATCAAAAGGGCGCTGCTCGAGGCTCTGGGGGTGGCAGTTAGTGGGCTGTGTGCATCGGAGTTACACATCGACGTGGAATTGAAGTGCGATCTTTGGGGCACCTACTGCCCAAGTGAGTATTCCATCGCACAATGCCTTGTATTGCATGATTTCGGGGGGGTTACACCCCCAACCCCCTTCATTGGTCACTGTTTCTCTCTTACCATTTCCCGTTTTCCTTCAACCAACCAGTTTGGCCTGCCAATGCCCCACCTGTCCCCTCCCCAACCCCCTCCAAACCCAACTGCTGCAGGTGCCGATGATCCACTAAGCACATGGGGGAATGATGACGAGTCCGGCCTCCCATTCGCCAATAAGTGCTTCTTCGATGCTGCCATGGATGCCTTTGGTGAATATGCTGTGGGGACAAAGTTGTGCATCAAGGCGTATCACATTGCGTGGATTATCATGGTGGTGAGCTTTTTTTTCTCCCTCTCGTTGTCACCAATTCATTGTGTTCTCCCCAACCCTTCTACCCCATTCCTTGCTTGGGTTTCAACAAATGTTTCAACGTGCTTTTCATTCTTGCATGCCATGCACGGTGCTCCCAATAATTCACTGTTTCCCCCTTTGAAACATGATCCACAAATCATTGCATGCCCTCCAAACACCATGTCTGTACAGATCGATTACGGATTGTCAAAGACAAACAAGACAACAATGAACCTCACCAACTCCCACCGTAAGAACACCAAATGGGTGACAAGCATCCGCGCCCTTGTGAAAAGGGTGGTGAGGGATCACTTCACCCAGGCCAGTCCGACCTACAACCCCCGCATGAGGGGTTTCGAATGGGGGCCATTTGGCCTTTTTGTCCACGAGTCGGGCTTTGAGGAGTATAGGGCCACACCAAGCACCCGCACTCCGGTGGGGAGGGTGGTCACTTGACTGAACTAGAGTGGAGGTTGCAACGAAGAGGAGCAGCGGGTTGTAAACAGTGCGAGAAGCAGAGAAAGGAGGAGTGGGGAGACATGGGGAAGCAGCAGTGGAGGGGGCAGCTGCAGAACTGGTGTGGGGTGTGCTGTGGAGGAGTAGCAGTAGGGAGAGTATGACATGGAAGCAGCAAAAAGGGAAGCTATGTTGAGCTGTGAGACCGCAGCGGAGCAGCGGGGTACGGCAGCTGTGAGAGGCAGTAGGTATCTGCTTGGGGGAAGCAATGCTGTGATGCTGGGAGGAGCAGGAGTGGAGTGTGCAGCGGTGGAACAGCAAACAGGAAATCAGAGTAATAAAAACAGAGGGGGTATGGGATAAGGACCAGCAGCAGATGAAGTAGAGCAGTCACAGCAGTGGGATGAGCAGAGAAGGGGCAGCAGCGGGTCAAGCAGAGTAATGACAGCAGGGTGGGAGCGGAAAAGGACAGCAGTGGGGGAAGAAGAGCAGCCACAACAGTGGGGGGAGCTCCAAAGAGGCAGCAGTGGGGGAAGCAGAGTAGACACAGAGCATTTGGGGAAGCGGAGAAGGGGCAGCAGGGGGAGCAGAGTAGTCACAACAGTGGGGGGAGTGGAGAAGGGGCAGCAGTGGGGGGAGCAAGGAGTGGCAGCAGCTTGTCAAGCAGAGTAGTTACAACAGGGGGGAGCAAAGAAGGGGCAGCAGCGGGGAAGGAGAGTAGTCACAACAGTGGGGGGAGCTCCAAAGAAACAACAGCCAGGGGAGTAGAGTAGTCACTGAGCAGTGGGGGACGAATAGAAAGGGCAGCAGCTGGGGAGCAAAGGTCTCCGCAGTGTGGGAACAGAGAAGGGGCAGCAAGGAGGGAACAGAGAAGTCACAACAAAGGGGAGAGCGAAGAAGGGGCAGCATTGGGAGAAGAAGAGTAGTCACATCAGTGGGAGAGGCAAAGAATCACAGCAGCGGGTCAAGGTTAGTAGTCACAACAGTTGGGGAGCAAAGTTGAGGAAGCAGCGGGGGAAGAAGAGCAGTCACAACAGTGGGAAGAAGAGCAGTCACAGCAGCCAGGGGAGTAGAGTAGACACAGAGCATTTGGGGAAGCGAAGAAGGGGCAGCATAGGTCACAGCAGTTAGGAACTCCAGGCCAACTAGTGCGATAGGAGACGAGGAGTAGGGGATTACAATGTGACAGTAGGAGACTAGATGCAGGGATATGAAGCAAAAGGAATGTTGTTGTAGCGTTTTTAATTCCTAATTTCCTGATTTTTGCGAGCACAAATCGTATGTCGGTGGGATCCATGGAAAAAGCTGTTTGGTGTTGGGTCGAAGCATTATCAAACCTTGTGCAAGGTATAATTATGGCTGTGTACAAGGTAAAAAAACATACACGATGCTCCTTCACAACTGTATAATTTACAGGCATTGACACTCTGCTAAACCATGTCAGAATCCAATTCAAACATGTAACAAAAGACAGCAAAGCACCATTTTTACACCGCATAAATATCAATAGGTGACTAAAACATGTCCATAACAAGGTTTCCAAAACCCCAATTGAACTTCCCTCGCATGTATTCAGAACCATTTCAGAACCTGCCAATCATACGAAAATCATCTGACACATCATTTGAAAAAAGTTAGATACTTTCTTCTAAAAACGTTTGAACCCCTACCTTTTGAAAACATTCGAACAAAGTCTTCAAACACACATCATGTATAGTATTCAGATAGTTGATTTTTGTGACGGAGAGGGGCAAGCGGGAAAAAGAAAGGACGATTTTAGCGCGTCCGATCTATTTTTTTTCGTTTTTTTGCCCAAACAACAACTCAGCGGGGTGGGGGGTCCCCAGGGAGGCTTGCCCGTACAAAGAAACGCCCCGTGCGCACCACCGTTGGGTGGTTGGAAGCCGCACACGGTCGCGGGGGTGGAGAGCGGAAACGGGCAGCCGGGGGAGGGTGGGGGCGGTTGGATGGGACTGGGGTGTACGGGGGGCAGGGGAGTTGAGGGGGCAAGGGGAGGGGCAGCAACGGGCAGGGGCTGGGCCAGCTGAGGGCAAGGAAAAGGGGCGGGCAGAGGGTGAGCAGAGGGGCGAGCGATGCAAGGGAGGCACCATAGGGGGGAAAACAGTTGCACGGAGGTGGGAGGTGAGGGGCGTGCGAGGGGGTGGGAAAGGGGCAGGGAGGGGCAGAATGGGAGGATGTGGGTGGGGGGTGGGGGAGGGGAGTGTGTGTGTGTGTGTGAGAGAGAGAGAGAGAGAGAGAGAGAGAGAGAGAGAGAGAGAGAGAGAGAGGGAGAGGGAGGGGGGGAGAGAAGGATGGGAGGGGGGCTGATGGTGGTAAGAGGGCAGCAGGGATGGGGAGAAGGGAGCGTAACGAGGGGAAAGCAAAGGGCAGGGGGGGAGGAAGGGAGGGGCAGGGAGGGAAGAGGCTGAACGTACAAAGGGGGGAAACGAGGGGCATGGATGGTAGGAAACAAGGGCAGGGGTGCGGGAAATCAAGGGCAGGGAGGGGAGAAGCAATGGGTGAGGGGAAGACAAGGGAGGGGCAGAGGGGGGGCAGGGAGGGAAGAAACATGGGGCAGGGAGGGGAGAAGCCAAAGACAGGGGCATGGGCAGGCGGGAGCAGGGAGGGAGCAAAGGAGAGGCACGGAGAAAGAAAGGGAGGTGCAGGGAGGGGAGAAACCGGGCGTGGGGGGGCGGAAAATGAGGGGCAGGGCGGGGAGGAGGGAGAGGCAGGGAGGGGAGAAGCTGAGCACACAGAGGGGGGAAAGGTGGGGCAGGGAGGTGGGAAGCCAAGGGCAAGGGGGGGAGAGTGGGGGGGCAGGGAGAGGGGGGAGGTGGGGAGCGGAGAAAGGCGGCGAGGGGCAGGGAGGGGAGAAACCAAGCATAGGGGGGCGAGAAACGAGGGGCAGGGTGCGGATTGAGGAGGGGCAGGGAGTGGAGTGGGTCGGCGAGGGGAAGGAAGAGGCGTGCAGCAGAGGAGGGGAGGGGGGAGGCGAAGGTAAACGAGGGGAGGGCACGGGCGGGGAGGAGCGAATGGCGGGCGGTGGGAAACGGCGAGGGGGGCAGGGAGGGTCAAAAGAGGCGGCAAAGGAGCGGGCACGCGGAGGGTACGGGCGGGGGGAGCGGATGGCATGAGGGGGCAGGGGGTGTGACTATGAAGGGGGGACCCGGGCAAGGGGTGTGTACCGGTCGGGGCACGGGATTGTCGTGGTACGATCATACCTCGGCTACTACGCCGGATCACATCAGAACTCCGAAGCTATGCGCCCGTGGGCGAGAGAAGTTATTTATTGGTAAGGGAAATACAATCACAAACCGGATACAATCCAAAAGGAGGAAATTTCGGCATGACCACAGCTCTATGAGGACGACATATATTGTCTGTAGGGAAGAGAAGTAAGAAATAAGAAGAAAAGGTCAAGGAGTGGAAAGAAGTTAGTTGGGAAAAGAATAGAGTGGTAGGAAGAGAAGAGAAAAGATGGAGGAAGGGAAAAGAAAGAGGGAGATGGGAAGAGGAGAGGAGAGAGGGAAAGAGACGAAGGAGAAGGAAGCACCAAGGGACCAGACACGGCAGCAATCCGCACAACAAACGCGGGCACAGCGTTTCAAGCACAGCCACTAAACTCTCTACACATATGCATCGTACATATATTGCATATCGGCAACACTCTCGAAGCACCCTGTGATATGGTTGCAGGTACCCTGCCCCGCACCCAGTGGGACGGGTGCCGGCATCCACCCGTCATCGGATCCCCCCAACTGCCGCACCGCATGCTGTAAGATGCATTGAGCCTGCGCGCGCTGCAGTGCCACGGAGAGACGTGTAGTGAGTCCTGTCTCATATATCTGTGCCGATCAGTCATCCCCCCCTCCTCAATCCTTCCTCCGCTGTGCTATCCTCTTCGCGCAGAGCCCCAGGAACTGACGCAACGGCTCGCTCAGTAGGCCAAAGGTCTCAGCCACGCACGCGTAAAAGTGTGGTGCCGGCTGCAACCCCTCTAGGTGCGGCCCCCAGTGACGCAACTTCTCCTGCACCCGCCTAGCTGCTGCCACTCCAATCTGTGTGGGGGTCGCCCGTCCCAGCTGCACGTTCCCCTCCCGCTGTGGATCCGCTTTGGAGACATCCACAAGAACCATCATCATAGTCTGCCCAACGTCACGGCAGGTGAGGTCTGGGATGCGGGAGGAGGTGCCTGCACGGCCTGTGCGTCCGGCTGGTCCCTGCTGCTGCGCTGGCTGCTGCCCTGTCTGGTCCCTCGGTACCTCCTCTCCAGTCGTCTCTCTCCCCCTATCCTCTACTCCACCCACCTGTCCTCTCCCCTCCCCCTCTCTACCCTCCCCCAACCCTCCCAACCCCCCTGCTCGATCCCCTGCTGCCTCTCTCACTCCTTGAACCTCACCTCCCAATCTCGCTGCCCCCCCTATAACCCCGTCCGCTCTCTGCTGCTCTCGCCCCTGCCCCACCCCCGAGCCCACACCCTGAGGCGCGGCGCCCTGAGCCTGCGACCTGTGCGGGCTCTCCTGCTGCTGCCTCTGCTGTCCGCCCTCTCCGCCCTGGCTGGTCTGCACCCCCTGCCGTCCCCTCTGCCCACCTGCCCCTCGCGCCACCCGACCCCGCAGCTGATGCTGTCCCCACTGAGCCCCGCCGCCCGACTGTCCTGCCTCAGCCCTCTGCTCCAGTGCCCCCCCAGCCCGTGTCCCCTCTCCCACCACCGGCTGTCCCAGCAGTCTCGCTCGAGCTGCCTCCAGGTGTGTGAACAGCGTAGAGTCCTCCACCTTCACTGCGAAACCCGCCTCGACAGCGAAGTCTCAAAGCGCGAACTTCACCGTGTCGTGGATGACAGTGGCGACGCCGAATCGTGGGCACCGAACCGCGTGGTGAGGCACCGTCATGTCGTCGATCGCCTGTCCACAGGAGCACTGACCTGTGAGGGCTAACTGGGGGACAGGGAGACCAAGACGACATGAAGAAGCCACCTGCCACTCCGCCTCCGGAATGCGCATGGCGTCTGCGTATGGCACCGCCTGAAACCACGCTCCTGCACCTACGCCTTGAAGGGAAGTCAAACAGGCAAGGTGCAAGGGAGAGGTGTGACGGGCACGCACGGCCTCCAAGGCATGCGCCTCCAGAAGGCGGCTCGCTCCTGCAAAAAGGGAATCGGGGGAGGCAGAGGCACAAGAGGGCCAGGGTGGGAGGAGAGAGAGAATGTCAGGTGGAAGGCCCTCCAGCGTCGTCCGTAGGGATGGGTCGATCTGCTCCGTCTCACCGGAAGCAAAGCTCTGCCGAAAGACCTCACCGCACGCCGGGAGAGAACAGAGGATGGGTGCACACTGCACCCAAGAGCACACGAAACTCACCGGGGCAGTGCGCTCCATGCGACGAATGCCGAAACCCCCAAGGCGGATGGGGAGGAAGATCTGGTCGCTGGCGGCATCTCTGACGTCCTCGCGGCATGCCCAGGTCCCTGACGCTAAAAGCTGCTGAAAAGTCTCTCCCAGGCGTGCGTCCCAGCGTGCGAAGCTGGAGAGCACTGCGGGCGAGAGAGGGACAGTCCTCGACGGGTACTGCGGGCGAGTGCTGACACATGCCGAAAGAAGGCGAGCAGCTGTCTGGGGCTGACGCAACCTCGGAAGCCAGGGTAGCACCCGCCCCATCCTCTCGAGTCGATCCGGGACGCTGCGCTCCACAAACGAAACAGTACCCACCGGCACGCCTGTCACAGTGAGTCCTCGGCGTGCAACCTCGACCCCAAGGCTCGTAAAGGCCTCCACATCCCTGGACAAAAAAGACTCAGTCTGGTAGACGAGGCACTTGTGCGATTGGGCCGCGTGGCCCATCTTGCCCAAGCGCCTCACGATCTCGGAGAAATGGTGTAGCACCCTGTCTGGGGGGCCTAGCACGTACGTGTCGTCGGCGTACGACCAGAGCTGGACATCGCCCTCCGTCAGAACCGGCTCCAGGGCAAGTCTCTGTGTCATAGCGTACAGGAAGGGACTGAGGGGGTCTCCCTGGCGACTGCCACGCTCCGAGTGCATCGTGACCACTCCCTCACCTGTCCTGTAGTGGAGATCCGAGGGCGTCCCGTAGAAAAGGCCGATGAAAAGGATGAGGCACTGGAACTCTGGGCTGGCCTGCAAAGCCTGGAACATCATGTCTCGGTGAAATGAGTTAAAGGCGTTCGCCACGTCTAGCTGCAGGACCACCCAGTCCGGGTGGTCAGCCAGAGCACGGCGGACACCTCTAACTACGACGTCTCTGCCACACGTCACCCCCACCCCAAGCTGCTGGGACGCCAAGAAGACCCTCGCCATCTGGTCGCGTAGCTGGAGGCAAACTGCTCGCGAAAGAATGCGGACCAACACCTCGCCAATGGCAATCGGCCGAACATCCATGTTCGACTTCGCCAGAGCCACGAGGGTGGAAGACGCCAGTAAAGAGCGCGTAGCTGGAGCGCAACGACCTCGGAGCCACTGCTGGTACACAGCTAGAAGAGAGGGGAGACTCTGAGAGAAAGCCAGGAAAGTGTCTCGAAGGTGCTCAGCAACCCACCCGGACGGTCCCCCCGAGGAGCCGCGCGGAGCTGTGAAGATGGCGCGACGTAGGTGATCCGTCGAGAGCACGAGAGCAGTCCCCTGGTAGTCCGACAGCCAAGCTGGGGTCGGCCTCTCCGCGTTGGGGTGCTTTGACTTCAGGCACTGTGTCGTCCCCTGTGTATCTGGGGCGGCCTCCGCGGACTCGAGAGCCGCGCAGGCCCGTGAGGTCTCATTGCACGCTGCCAGACGGAGGCAACATGCAATGCGACGCTCATCTGCGGTGGACTGGGTGGCGACGGCACGTGCGCGCCGGGATGTGCGTCGAGGAAGGGGGGTGCGACGGATCAGGGCCTCAGAGAGTAGCTCTGTCCACTCACCTCGCATGAAGCGGGAGACCCGTGCTGCGATGGCAGTCGTGTGCGAGCGGTCTGGCGGGGTCGCCTGCGTCAGGAGAAGTGTGGGTGCAGCGGCGAGGAGGAAGGTAGGGCCCGGAGCCTCGGGATACTGGGATACACGGGCTAAGATCGTGCAGAGGACGTCAAGATATCCTCCGCGAACCCTAGTTGGAATGCGTCGGAGAGGGCGGGCGTGGGTGCGCTCTGGCGAGAAATACTCCGACCAGTCGAAGGAGTCCAACGTCTGCCACTGTGCATCTGTGAAATGCGTCCTCGTCCCCTGTGGCTCCGAGAGGGATGGGAGGACAGATGAGGTGTCGTGGAGGGCCTGTGCCCTACGAGCTGCGTCCGCAGGATGGCAGAAGGGCGTGTGGTGCTGAAGCGCGCGTCGGTTCGCGAGAGAGCTCCTGCAGGTGGGGCATCTCACGACCTGGTCGGGTGACGTCGCCGTGTCGGTGGGGTCGATCGGGGCCGTGGCATCGGAACTGGCTGTAGAGGGGACCCCATGGGCGGCCTGAACTCCAAGAGGATCACCTGGGATAAGGAGAGGAGAGGACTCGCCGGCCCCGTGCAGGGGGGGTGTCGGACAAGATAAAGGTGGTGCCACACAGGATGGGGCTGGGCCTCGTGGCGGTACCGGTCCCGAAGCTAGGGGGGGGGGACGTGGAGGTGAGCCAGAAGTGTGTGCCGTGGTGTGCCCCTGTCCCTGGTCCAAGCGGCGGCTCTGCTACCCCAGGCGGAGGGGTCTCGGCAGGGGCGGATGCCTCATGCCTAAAGCTGGTGCCCTCTTGCGCCACGGGTAGTGTGTCGGCAACATGCTGAACGGAGGGAGGCACCACCACGTCGGGGTGCGAGTGACACGGCCTTAGAACCAGGTCCGTTTCCATCGGGGACGGGAGTGACGCGCCTGGCTGAGTAGTGGGGGGGGGGTGAAAGAAGGGACAGAACGGGTGACCTCCGCATACGTCCAGGTCCGGGCCTGTGGGACTGGCAGGGTGGGGGCAGCCGGGGAGCTGCTCGGGCTCCGTATCGCCAGCAAATCTGAGATGGCAGTCCTCACCTCCTGTGGGGTCCCGGTGACCTGCCTGCCTGCTGGTGAGGGGAGGAGGGCTGGCCGGGTAGTGGGTGGGGCGGGGCGTGCTGGCTGAGCGGTGCTCAGGTGTGGTCCCTGCTCTTTAAAGCCCCCTTGGCCCTCCCCAATGACCATGGGTTGCGGTAGGGGGGCGTCGACCTGGATGGGGTGGGAGGTGTGGGAAGAGGAGTCGGTGGCGTCTGCCATGGGCGCATCCCTCATCCCGTCGGCCTCCATCCCGACATCGTACCCGGCTGCCGCCACCTGGGGGGGGTCTAGAGGAAGGGAGAGGCGGCCCGGGGGTGAGCGGGTTGGATCGGTCCCATGGCCCTGTGGATGGGCAGGTTCGGGAGGGGTGCGTGATTTTGGTGGCCGGCCCGTGGGGGTGAGGCCTGGTGCAGGTTCATCGGGATGTGGGGTGAGGAGGGGTGCCTGGAGGGGGAGGGAGGGAGGAGGGAGTAGGTGAGCTGATCCTTTGCCTCCCCTGCCTTTTTTCTTCCGCCGGCGGCCAACCTGGTTTTCGTTGTCCCTGCCTGGTTGTGAAGGAAGGGGGGGCTGAGGGGCCAAGGGGGTGGGTGGGGGGAGGATGGGTGGTTGACCAGGCGGGGGAATCTCTGTGTGCCTCCCCCCCCTCCCCATGACATCACCCTCCGTGGGGACAGACCGGGCAGGCTGTGCGTGTGGGGCGATGGTTGCCCAATGGGGCCACTCGTGAGGAACAGGGCCGGGTGAGGAGGTTGTAGGCGGGGGCCGAGGCGCTGGAGTGGTGTGGAGGGTAGAGTGCGGTGCAAGCGGTGGGGGGAGGGAGGTTTGTGGTGGCTCCGTGGTGGCAGGGGGTGGGGGAATGAGTGGGAGGGGAGGTTTTGAGGTTGCGCCCCCATGCTGGAAATTGGGGCCAGGGCCCCTCCCACTGGTGGCCCCACCTGTGGGCCCCTCCAGTGTGTCGTCGCTCCCATGAGACTCCACAGGTCCTTGCGGGTGGGCCTTGGCTGCCTGGGGGGGGTGGTGTGAGGAGGGCAGCCCGTTGGGTGGAAATGTTGGGGTTGTGCGGCGACTTGGGTGGTTTGGGTGTATGAAGCGTGTGGGAGAGAGATGTGGCCCGAGGGAGGTTTCAACCTCTGAGATGTGTGTAGATCCGGGCGGGGGGGGGACCTGGTGGGGGAGGAGGTAGGAGGTTGGCCGGAGATGATTCGGTGGATTTAGGGGTCGGAGAGCATGGCTCAGCCAGGAAGGCCAAGGCCTTGGCTGCTCCCCGTGGTGTTCGGAGGAACCCCTGGGGGTGGGGGCATGAGTGTGCTGCCCTTGGGGGAGATGGATGGAGTGAGGGAAGGGGCGGGGAGGGGTTAGAGGCGAGAGTAGGAGTGCCTTTGGGCAGCTCTGCCCTTGTTGCACCCGCGCGCTCCCCCGGTGGACCGCCTGCAAGCGTGGGGTCAGGCGTTGGGGAAAGAGGGGGGGGCTGGCCAAGGAACAGCGTGGGGGTCGGGGAGCACGGCTCTGCCAAGAAGTCCAGGGCCTTGGCTGCCCCCCTGGATGCTAGAGGGAGCCCCTGAGGGTGGGGGTGGGGAAGTGGTGCTCCTGGGGGGGGGTGGGCTGTAGGACGGGGGGTAAGGATGGGGGCGCCCTCGCGGGGCTCTATCCTCAAAGTCTCCTCCATCCCCTCCATCGGTCCATCTGCCAGCATAAGGTCGGGCATGGGGGGGAAAGGGGGAACCTCGTCATGAGGCTGCAGGGGGCCTGGGTCGGCCTCACCGTCAGGTGTGAGGTATTGGGCCAGTGGCCCGTCGATGTGCATCCCGTCCTCTACCGCATCCTCTCCCATCACTATCACATCCCCTTCTCCAAGAACCCCCCTAGTTGGGACCCCACTCACCCCTCCTGCCCCTATGTCCCCTGAGCCCGCCCCCCCTGCTGGCTCATTACTGCCAGCCCTTTCTGCGGCCTCTTCTGCTCCAGATACAGCCTCTGTCGGCCCTGCTGTGGCCTCTACTGCTTCTGCTGCCGCCTCTGCCGCCCCTGCTGGCCGTGCCATGGTCCGCTCTGTTGCTTCAGCTGCATCCCCCGCTGCGCCCTCACCCGCTGCGGCCGGGGCACCCGCCCCCGCCACACTCTCCCCCAATTCAGCCCCCCCAGCCCTCTCACCTGTTGTAGCTCCTGCTGTCCGCCCCCCTGCTGCACTCCCCCCTGCTGCACTTACCACTGCTGTAGCCTCTGCAGCTCTCCCCACTACACCACCCTTCTTTGCTACTGCCCCCCCTGCTGCAGCCTCTGCTGCTCTGCCGCCCACACCCGCAGCAGCCTGAGCAGCCCCGACAACTGCGGCGGCTGATGCCTGATGTGCTGCAGCTCTCCCAGTCTCTTCCGCAACTACACCCACCAACCCAGGAGCTGCCCCCTCTGCCACAGGTCCTGCCCCCCCTGACACAGCTCACAGTGTCCTTCCAGCAGCCTCTACTTCTCTGTCTGCAGCCCCTGCCATCCCAGCTGGGGCCTGAGCCACTCCTGCTCTGGTCTCTGCCGCCCTTACTGTGGCCTGTGCCACTCCTGCTACCCGGGCTTCCCGCGCTATCCGGCTCGTGCCGTCCGTGCCTGCAGCTCTGTCCACTGCGGTCTCTGCCGCCCCTGCTGTGGCCTGTGCCACCCCTGTTGTACGGCCCGTGCTGCTTGTGCGTGCAGCCACATCCTCTGCTGCTCCTGCAGCCCTGTATGCTGCCATTTGTACCGATTCAGGGCCTGCCGCCTCTGTAGCGGCTCCCAGGGCCCTTTGTGGTGCTTCTGCAGCCCCTGCTGCAGCACTCGCCGCCCCGCCTGCGGCTCCTGCCGCCACCACTGTGGCCTCTCCCCACCCTGCTGTGGCCTCTGCCGCCCCTTTAGTGGCTTGTGCCGCCACTGCTGCCCGTGCTGTCCCGGCCGTGCTGCTTATGCATGCAGCCCTCTCCTCTGCCACCTCTGCAGCCCCAATTGCTGCCGTCCCCACCGACTCAGGAACTGCCGTCCCAGCGGCGGCTCCTGCTGCCCTTCTTGCTGCCTCAGCACCCCTCTGTGCAGTCCTTTCCGTACCAACCGCAGCCTCAGCCGCCCTTGCGGCGTTCTCTGCTGCCTCTGCCGTGGCATGTGCCACCTCACGTGTGGTTCCTGCAGCCCCACCTGCATCTGCCTCTTCCACATCCATAGTCACACCCCCTGGTGTGCCTCCCTCAGGAGCCTCTGCCGCCCCCAATACATCCTTTGCTGGCCCCACCGCAACCCCACCTGCCCCTGCCGCATCCCTTGCTGCCTTCACCACATCCCTTGCTGCCCCACCCACATCCCTTGCTGCCCCACCCACAGCTTTTGCTGTCCCACCCACTTTTCCTGTTGTCCCGCCCACATCCCTTGCTGCAGCTCCCGCTGCCCCAATTTCCACACCTCCACCCTCTCCTCCTCTCTTATGCTCGGATGGGGTCTGCCCAGACCTCCCTTTTAGTCCTCTAGTGGGGTCCCTTGTGCTTCCAGGGCTGCAATCGTGTGCTTGTATCTTTTTGTGTGACCGTTTTTTGGTGTGGGTGCTGGTGGGTGCGGTGGAGCGTGGCTCTGTAACCTGCTGGGCAGCCTCGTTAGCGCCACCTGGAGAGGGGGGCTGTGGGGGAGCAGGTGATTTGCGGTGTGCTTTGGAGCGTGCGTGTGCACCCTCGCGGTCCTGCTCCTGCTGATGCGGGCGTGGTTGGGTTTCGATCTCGTCTAGTGCGCGTTTATGACCTCGGGGGTCAGTGTGAGTGTCGCCAGCGCTTGCCTGGTCCCCGAAATCCGGGTTTTTCTTAGTAGTGGGAGGGGGGGCAAGAGAGGGATAGGGGGTAGGGCGGCCCTGGATCCTGCCGGAGCGTCGGGTTGGTCCGGAGCCAGCCTCCCCCCCACCTTGGGGTTGGCGGGGCATGCCTAAGGTGGCTGCATGGTCGGGGAGGGGAGGTATGGGGGCATGGGAGTTGAGGGGTATGTGCACGCAGGAAGTAGGGAAAAAGGGGGAGAGCTGGGTCTGACCTGGGCGGCCCGAGTTCCTGGAAGGGGGCGGAAGGGTGGTGGGAAACACAGATGACAAAAAGGAGGGGGAATTCTGACGCCTGGAGGGAAGGGAGCGGGAGGTGAGGGGGAGGTGGAGAGAGGTCAGAGCTCAAGGGAAGGCATGAGCCCAAGGGATAACGGAAGGCAATAGGAGGGAGGTTGGGGAGTCATGGGGTGGGCAAGAACCAAGTTGGGAAAAAGGTGGAGTAGGGGATGAGCTGTAGGGTGCCAGTTCGAGGACTGTAAAGACAGGAAGAGAGGGAGTGGGTGAGATGGCGGGGCAGGGTGAGAGGAGGGGTGAAGACACAGAGTGGGACGGGGATGACAAAGGACAGTGCACGGGAGGTGCAGGGGGGCAGGGAGAGAAGGGGGCTGTTGGTGGAAACTGGGAAGAGCCTGCAGGGGGCCGTGAAGGGGAGGTGAAGGATGGTGGTGGGATGGTGGTGGGGAGGAAACTTGGGTATGGGGCAGATTGGGGGACTAGAAAGAGGTTCTGAAGATCACATCTACCAGTATTTCGGAAATTGTGCCTTTGTTATATTTTTCTTGTTTTTAAGCTTTTTTTTTTCCAGAATATAATTTATTCTCTCTTGGCTGCGGGTATGCAGGTGGTGCTAGCTACGGGGTATGCAGGTCGTGCTAGCTGCGGGGTGTGCGTGTACTACTAGCAGCGGGGTATGTGAGCAGTGATAGCGGCAGTAGTGAGGGCAGTGCTGGCGGCGGCTGTGCAGGTAGTCCTAACGGCGGCTATGCAGGCAGAGCTAACCGCGGCGAGCAGTGCTAGTAGCGGCGGCTATGCGGGCTGTGCTAGCGGCGGCTATACGGGTAGTGTGGCGGCGGCTATGCGGACCGTGCTAGCCGCTCAAGCTAAGGCCGCGGCGTGGCTCGTGTCCTGCGCGACAGAGAAGAGGCTAGGGATGCCGCCTACGCGATGCACGAGCAAACGCGTTCGCGGCCTCCTCACCCTCCGTTCGGCCTCGCTAAACAGCTAGCGCGTTCACGACTAGGGCAAAACAGCGCGCGCTATGACGAACGAGCGCGAAACATGCGGTATAACGAGAAAATGAGGAAAAAATAGCCGAAGCGCGCGTCTAATGTCTGAACATTAGGGTTTCGAAAATGAGGGAAACTAGGAAAATGGTCCCTAGGGAGTCAGATCGCGGGTCTAAGACGTGAGAAAATGACGCGAGAAGAGGTGGTTGCTCGTCGATCGTGTGAAATGTAAGTAATAGCTAATCGCTTCGAATAGAAAAGCAGTGGGTAGAATAGAGCGGGGGGATAGGGGTGAGTGTCGAGAGAGGGGATGGGCGGGAATACCGTGTCTGGCGGAGTTGTGGAATTGAGTCGCGCGCGCTGTTACTCTCCGCGGGCGAACTTCTCGTCCACGCCCCAACTCACGTTACACCCGCTGCAGCGCGTCCGCAGCCTTCCCGCGATGGCGGGGTCGATCAAGTGGTTCCGTAACACCCCGCGAGTTCTGTTTCCGAGAGTCCCAAGGGTCGCGCGCGAAACTCGCGACCCCCGTCCCGTCGAACTCGACGGTCGAAACTAGAAAACTAACCGTTGAAAATGCTTATAACTACAACATAAACAACTATCACAATCACTTTGTCCTTGAGCAACCCGAAATAGTAGGCTTAGCAACCTCCTTAGGTGGCACCCATGGCTAGGTAAGAGCTAGGTCAAGCTAAGAGCGCCAGTGGGCGAGAGCAGAACTGGGCTGGGTGACCTCTCGGGAAGTCCTCGTGTTGTACCCATTTATGCCCCTTGCTCGGCACGTGCCGGGGAGGGGCAAGCGGGAAAAAGAAAGGACGATTTTAGCGCGTCCGACATAATTATTTCCGTTTTTTTGCCCGAACAACGAGTCAGTGGGGTGGGGGGCCCCCGGGGAGGCTTGCCCGCGCGAAGAAACGCCCCGTGCGCACCACCGTTGGGCGGTTGGAAGCCGCACACGGTCGCGGGGGTGGAGAGCGGAAACGGGCAGCCGGGGGAGGGTGGGGGCGGTTGGACGGGAGTGGGGTGTACGGGGGGCAGGGGAGTTGAGGGGGCAAGGGGAGGGGCAGCAACGGGCAGGGGCTGGGCCAGCTGAGGGCAAGGAAAAGGGGCGGGCAGAGGGTGAGCAGAGGGGCGAGCGATGCAAGGGATGCACCAGAGGGGGGGAATCCACTTGAGCGGAGGTGAGAGGTGAGGGGCGTGCGAGGGGGTGGAACAGGGGCAGGGAGGGGCAGAACGGGAGGATGTGGGTGGGGGGTGGGGGAGGGGAGTGTATGTGTGTGTGTGTGCGAGAGAAAGAGAGAGAGAGAGAGAGAGAGAGAGAGATAGAGAGAGAGAGAGAGGGAGAGGGGGGGGGGGAGAAGGGTGGGAGGGGGGCTGGTGGTGGGGACGGGCTGATGGTGGTAAGAGGGCAGCAGGGATGGGGAGAAGGGAGCGTAACGAGGGGAAAGCAAAGGGCAGGGGGGGAGGAAGGGAGGGGCAGGGAGGGAAGAGGGTGAACGTACAAAGAGGGGAAACGAGGGGCATGGATGGTAGGAAACAAGGGCAGGGGTGCGGGAAATCAAGGGCAGGGAGGGGAGAAGCAATGGGTGCGGGGAGAACAAGGGAGGGGCAGAGGGGGTACAAGGTGATCTCAGGGAGGGAAGAAACGTGGGGCAGGGAGGGGAGAAACCAAAGACAGGGGCATGGGCAGGCGGGGGCAGGGAGGGAGCAAAGGAGAGGCACGGAGAAAGAAAGGGAGGTGCAGGGAGGGGAGAAACCGGGCGTGGGGGGGCGGAAAATGAGGGGCAGGGCGGGGAGGAGGGAGAGGCAGGGAGGGGAGAAGCTGAGCACACGGAGGGGGGAAAGGTGGGGCAGGGAGGTGGGAAGCCAAGGGCAAGTGGAGGAGAGTGGGGGGGGCAGGGAGAGGGGGGAGGTGGGGAGCGGAGAAAGGCGGCGAGGGGCAGGGAGGGGAGAAACCAAGCATAGGGGGGCGAGAAACGAGGGGCAGGGTGCGGATTGAGGAGGGGCAGGGAGTGGAGTGGGTTAGCGAGGGGAAGGAAGAGGCGTGCAGCAGAGGAGGGGAGGGGGGAGGCGAAGGTAAACGAGGGGAGGGCACGGGCGGGGAGGAGCGAATGGCGAGCGGTGGGTAACGGCGAGGGGGGCAGGGAGGGTCAAAAGAGGCGGCGAGGGAGCGGGCACGCGGAGGGTAGGGGCGGGGGGAGCGGATGGCATGAGGGGGCAGGGGGTGTGACTATGAAGGGGGGACCCGGGCAAGGGGTGTGTACCGGTCGGGGCACGGGATTGTCGTGGTACGATCATACCTCGGCTACTACGCCGGATCCCATCAGAACTCCGAAGCTAAGCGCCGGTGGGCGAGAGCAGTTATTTATTGATAAGAGAAATACAATTACAAGCCGAATATAAGTGTTTTTCCAAAAGGAGGAAATTTCGGCATAACCACTGCTCTATGAGGACGACATATATTGTCTGTAGGGAAAAGAAGAAAGAAAGAAGAAGAAAAGGTCAAGGAGTGAAAAGAAGTAGTAGGGAAAAGAAGAGAGTGGTGGGAAGAGAAGAGAAAAGATAGATGAAGGGAAGAGAAAGAGGGAGGTGGGAAGAGGAGAGGAGAGAGGGAAAGAGACTAAGGAGGAGTTAGCACCAAGGGACCAGACACGGCAGCAACCCACACAACAAACGCGGGCACAGCGTTTCAAGCACAGCCACTAAACTTTCTACACATATGCATCATACATATATTGCATATCGGCAACACTCTCGAAGCACCCTGTGATATGGTTCCAGGTACCCTGCCCCGCACCCAGTGGGACGGGTGCGGGCATCCATCCGTCGTCGGATCCCCCCAACTGCCGCACCGCATGCTGTAAGATGCATCGAGCCTGCGCGCGCTGCAGTGCCACGGAGAGACGTGTAGTGAGTCCTGTCTCAAATATCCGTGCTGATCCGTCATCCCCTCCTCCCCAATCCCTCCTCCGCTGTGCTATCTTCTTCGCGCAGAGCCCCAGGAACTGACGCAACGGCTCGCTCAGTAGGCCAAAGGTCTCAGCCACGCACGCGTAAAAGTGTGGTGCCGGCTGCAACCCCTCTAAGTGCGGCCCCCAGTGACGCAGCTTCTCCTGCACCCGCCTAGCTGCTGCCACTCCAATCTGTGTGGGGGTCGCCCGTCCCAGCTGCACGTTCCCCTCCCGCTGTGGATCCGCTATGGAGACATCCACAAGAACCATCAAAGTCTGCCCAACGTCGCGGCAGGTGAGGTCTGGGATGCGGGAGGAGGTGCCTGTACGGCCTGTGCGTCCGGCTGGTCCCTGCTGCTGCGCTGGCTGCTGCCCTGTCTGGTCCCTCGGTGCCTCCTCTCCAGTCGTCTCTCTCCCCCTATCCTCTCCTCCACCCACCTGTCCTCTCCCCTCCCCCTCTCTACCCTCCCCCAACCCTCCCAGCCCCCCTGCTCGATCCCCTGCTGCCTCTCTCACTCCCTGAACCTCACCTCCCAATCTCCCCGCCCCCCCTATACCCCCGTCCGCTCTCTGCTGCTCTCGTCCCTGCCCCACCCCCGAGCCCACACCCTGAGGCGCGGCGCCCTGAGCCTGCGACCTGTGCTGGCTCTCCTGCTGCTGCCTCTGCTGTCCCCCCTCTCCGCCTTGGCTGGTCTGCACCCCCTGCCGTCCCCTCTGCCCACCTGCCCCTCGCGCCACCCGACCCCGCAGCTGATGCCGTCCCCACTGTGCTCCGCCGCCCGGCTGTCCCGCCTCAGCCCTCTGCTCCAGCGGCCCCCTAGCCCGTGTCCCCTCTCCCACCACCGGCTGTCCCAGCAGTCTCGCTCGAGCTGCCTCCAGGTGTGTGAACAGCGTAGAGTCCTCCACCTTCACCGCGAAGCCCGCCTCGACAGCGAAGTCTCGAAGCGCTAACTTCACCGTGTCGTGGATGACAGTGGCGACGCCGAATCGTGGGCACCGAACCGCGTGGTGAGGCACCGTCATGTCGTCGATCGCCTGTCCACAGGAGCACTGACCTGTTAGGGCTAACTGGGGGACAGGGAGACCAAGACGGCATGATGAAGCCACCTGCCACTCCGCCTCCGGAATGCGCAGGGAGTCTGCGTATGGCACCGCCTGCAGCCACCCACCTGCACCTACGCCCTGAAGGGAAGTCAAACGGGCAAGGTGCAAGGGAGAGGTGTGACGGGCACGCACGGCCTCCAAGGCATGCGCCTCCAAAAGACGGCTCGCTCCTGCAAAAAGGGAATCGGGGGAGGCAGAGGCACAAGAGGGCCAGGGTGGGAGGAGAGAGAGGATGTCAGGTGGAAGGCCCTCCAGCGTCGTCCGTAGGGAGAGGTCGATCTGATACGTCTCACCGGAAGCAAAGCTCTGCCGAAAGACCTCACCGCACGCCGGGAGGGAACAGAGGATGGGTGCACACTGCACCCAAGAGCACACGAAACTCACCGGGGCAATGCGCTCCATGCGACGAATGCCGAAACCCCCAAGGCGGATGGGGAGGAAAATCTGGTCTCGGGCGGCATCTCTGACGTCCTCACGGCATGCCCAGGTCCCGGACGCTAAAAGCTGCTGAAAAGTCTCTCCCAGGCGTGCGTCCCAGCGCGCGAAGCTGGAGAGCACTGCGGGCGAGGGAGGGACAGTCCTCGACAGGTACTGCGGGCGAGTGCTGACACATGCCGAAAGAAGGCGAGCAGCTGTCTGGGGCTGGCGCAACCTCAGAAGCCAGGGTAGCACCCGCCCCATCCTCTCGAGTCGATCCGGGACGCTGCGCTCCACAAACGAAACAGTACCCACCGGCACGCCTGTCACAGTGAGTCCTCGGCGTGCGACCTCGACCCCAAGGCTCGTAAAGGCCTCCACATCCCTGGACAAAAAAGACTCAGTCTGGTAGACGAGGCACTTGTGCGATTGGACCGCGAGGCCCATCTCGCCCAAGCGCCTCACGATCTCGGAGAAATGGTGTAGCACCCTGTCTGGGGGGCCTAGCACGTACGTGTCGTCGGCGTACGACCAGAGCTGGACATCGCCCTCCGTCAGAACCGGCTCCAGGGCAAGTCGCTGTGTCAGAGCGTACAGGAAGGGGCTAAGGGGGTCTCCCTGGCGACTGCCGCACTCCGAGTGCATCGTGACCACTCCCTCACCTGTCCTGTAGTGGAGATCCGAGGGCGTCCCGTAGAAAAGGCTGATGAAGGGGATGAGGCACTGGAACTCTGGGCTGGCCTGCAAAGCCTGGAACATCATGTCTCGGTGAAATGAGTTAAAGGCATTCGCCACGTCTAGCTGCAGGACCACCCAGTCCGGGTGGTCAGTCAGAGCACGGCGGACACCTCTAACTACGACCTCTGTGCCACACGTCACCCCCACCCCAAACTGCTGGGACGCCAAGAAGACCCTCGCCATCTGGTCGCGTAGCTGGAGGCAAACTGCTCGCGAAAGAATGCGGACCAACACCTCGCCAATGGCAATCGGCCGAACATCCATGTTCGACTTCGCCAGAGCCATGAGGGTGGAAGACGCCAGTAAAGAGCACGTAGCTGGAGCGCAACGACCTCGGAGCCACTGCTGGTACACAGCTAGAAGAGAGGGGAGACTCTGAGGGAAAGCCAGGAAAGTGTCTCGAAGGTGCTCAGCAACCCACCCAGACGGTCCCCCCGAGAAGCCACGCGGAGCTGTGAAGATGGCGCGACATAGGTGATCCGTCGAGAGCACGAGAGCAGTCCCCTGGTAGTCCGACAGCCAAACTGGGGTTGGCCTCTACGCGTTGGGGTGGTTCGACTGTAGGCGCTGTGTTGTCCCCTGTGTATCTGGGGTGGCCTCCGCGGACTCAAGAGCCGCGCAGGCCCGTGAGGTCTCATTGCACGCTGCCAGACGGAGGCAACGTGCGATGCGACGCTCATCTGCGGTGGACTGGGCGGTGACGGGACGTGCGCGCCGGGATGTGCGTCGAGGGAGGGGGGTGCGACGGATCAGGGCCTCAGAGAGTAGCTCAGTCCACTCACCTCGCATGAAGCGGGAGACCCGTGCTGCGATGGCAGTCGTGTGCGAGCGGTCTGGCGGGGTCGCCTGCGTGAGGAGAAGTGTGGGTGCAGTGGCGAGGAGGAAGGTAGGGCCCGGAGCCTCGGGATCCTGGGATACACGGGCCAAGATCGTGCAGAGGACGTCAAGATATCCTCCGCGGACCCTAGCAGGAATGCGTCGGAGAGGGCGGGCGTGGGTGCGCTCTGGCGAGAAATACTCCGTCCAATCGAAGGCATCCAACGTCTGCCACTGTGCATCTGTGAAATGCGTCCTCGTCCCCTGTGGCTCCGAGAGGGACGGGAGGACAGATGAGGTGTCGTGGAGGGCCTGTGCCCTACGAGCCGCGTCCGCAGGATGGCAGAAGGGCGTGTAGTGCTGAAGGGCACATCGGTTCGCGAGAGAGCTCCTGCAGGTGGGGCATCTCACGACCTGGTCGGGTGATGTCGCCGTGTCGGTGGGGTCGAACGGGGCCGTGGCGTCGGAACTGGCTGTAGAGAGGACCCCGTGGGCGGCCTGAGCTCCAAGAGGATCGCCTGGGATAAGGGGAGGAGAGGACTCGCCGGCCCCGTGCAGGGGGGGTGTCGGAGAAGATAGAGGTGGTGCCACACAGGATGGGGCTGGGCCTCGTGGCGGTACCGGTCCCGAAGCTAGGGAGGGGGGAAGTGGAGGTGAGCCTGAAGTGTGTGCCGTGGTGTGCCCCTGTCCCTCGGCGGGGTGCGGTCCAAGTGGCGGCTCTGCTACCCCAGGCGGGGGGGTCTCGGCAGGGGCCGATGCCTCGTCCCTAAAGCTGGTGCCCTCCTGCGTCGCGGGTAGTGTGTCGGCAACGGGCTGAACGGGGGGAGGCGCCGCCACGTCTAGGTGCGAATGACACGGCCTCGGAACCAGGTCCGTCTCCATCGGGGACGGGAGTGACGCGCCTGGCTGAGTAGTGGGGGGGGTGAAAGAAGGGACAGAACGGGTGACCTTCGCATACGTCCGGGTCCGGACCTGTGGGACTGGTAGGGTGGGGGCAGCCGGGGAGCTGCTCGGGCTCTGTATCGCCAGCAGATCTGAGATGGCAGCCCTCACCTCCTCTGGGGTCCCGGTGACATGCCTGCCTGCTGGTGAGGGTAGGAGGGCTGGCAGGGTAGAGGGTGGGGTGGGGCGTGCTGGCTGAGCAGAGCCCGGGTGTGGACCCTGCCCTAGAAAGCCCCCTTGGCCCTCCCCAAACACCATGGGTTGTGGTAGGGGGCTGTCGACATGGATGGGGTGGGAGGCATGGGAAGGGGAGTCGGTGGCGTCTGCCATGGGCGCATCCCTCATCCCGTCGGCCTCCATCCCGGCAGCGCACGCGGCTGCCGCCACCTGGGGGGGGTTTAGAGGAAGGGAGAGGCGGCCCGGGGGTGAGTGGGCTGGATCGCTCTCATGGCCCTGTAGAGGGGCAGGTACGGGAGGGGGGTGTGAGTTTGGTGGTTGGCATGTAGGGGTAGGGCCTGGTGCAGGTTCAGTGGGATGTGGGGTGAGGAGGGGCGGCTGGAGGGGAAGGGAGGGAGGGGGGAGTAGGTGAGCTGGCCCCTTGCCGCCTTTGCCTTTCTTCTTCCGTCGACGGCCAACCTGGTTTTGGTTGTCCCTGTCTGGTTGTGAGGGAAGGGCGGGCTGAGAGGCTAAGGGGATGGGTGAGGGGAGGATGGGTAGTTGGCTAGGTAGAGGAAGCTCAGTGTGCATTCCTCTTCTCCCCATGACATCACCCTCCGTGGTGGGCTGTATGTGGGGGGCGATGTCTGCCCAACGGGGCCACTCGTGGTGAGGCAGGCTGTAGGCGGGGGTTGTGGGTGGGGGGCGAAGGGCTGGAGCAATGTAGCGGTTAGGGCGTGGTGCTTGTGGTGGAAGGAGTGAGGTCTGTGGTGGCTGCGTGGTGGAAGGGGGGGGATTGAGGGGGGAATGAGGTTCAGAGGTTGTGCCCCCATGATGTACGTTGGCACCAGAGCCCCTCCCACTGGCGGCCCCTCCTATGGGCCCCGCGCCCATGGTGTCGTCGCCTCCCTGAGCTAGGGGCAGGGGTCCTTGTGGTTGGGACTTGGATGCTTGGGGGGGTTGATGTGAGGAAGGTGGGAGGGTTGGGGTTGTGCGGCGAGTTGGGTGATTTGGGTGTGTGTAGGGTGTGGGGCAATGCGCGGATGGAGGCGGGTGTGGCAGGGTTGAGGTTTGAACCTCTGAAATGTGCATAGCCCCGGGTGGGGGAGGACCTGGAGGGGGTGGGGGTAGTGGGCTGGTGGGGGGTGACTGGATGGTGTTAGGGGTCGGGGAGCACGGCTCCGCCAAGAAGGCCAGGGCCCTGGCTGCTCCCCGTGATGCTAGAGGGAGCCCCTGAGGGTGGGGGCGGGAGTGTGCTGCTCTTAGGGGAGAGGAAATGGGCGAGGAGGGGTGAGGGGCAAGGATGGGGCTGGGTGTAGGAGGCTCTGCCCTCGCCGTGCCCGCGTGCTCTCCTGGCGGACCGTCTGTAAGCGTGGTGTCAGGCGTTGGGGACAGAGAGGGGGGCTGGTCATGGAACAGCGTGGGGGTCGGGGAGCACGGCTCCGCCAAGAAGGCCAGGGCCTTGGCTGCCCCCCAGGATGCTACAGGGACCTGAGGGTGGGGGTGGGGAAGTGGTGCTCCTGGGGGGGGGAGTGGGCTGGAGGACGGGGGGTAAGGATGGGGTCTCCCTCGCGAGGTTCTGTCCTCAAAGTCTCCTCCAGCCCCTCCACCGGTCCATCTGCTAGCATGGGGTCGGGCATGGGGGGGAGAGGGGGAACCTCGACATGAGGCTGCAGGGGGGCCGAGTCAGCCTCGCCGTCAAGCGTGAGGTAGTGGGCCAGTGGCCCGTCGATGTGCATCCCGTCCTCTACCTCATCCTCCTCTATCACTATCACATCTCCCCCCTCAGTGGCCCCTCGGGTTGGGACCTCGCTCGCCTCTCCTCCCCCTGTTGCCCCTATGTCCCCCGAGCCCACCCCACCTGCTGTCTCTTTACTGCTAGCCCCTTCTGCAGTCTCTGCCGGCCCTGCTGTGTGCTCCACCGCGCTTGCTGCGGCCCCTGCCGCCCCTACTGGCCGTGCTATGGCCCTCCCTGCTGCTTCATCTGCAGCCTCACCTTCTGCCTTTGAGGCCTCTGCTGTCCCCTCTCCCACTCCAGCCCCTGCCGCACCCTCTCCTGCTACAGCCGGGGCGGCACTCTCCCTCGCACCAGTCCCCGTTACACCCTTCCCCGCTGCAGCCCCCGTAGCACCTCCCCCTGTACCAGCCCCCACCGTGGCCCCTGTCGCTCCTGCTGCAGTCCCTGCTGCCTCACCTGCTGCAGTCCCTGCAGCCTCGCCTACCGGAATCTGCTCAGCCTCACCTGCCGCGGTCCCTGTCGCCTCACCTGCTGCAGTCCCTGCAGCCTCACCTGCTGCAGTCCCTGCAGCCTCACCTGCTGCAGTCCCTGCGGCCTCACCTGCTGCAGTCCCTGCGGCCTCGCCTGCTGTAGTCTGTGCAGCCTCACCTGCTGCGGCCCCTGCAGCCTCACCTGCTGCGGTCCCTGCAGCCTCACCTGCTGCGGACCCTGCGGCCTCACCTGCCATGGTCCCTCCTGCAGCCTCACCCGCTGTGGTCCCTGCAGCCTCACCTGCTGCAGTCCCTGCAGCCTCACCTGCTGCAGTCCCTGCAGCCTCACCTGCTGCAGTCCCTGCAGCCTCACCTGCTGCGGACCCTGCGGCCTCACCTGCCATGGTCCCTCCTGCAGCCTCACCCGCTGTGGTCCCTGCAGCCTCACCTGCTGCAGTCCCTGCAGCCTCACCTGCTGCGGACCCTGCGGCCTCACCTGCCATGGTCCCTCCTGCAGCCTCACCCGCTGTGGTCCCTGCAGCCTCACCTGCTGCAGTCCCTGCAGCCTCACCTGCTGCGGACCCTGCGGCCTCACCTGCCATGGTCCCTCCTGCAGCCTCACCTGCTGCAGTCCCTGCAGCCTCGCCTGCTGCAGTCCCTGCAGCCTCGCCTGCTGCAGTCCATGCGGCCTCACCTGCTGCAGTCCCTGCAGCCTCACCTGCTGCAGTCCCTGCAGCCTCACCTGCTGCGGGCCCTGCGGCCTCACCTGCCATGGTCCCTCCTGCAGCCTCACCCGCTGTGGTCCCTGCAGCCTCACCTGCTGCAGTCCCTGCAGCCTCACCTGCTGCGGACCCTGCGGCCTCACCTGCCATGGTCCCTCCTGCAGCCTCACCTGCTGCAGTCCCTGCAGCCTCGCCTGCTGCAGTCCATGCGGCCTCTCCTGCTGTAGTCTGTGCAGCCTCACCTGCTAGAATCTGCTCAGCCTCACCTGCTGCAGCCCCTGCGGCCTCACCTGCTGCGGTCCCTGCGGCCTCGCCTGCCATGGTCCCTCCTGCAGCCTCACCCGCTGTGGTCCCTGCCGCCTCACCTGCTGCGGTCCCTGCGGCCTCACCTGCCATGGTCTCTCCTGCAGCCTCACCTGCTGTGGTCCCTGCAGCCTCACCTGCTGCGGTCTGTGCAGCCTCACCTGCTGCGGTCTGTGCAGCCTCACCTGCTGCGGTCTGTGCGGCCTCACCTGCTGCGGTCCCTATAGCTTCCCCTGCTGCGGTTCCTCCAGCCGAAACAGCAGCGGGTCCTGCAGCCCCTTATCCTGCAAAACCTGTCTCCATGGCTCTGCCCTTTGCCTGGCCAGAGTCACGCCCCCTGACGAGCCCCTTTCAGGAGCCTCTACTGTCCCCACCGTGTCCATTGCTGTCCCCGCCGTATCCCTTGGTGCCCCCCTAGCATCCCGTGCTGCCCCCACGGCATCCCTTGCAGTACCTCCCGCAGCCCCATCCCTTTTTCCCGCAGCAGTCCCGCTCGCCTCGGCCTCACGCTCGGCGCTACGCTCATGCACGTCCAGGTACAGAGCCCTGGCTTTCCCTTTCCCCTCCCCTCCTCTCTCGGGCACGGGTCGGGCCTGCTTTGCTCTACCTTTCAGCCCCCCAGCGGGGGTGGGGCCTGTTGTGTTCCCAAGGTTTGGGTCCGGTACTTCTGTTTTTTTGTGTGATTTAGTTTTTTCGGTATGGGTGCAGGTGGGTGTGGTTGAGGGTGAATCCTTGGACTGCTGGGCTGCACCGTCATCGCCACTTGGAGGGGGGGGCTGTGGGGGGACAGATGGGATGTGGCGAGTCTTGGAGCGTGGGTGTGCACCCTCGCGGTCCTGTTCCTGCTGGTGCGGTGGTGGTTGGGCCCCTGTCTCTTCTATGGCTCGTTTTTTACCTCTGGGGTCGGTGTGTGTGCCGCCTGTGGGTGACTGGTCACGTGCGACCTGCTTTTTCTTAGCTGAGGAAGAGGGGGCAGGGGGGGGATAGGGGGAAGGGCGGCCCTGGGTCCTGCTGGAGCGTCGGGCTGAACCAGGGCCAGCCTCTCCCCCTTTGGGGGGCCGGCGTGGCATGGCTATGGTGGCTGCATGGTTGAGGCAGGGAGGTATGAGGGGAGGGGGAGTTGAGGTTTATGTGCGTTCCTGGGATAGGGAGGGAGGGGGGGAGCAGGGCCTGGCGTCTGTGAGCCGAGTTCCTGGAGGGGGTGAGTAGCGTGGTGGGGGAAGGGACGGTAGGGAGTGCGGAATACGAAGGCTGGAGGGGAGTAGGAGGTGTGGGACATGAAAGAGAGGCGGCAGGGGGGGTGTGGATGAGCTATGAACAAGGGCGCTGGATGGACAGCGGGCTTGGGAGGGGGGGAAGGAGCATACAGGGGAGTGGAGAGGGGGGCTCCCGCCCTGGGGGACACAGAGTGTCAACGGAAGGGGCCAGGGGAAGGGATGGAGTAGGTCGGGGTAGGACACAAGGGAGGGGAACAGGGGGACAAAGAAGATTCTGTGTGGGGGGAAAGGAGCATAGGAGGAATGGTAGCTGCTGGAATGAGAGCAGAAGGATTGATTCTGTTTTTGTTTTTGTTCTTATATCTTTGTCTCTTTTTTTCCGTTGTTTTCGGATTGAACGAAGTTTGCTCTATATTCTATGTGTGTATGCTCAAGGTTAAGCCTTGCGTGAGCGTTCAGGGTGCGATGTGCCTAGTCTAGGACGCTCTGAGTAGACTAGAAACTCCTGTGGCAGATTAGGGTTCGGACGTGGGGACAGCTAGCGGCAGTGAGGGTAGAGCGGCGGACGAGTGAAGGATGGTGAACGGCTAGGACCGAGCGTGTGGCATAAAACGGATGCGGCGGAGTAAGTTGGTGCTGTGCATGCGATGCCTAAGGGTGACGATGTGTGCGCGGCTTCACCTAAAGCCGTGGCCCGTCTAGTAGTGCAAAAGCGACGGAGGGAAGGGGGGGGGATGCCGCATATGCGATGTGTGAGCGCACGCATTCGCGGCTTCCTATCCCGCCGTTCCGTCGCACTTAGCGGCCAGCGCGTTTTCGACTAGGGAAAAGCAACGCGCTCTAAAGCGAACATGCAGGAAATGCGCGGGTTGACGAAATCAAAACGAAAAAGAACCGAAGCGCGCGTCAAGTCTCTTAAAATTAGGTTTTCGATAATGAGGAAAACGGGGAAAACGGTGCCTAGGGAAATAGATCGCGGGTCTATGGCGTGAGAGAGCGACGCTACACGGTCGGATTGCTTGTCGATCTAGTGAAAACGGGAATAATGGCTACCACGGGTGGAAGTTAACGAGTGACTTCGAAAGGAAAACTAGCGGTAAGATTAGAGCGAGGGGGTGGGAGAGTGTCGAGAGAGGGGAATGGGCAGGTACAGCGTGACTGGCGGGGTTGGAGAAGTGACCCGCGCGTGTTGTTACTCGCGCGCGAACTTCGCCCCCACGCCGCCTCCTCGCGTTACACCCGTTGCAGAGCGTCCGCGAAGTCCCCGTAGTGGCGGGGTCGGACGGCTCGTCCCGTTACACCCGCTAAGTCTTGTGTCCGAGAGGCTCAGAAGGTCGCGCGCGAAACTTGCGACCCTCGTCCCGTCGAACTCGACTATCGAAAATGAAAAACTAACCGTTGAAGTGGCTTATAATCGTAATATAAACAAATAACACAATAACTTAGTCTTTAAGGTGTCCGAAAACGGAGGCTTAGGAAGCTCCTTAGGAGGCAGCCATGGATAGGCAAGAGCTAGGTCAAGCTAAGCTCGCCGGTGGGCGAGAGCAGAACTGGGCTGGGTGACCTCCCGGGAAGTCCTCGTGTTGTACCCATTTATGCCCCTTGCTCGGCACGTGCCGGGGAGGGGCAAGCGGGAAAAAGAAAGGACGATTTTAGCGTGTCCGACTTTTTTATTTCCGTTTTTTTGCCCGAACAACGAGTCAGCGGGGTGGGGGGCCCCCGGGGAGGCTTGCCCGCGCGAAGAAACGCCCCGTGCGCACCACCGTTGGGCGGTTGGAAGCCGCACACGGTCGCGGGGGTGGAGAGCGGAAACGGGCAGCCGGGGGAGGGTGGGGGCGGTTGGACGGGAGTGGGGTGTACGGGGGGCAGGGGAGTTGAGGGGGCAAGGGGAGGGACAGCAACGGGCAGGGGCTGGGCCAGCTGAGGGCAAGGAAAAGGGGCGGGCAGAGGGTGAGCAGAGGGGCGAGCGATGCAAGGGATGCACCAGAGGGGGGGAATCCAGTTGAACGGAGGTGAGAGGTGAGGGGCGTGCGAGGGGGTGGAACAGGGGCAGGGAGGGGCAGAACGGGAGGATGTGGGTGGGGGGTGGGGGAGGGGAGTGTGTGTGTGTGTGTGTGCGAGAGAAAGAGAGAGAGAGAGAGAGAGAGAGAGAGAGAGAGAGAGATAGAGAGAGAGAGAGAGAGAGAGAGAGAGAGAGAGAGAGAGAGAGAGAGAGTGGGAGAGGGCGGGGGGAGAAGGGTGGGAGGGGGGCTGGTGGTGGGGACGGGCTGATGGTGGTAAGAGGGCAGCAGGGATGGGGAGAAGGGAGCGTAACGAGGGGAAAGCAAAGGGCAGGGGGGGAGGAAGGGAGGGGCAGGGAGGGAAGAGGGTGAACGTACAAAGAGGGGAAACGAGGGGCATGGATGGTAGGAAACAAGGGCAGGGGTGCGGGAAATCAAGGGCAGGGAGGGGAGAAGCAATGGGTGCGGGGAGAACAAGGGAGGGGCAGAGGGGGTACAAGGTGATCTCAGGGAGGGAAGAAACGTGGGGCAGGGAGGGGAGAAACCAAAGACAGGGGCATGGGCAGGCGGGGGCAGGGAGGGAGCAAAGGAGAGGCACGGAGAAAGAAAGGGAGGTGCAGGGAGGGGAGAAACCGGGCGTGGGGGGGCGGAAAATGAGGGGCAGGGCGGGGAGGAGGGAGAGGCAGGGAGGGGAGAAGCTGAGCACACGGAGGGGGGAAAGGTGGGGCAGGGAGGTGGGAAGCCAAGGGCAAGTGGAGGAGAGTGGGGGGGCAGGGAGAGGGGGGAGGTGGGGAGCGGAGAAAGGCGGCGAGGGGCAGGGAGGGGAGAAACCAAGCATAGGGGGGCGAGAAACGAGGGGCAGGGTGCGGATTGAGGAGGGGCAGGGAGTGGAGTGGGTTAGCGAGGGGAAGGAAGAGGCGTGCAGCAGAGGAGGGGAGGGGGGAGGCGAAGGTAAACGAGGGGAGGGCACGGGCGGGGAGGAGCGAATGGCGAGCGGTGGGTAACGGCGAGGGGGGCAGGGAGGGTCAAAAGAGGCGGCGAGGGAGCGGGCACGCGGAGGGTAGGGGCGGGGGGAGCGGATGGCACGAGGGGGCAGGGGGTGTGACTATGAAGGGGGGACCCGGGCAAGGGGTGTGTACCGGTCGGGGCACGGGATTGTCGTGGTACGATCATACCTCGGCTACTACGCCGGATCCCATCAGAACTCCGAAGCTAAGCGCCGGTGGGCGAGAGCAGTTATTTATTGATAAGGGAAATACAATCACAAGCCGGATATAAGTGTTTTTCCAAAAGGAGGAAATTTCGGCATAACCACTGCTCTATGAGGACGACATATATTGTCTGTAGGGAAGAGAAGTAAGAAAGAAGAAGAAAAGGTCAAGGAGTGAAAATAAGTAGTAGGGAAAAGAAGAGAGTGGTAGGAAGAGAAGAGAAAAGATAGAGGAAGGGAAAAGAAAGAGGGAGGTGGGAAGAGGAGAGGAGAGAGGGAAAGAGACTAAGGAGAAGGAAGCACCAAGGGACCAGACACGGCAGCAACCCGCACAAACAAACGCGGGCACAGCGTTTCAAGCACAGCCACTAAACTCTCTACACATATGCATCATACATATATTGCGTATCGGCAACACTCTCGAAGCACCCTGTGATATGGTTCCAGGTACCCTGCCCCGCACCCAGTGGGACGGGTGCGGGCATCCACCCGTCGTCGGATCCCCCCAACTGCCGCACCGCATGCTGTAAGATGCATTGAGCCTGCGCGCGCTGCAGTGCCACGGAGAGACGTGTAGTGAGTCCTGTCTCAAATATCCGTGCCGATCCGTCATCCCCCCCTCCCCAATCCCTCCTCCGCTGTGCTATCCTCTTCGCGCAGAGCCCCAGGAACTGACGCAACGGCTCGCTCAGTAGGCCAAAGGTCTCAGCCACGCACGCGTAAAAGTGTGGTGCCGGCTGCAAGCCCTCTAAGTGCGGGCCCCAGTGACGCAGCTTCTCCTGCACCCGCCTAGCTGCTGCCACTCCAATCTGTGTGGGGGTCGCCCGTCCCAGCTGCACGTTCCCCTCCCGCTGTGGATCCGCTATGGAGACATCCATAAGAACCATCAAACTCTGCCCAACGTCGCGGCAGGTGAGGTCTGGGATGCGGGAGGAGGTGCCTGTACGGCCTGTGCGTCCGGCTGGTCCCTGCTGCTGCGCTGGCTGCTGCCCTGTCTGGTCCCTCGGTGCCTCCTCTCCAGTCGTCTCTCTCCCCCTATCCTCTCCTCCACCCACCTGTCCTCTCCCCTCCCCCTCTCTACCCTCCCCCAATCCTCCCAACCCCCCTGCTTGATCCCCTGCTGCCTCTCTCACTCCCTGAACCTCACCTCCCAATCTCCCCGCCCCCCCTGTACCCCCGTCCGCTCTTTGCTGCTCTCGCCCCTGCCCCATCCCCGAGCCCACACCCTGAGGCGCGGCACCCTGAGCCTGCGACCTGTGCTGGCTCTCCTGCTGCTGCCTCTGCTGTCCCCCCTCTCCGCTCTGGCTGGTCTGCACCCCCTGCCGTCCCCTCTGTCCGCCTGCCCCTCGCGCCATCCGACCCCGCAGCTGATGCTGTCCCCACTGTGCCCCGCCGCCCGGCTGTCCCGCCTCAGCCCTCTGCTCCAGTGTCCCCCAGCCCGTGTCCCCTCTCCCACCACCGGCTGTCCCAGCAGTCTCACTCGAGCTGCCTCCAGGTGTATGAACAGCGTAGAGTCCTCCACCTTCACCGCGAAGCCCGCCTCGACAGCGAAGTCTCGAAGCACGAACTTCACCGTGTCGTGGATGACAGTGGCGACGCCGAATCGTGGGCACCGAACCGCGTGGTGAGGCACCGTCATGTCGTCGATCGCCTGTCCACAGGAGCACTGACCTGTGAGGGCTAACTGGGGGACAGGGAGACCAAGACGAGATGATGAAGCCACCTGCCACAAGCTCGCGACCCCCGTACCGTCGAACTCGACGGTCAAAACTGAAAAACTAACCGTTGAAAAGGCTTATAACTATAACATAAACAACTATCACAATCACTTTGTCTTTAAGCAACCCGAAATAGTAGGCTTAGCAAGCTCCTTAGGAGGCAGCCATGGATAGGTAAGAGCTAGGTCAAGCTAAGAGCGCCGGTGGGCGAGAGCAGTACTGGGCTGGGTGACCTCCCGGGAAGTCCTCGTGTTGTACCCATTTATGCCCCTTGCTCGGCACGTGCCGGGGAGGGGCAAGCGGGAAAAAGAAAGGACGATTTTAGCGCGTCTGACTTTTTTATTTCCGTTTTTTTGCCCGAACAACGAGTCAGCGGGGTGGGGGGCCCCCGGGGAGGCTTGCCCGCGCAAAGAAACGCCCCGTGCGCACCACCGTTGGGCGGTTGGAAGCCGCACACGGTCGCGGGGGTGGAGAGCGGAAACGGGCAGCCGGGGGAGGGTGGGGGCGGTTGGACGGGAGTGGGGTGTACGGGGGGCAGGGGAGTTGAGGGGGCAAGGGGAGGGGCAGCAACGGGCAGGGGCTGGGCCAGCTGAGGGCAAGGAAAAGGGGCGGGCAGAGGGTGAGCAGAGGGGCGAGCGATGCAAGGGATGCACCAGAGGGGGGGAATCCAGTTGAACGGAGGTGAGAGGTGAGGGGCGTGCGAGGGGGTGGAACAGGGGCAGGGAGGGGCAGAACGGGAGGATGTGGGTGGGGGGGTGGGGGAGGGGAGTGTGTGTGTTTGTGTGTGTGAGAGAAAGAGAGAGAGAGAGAGAGAGAGAGAGAGAGAGAGAGAGATAGAGAGAGAGAGAGAGAGAGGGAGAGGGGGGGGGGGGGAGAAGGGTGGGAGAGGGGCTGGTGGTGGGGACGGGCTGATGGTGGTAAGAGGGCAGCAGGGATGGGGAGAAGGGAGCGTAACGAGGGGAAAGCAAAGGGCAGGGGGGGAGGAAGGGAGGGGCAGGGAGGGAAGAGGGTGAACGTACAAAGAGGGGAAACGAGGGGCATGGATGGTAGGAAACAAGGGCAGGGGTGCGGGAAATCAAGGGCAGGGAGGGGAGAAGCAATGGGTGCGGGGAGAACAAGGGAGGGGCAGAGGGGGTACAAGGTGATCTCAGGGAGGGAAGAAACGTGGGGCAGGGAGGGGAGAAACCAAAGACAGGGGCATGGGCAGGCGGGGGCAGGGAGGGAGCAAAGGAGAGGCACGGAGAAAGAAAGGGAGGTGCAGGGAGGGGAGAAACCGGGCGTGGGGGGGCGGAAAATGAGGGGCAGGGCGGGGAGGAGGGAGAGGCAGGGAGGGGAGAAGCTGAGCACACGGAGGGGGGAAAGGTGGGGCAGGGAGGTGGGAAGCCAAGGGCAAGTGGAGGAGAGTGGGGGGGCAGGGAGAGGGGGGAGGTGGGGAGCGGAGAAAGGCGGCGAGGGGCAGGGAGGGGAGAAACCAAGCGTAGGGGGGCGAGAAACGAGGGGCAGGGTGCGGATTGAGGAGGGGCAGGGAGTGGAGTGGGTTAGCGAGGGGAAGGAAGAGGCGTGCAGCAGAGGAGGGGAGGGGGGAGGCGAAGGTAAACGAGGGGAGGGCACGGGCGGGGAGGAGCGAATGGCGAGCGGTGGGTAACGGCGAGGGGGGCAGGGAGGGTCAAAAGAGGCGGCGAGGGAGCGGGCACGCGGAGGGTAGGGGCGGGGGGAGCGGATGGCATGAGGGGGCAGGGGGTGTGACTATGAAGGGGGGACCCGGGCAAGGGGTGTGTACCGGTCGGGGCACGGGATTGTCGTGGTACGATCATACCTCGGCTACTACGCCGGATCCCATCAGAACTCCGAAGCTAAGCGCCGGTGGGCGAGAGCAGTTATTTATTGATAAGGGAAATACAATCACAAGCCGGATATAAGTGTTTTTCCAAAAGGAGGAAATTTCGGCATAACCACTGCTCTATGAGGACGACATATATTGTCTGTAGGGAAGAGAAGTAAGAAAGAAGAAGAAAAGGTCAAGGAGTGAAAATAAGTAGTAGGGAAAAGAAGAGAGTGGTAGGAAGAGAAGAGAAAAGATAGAGGAAGGGAAAAGAAAGAGGGAGGTGGGAAGAGGAGAGGAGAGAGGGAAAGAGACTAAGGAGAAGGAAGCACCAAGGGACCAGACACGGCAGCAACCCGCACAAACAAACGCGGGCACAGCGTTTCAATCACAGCCACTAAACTCTCTACACATATGCATCATACATATATTGCATATCGGCAACACTCTCGAAGCACCCTGTGATATGGTTCCAGGTACCCTGCCCCGCACCCAGTGGGACGGGTGCGGGCATCCACCCGTCGTCGGATCCCCCCAACTGCCGCACCGCATGCTGTAAGATGCATGGAGCCTGCGCGCGCTGCAGTGCCACGGAGAGACGTGTAGTGAGTCCTGTCTCAAATATCCGTGCCGATCCGTCATCCCCCCCTCCCCAATCCCTCCTCCGCTGTGCTATCCTCTTTGCGCAGAGCCCCAGGAACTGACGCAACGGCTCGCTCAGTAGGCCAAAGGTCTCAGCCACGCACGCGTAAAAGTGTGGTGCCGGCTGCAAGCCCTCTAAGTGCGGGCCCCAGTGACGCAGCTTCTCCTGCACCCGCCTAGCTGCTGCCACTCCAATCTGTGTGGGGGTCGCCCGTCCCAGCTGCACGTTCCCCTCCCGCTGTGGATCCGCTATGGAGACATCCACAAGAACCATCAAACTCTGCCCAACGTCGCGGCAGGTGAGGTCTGGGATGCGGGAGGAGGTGCCTGTACGGCCTGTGCGTCCGGCTGGTCCCTGCTGCTGCGCTGGCTGCTGCCCTGTCTGGTCCCTCGGTGCCTCCTCTCCAGTCGTCTCTCTCCCCCTATCCTCTCCTCCACCCACCTGTCCTCTCCCCTCCCCCTCTCTACCCTCCCCCAACCCTCCCAACCCCCCTGCTCGATCCCCTGCTGCCTCTCTCACTCCCTGAACCTCACCTCCCAATCTCCCCGCCCCCCCTGTACCCCCGTCCGCTCTTTGCTGCTCTCGCCCCTGCCCCATCCCCGAGCCCACACCCTGAGGCGCGGCACCCTGAGCCTGCGACCTGTGCTGGCTCTCCTGCTGCTGCCTCTCCTGTCCCCCCTCTCCGCTCTGGCTGGTCTGCACCCCCTGCCGTCCCCTCTGTCCGCCTGCCCCTCGCGCCATCCGACCCCGCAGCTGATGCTGTCCCCACTGTGCCCCGCCGCCCGGCTGTCCCGCCTCAGCCCTCTGCTCCAGTGGTCCCCCAGCCCGTGTCCCCTCTCCCACCACCGGCTGTCCCAGCAGTCTCGCTCGAGCTGCCTCCAGGTGTGTGAACAGCGTAGAGTCCTCCACCTTCACCGCGAAGCCCGCCTCGACAGCGAAGTCTCGAAGCGCGAACTTCACCGTGTCGTGGATGACAGTGGCGACGCCGAATCGTGGGCACCGAACCGCGTGGTGAGGCACCGTCATGTCGTCGATCGCCTGTCCACAGGAGCACTGACCTGTGAGGGCTAACTGGGGGATAGGGAGACCAAGACGACATGATGAAGCCACCTGCCACAAGCTCGCGACCCCCGTACCGTCGAACTCGACGGTCAAAACTGAAAAACTAACCGTTGAAAAGGCTTATAACTATAACATAAACAACTATCACAGTCACTTTGTCTTTAAGCAACCCGAAATAGTAGGCTTAGCAAGCTCCTTAGGAGGCAGCCATGGATAGGTAAGAGCTAGGTCAAGCTAAGAGCGCCGGTGGGCGAGAGCAGTACTGGGCTGGGTGACCTCCCGGGAAGTCCTCGTGTTGTACCCATTTATGCCCCTTGCTCGGCACGTGCCGGGGAGGGGCAAGCGGGAAAAAGAAAGGACGATTTTAGCGCGTCCGACTTTTTTATTTCCGTTTTTTTGCCCGAACAACGAGTCAGCGGGGTGGGGGGCCCCCGGGGAGGCTTGCCCGCGCGAAGAAACGCCCCGTGCGCACCACCGTTGGGCGGTTGGAAGCCGCACACGGTCGCGGGGGTGGAGAGCGGAAACGGGCAGCCGGGGGAGGGTGGGGGCGGTTGGACGGGAGTGGGGTGTACGGGGGGCAGGGGAGTTGAGGGGGCAAGGGGAGGGGCAGCAACGGGCAGGGGCTGGGCCAGCTGAGGGCAAGGAAAAGGGGCGGGCAGAGGGTGAGCAGAGGGGCGAGCGATGCAAGGGATGCACCAGAGGGGGGGAATCCAGTTGAACGGAGGTGAGAGGTGAGGGGCGTGCGAGGGGGTGGAACAGGGGCAGGGAGGGGCAGAACGGGAGGATGTGGGTGGGGGGTGGGGGAGGGGAGTGTGTGTGTGTGTGTGTGCGAGATAAAGAGAGAGAGAGAGAGAGAGAGAGAGAGAGAGAGAGAGAGAGAGAGAGAGAGAGAGGGAGAGGGGGGGGGGGGAGAAGGGTGGGAGGGGGGCTGGTGGTGGGGACGGGCTGATGGTGGTAAGAGGGCAGCAGGGATGGGGAGAAGGGAGCATAACGAGGGGAAAGCAAAGGGCAGGGGGGGAGGAAGGGAGGGGCAGGGAGGGAAGAGGGTGAACGTACAAAGAGGGGAAACGAGGGGCATGGATGGTAGGAAACAAGGGCAGGGGTGCGGGAAATCAAGGGCAGGGAGGGGAGAAGCAATGGGTGCGGGGAGAACAAGGGAGGGGCAGAGGGGGTACAAGGTGATCTCAGGGAGGGAAGAAACGTGGGGCAGGGGGGGGAGAAACCAAAGACAGGGGCATGGGCAGGCGGGGGCAGGGAGGGAGCAAAGGAGAGGCACGGAGAAAGAAAGGGAGGTGCAGGGAGGGGAGAAACCGGGCGTGGGGGGGCGGAAAATGAGGGGCAGGGCGGGGAGGAGGGAGAGGCAGGGAGGGGAGAAGCTGAGCACACGGAGGGGGGAAAGGTGGGGCAGGGAGGTGGGAAGCCAAGGGCAAGTGGAGGAGAGTGGGGGGGCAGGGAGAGGGGGGAGGTGGGGAGCGGAGAAAGGCGGCGAGGGGCAGGGAGGGGAGAAACCAAGCGTAGGGGGGGCGAGAAACGAGGGGCAGGGTGCGGATTGAGGAGGGGCAGGGAGTGGAGTGGGTTAGCGAGGGGAAGGAAGAGGCGTGCAGCAGAGGAGGGGAGGGGGGAGGCGAAGGTAAACGAGGGGAGGGCACGGGCGGGGAGGAGCGAATGGCGAGCGGTGGGTAACGGCGAGGGGGGCAGGGAGGGTCAAAAGAGGCGGCGAGGGAGCGGGCACGCGGAGGGTAGGGGCGGGGGGAGCGGATGGCATGAGGGGGCAGGGGGTGTGACTATGAAGGGGGGACCCGGGCAAGGGGTGTGTACCGGTCGGGGCACGGGATTGTCGTGGTACGATCATACCTCGGCTATTACGCCGGATCCCATCAGAACTCCGAAGCTAAGCGTCGGTGGGCGAGAGCAGTTATTTATTGATAAGGGAAATACAATCACAAGCCGGATATAAGTGTTTTTCCAAAAGGAGGAAATTTCGGCATAACCACTGCTCTATGAGGACGACATATATTGTCTGTAGGGAAGAGAAGTAAGAAAGAAGAAGAAAAGATCAAGGAGTGAAAATAAGTAGTAGGGAAAAGAAGAGAGTGGTAGGAAGAGAAGAGAAAAGATAGAGGAAGGGAAAAGAAAGAGGGAGGTGGGAAGAGGAGAGGAGAGAGGGAAAGAGACTAAGGAGAAGGAAGCACCAAGGGACCAGACACGGCAGCAACCCGCACAAACAAACGCGGGCACAGCGTTTCAAGCACAGCCACTAAACTCTCTACACATATGCATCATACATATATTGCATATCGGCAACACTCTCGAAGCACCCTGTGATATGGTTCCAGGTACCCTGCCCCGCACCCAGTGAGACGGGTGCGGGCATCCACCCGTCGTCGGATCCCCCCAACTGCCGCACCGCATGCTGTAAGATGCATGGAGCCTGCGCGCGCTGCAGTGCCACGGAGAGACGTGTAGTGAGTCCTGTCTCAAATATCCGTGCCGATCCGTCATCCCCCCCTCCCCAATCCCTCCTCCGCTGTGCTATCCTCTTTGCGCAGAGCCCCAGGAACTGACGCAACGGCTCGCTCAGTAGGCCAAAGGTCTCAGCCACGCACGCGTAAAAGTGTGGTGCCGGCTGCAAGCCCTCTAAGTGCGGGCCCCAGTGACGCAGCTTCTCCTGCACCCGCCTAGCTGCTGCCACTCCAATCTGTGTGGGGGTCGCCCGTCCCAGCTGCACGTTCCCCTCCCGCTGTGGATCCGCTATGGAGACATCCACAAGAACCATCAAACTCTGCCCAACGTCGCGGCAGGTGAGGTCTGGGATGCGGGAGGAGGTGCCTGTACGGCCTGTGCGTCCGGCTGGTCCCTGCTGCTGCGCTGGCTGCTGCCCTGTCTGGTCCCTCGGTGCCTCCTCTCCAGTCGTCTCTCTCCCCCTATCCTCTCCTCCACCCACCTGTCCTCTCCCCTCCCCCTCTCTACCCTCCCCCAATCCTCCCAACCCCCCTGCTCGATCCCCTGCTGCCTCTCTCACTCCCTGAACCTCACCTCCCAATCTCCCCGCCCCCCCTGTACCCCCGTCCGCTCTTTGCTGCTCTCGCCCCTGCCCCATCCCCGAGCCCACACCCTGAGGCGCGGCACCCTGAGCCTGCGACCTGTGCTGGCTCTCCTGCTGCTGCCTCTGCTGTCCCCCCTCTCCGCTCTGGCTGGTCTGCACCCCCTGCCGTCCCCTCTGTCCGCCTGCCCCTCGCGCCATCCGACCCCGCAGCTGATGCTGTCCCCACTGTGCCCCGCCGCCCGGCTGTCCCGCCTCAGCCCTCTGCTCCAGTGGTCCCCCAGCCCGTGTCCCCTCTCCCACCACCGGCTGTCCCAGCAGTCTCGCTCGAGCTGCCTCCAGGTGTGTGAACAGCGTAGAGTCCTCCACCTTCACCGCGAAGCCCGCCTCGACAGCGAAGTCTCGAAGCGCGAACTTCACCGTGTCGTGGATGACAGTGGCGACGCCGAATCGTGGGCACCGAACCGCGTGGTGAGGCACCGTCATGTCGTCGATCGCCTGTCCACAGGAGCACTGACCTGTGAGGGCTAACTGGGGGATAGGGAGACCAAGACGACATGATGAAGCCACCTGCCACAAGCTCGCGACCCCCGTACCGTCGAACTCGACGGTCAAAACTGAAAAACTAACCGTTGAAAAGGCTTATAACTATAACATAAACAACTATCACAGTCACTTTGTCTTTAAGCAACCCGAAATAGTAGGCTTAGCAAGCTCCTTAGGAGGCAGCCATGGATAGGTAAGAGCTAGGTCAAGCTAAGAGCGCCGGTGGGCGAGAGCAGTACTGGGCTGGGTGACCTCCCGGGAAGTCCTCGTGTTGTACCCATTTATGCCCCTTGCTCGGCACGTGCCGGGGAGGGGCAAGCGGGAAAAAGAAAGGACGATTTTAGCGCGTCCGACTTTTTTATTTCCGTTTTTTTTGCTCCGAACAACGAGTCAGCGGGGTGGGGGGCCCCCGGGGAGGCTTGCCCGCGCGAAGAAACGCCCCGTGCGCACCACCGTTGGGCGGTTGGAAGCCGCACACGGTCGCGGGGGTGGAGAGCGGAAACGGGCAGCCGGGGGAGGGTGGGGGCGGTTGGACGGGAGTGGGGTGTACGGGGGGCAGGGGAGTTGAGGGGGCAAGGGGAGGGGCAGCAACGGGCAGGGGCTGGGCCAGCTGAGGGCAAGGAAAAGGGGCGGGCAGAGGGTGAGCAGAGGGGCGAGCGATGCAAGGGATGCACCAGAGGGGGGGAATCCAGTTGAACGGAGGTGAGAGGTGAGGGGCGTGCGAGGGGGTGGAACAGGGGCAGGGAGGGGCAGAACGGGAGGATGTGGGTGGGGGGTAGGGGAGGGGAGTGTGTGTGTGTGTGTGTGCGAGAGAAGAGAGAGAGAGAGAGAGAGAGAGAGAGAGAGAGAGAGAGAGAGAGAGGGAGAGGGAGAGGGGGGGGGGGGGGAAGGGTGGGAGGGGGGCTGGTGGTGGGGACGGGCTGATGGTGGTAAGAGGGCAGCAGGGATGGGGAGAAGGGAGCATAACGAGGGGAAAGCAAAGGGCAGGGGGGGAGGAAGGGAGGGGCAGGGAGGGAAGAGGGTGAACGTACAAAGAGGGGAAACGAGGGGCATGGATGGTAGGAAACAAGGGCAGGGGTGCGGGAAATCAAGGGCAGGGAGGGGAGAAGCAATGGGTGCGGGGAGAACAAGGGAGGGGCAGAGGGGGTACAAGGTGATCTCAGGGAGGGAAGAAACGTGGGGCAGGGGGGGGAGAGACCAAAGACAGGGGCATGGGCAGGCGGGGGCAGGGAGGGAGCAAAGGAGAGGCACGGAGAAAGAAAGGGAGGTGCAGGGAGGGGAGAAACCGGGCGTGGGGGGGCGGAAAATGAGGGGCAGGGCGGGGAGGAGGGAGAGGCAGGGAGGGGAGAAGCTGAGCACACGGAGGGGGGAAAGGTGGGGCAGGGAGGTGGGAAGCCAAGGGCAAGTGGAGGAGAGTGGGGGGGCAGGGAGAGGGGGGAGGTGGGGAGCGGAGAAAGGCGGCGAGGGGCAGGGAGGGGAGAAACCAAGCGTAGGGGGGCGAGAAACGAGGGGCAGGGTGCGGATTGAGGAGGGGCAGGGAGTGGAGTGGGTTAGCGAGGGGAAGGAAGAGGCGTCCAGCAGAGGAGGGGAGGGGGGAGGCGAAGGTAAACGAGGGGAGGGCACGGGCGGGGAGGAGCGAATGGCGAGCGGTGGGTAACGGCGAGGGGGGCAGGGAGGGTCAAAAGAGGCGGCGAGGGAGCGGGCACGCGGAGGGTAGGGGCGGGGGGAGCGGATGGCATGAGGGGGCAGGGGGTGTGACTATGAAGGGGGGACCCGGGCAAGGGGTGTGTACCGGTCGGGGCACGGGATTGTCGTGGTACGATCATACCTCGGCTACTACGCCGGATCCCATCAGAACTCCGAAGCTAAGCGCCGGTGGGCGAGAGCAGTTATTTATTGATAAGGGAAATACAATTACAAGCCGGATATAAGTGTTTTTCCAAAAGGAGGAAATTTCGGCATAACCATTGCTCTATGAGGACGACATATATTGTCTGTAGGGAAAAGAAGAAAGAAAGAAGAAGAAAAGGTCAAGGAGTGAAAAGAAGTAGTAGGGAAAAGAAGAGAGTGGTAGGAAGAGAAGAGAAAAGATAGATGAAGGGAAGAGAAAGAGGGAGGTGGGAAGAGGAGAGGAGAGAGGGAAAGAGACTAAGGAGAAGGAAGCACCAAGGGACCAGACACGGCAGCAACCCGCACAAACAAACGCGGGCACAGCGTTTCAATCACAGCCACTAAACTCTCTACACATATGCATCATACATATATTGCATATCGGCAACACTCTCGAAGCACCCTGTGATATGGTTCCAGGTACCCTGCCCCGCACCCAGTGGGACGGGTGCGGGCATCCATCCGTCGTCGGATCCCCCCAACTGCCGCACCGCATGCTGTAAGATTCATCGAGCCTGCGCGCGCTGCAGTGCCACGGAGAGACGTGTAGTGAGTCCTGTCTCAAATATCCGTGCCGATCCGTCATCCCCTCCTCCCCAATCCCTCCTCCGCTGTGCTATCCTCTTCGCGCAGAGCCCCAGGAACTGACGCAACGGCTTGCTCAGTAGGCCAAAGGTCTCAGCCACGCACGCGTAAAAGTGTGGTGCCGGCTGCAACCCCTCTAAGTGCGGCCCCCAGTGACGCAGCTTCTCCTGCACCCGCCTAGCTGCTGCCACTCCAATCTGTGTGGGGGTTGCCCGTCCCAGCTGCACGTTCCCCTCCCGCTGTGGATCCGCTATGGAGACATCCACAAGAACCATCAAAGTCTGCCCAACGTCGCGGCAGGTGAGGTCTGGGATGCGGGAGGAGGTGCCTGTACGGCCTGTGCGTCCGGCTGGTCCCTGCTGCTGCGCTGGCTGCTGCCCTGTCTGGTCCCTCGGTGCCTCCTCTCCAGTCGTCTCTCTCCCCCTATCCTCTCCTCCACCCACCTGTCCTCTCCCCTCCCCCTCTCTACCCTCCCCCAACCCTCCCAACCCCCCTGCTCGATCCCCTACTGCCTCTCTCACTCCCTGAACCTCACCTCCCAATCTCCCCGCCCCCCCTGTACCCCCGTCCGCCCTCTGCTGCTCTCGTCCCTGCCCCACCCCCGAGCCCACACTCTGAGGCGCGGCGCCCTGAGCCTGCGACCTGTGCTGGCTCTCCTGCTGCTGCCTCTGCTGTCCCCCCTCTCCGCCCTGGCTGGTCTGCACCCCCTGCCGACCCCTCTGCCCACCTGCCCCTCGCGCCACTCGACCCCGCAGCTGATGCTGTCCCCACTGTGCCCCGCCTCCTGGCAGTCCCGCCTCAGCCCCCTGCTCCAGTGGCCCCCCAGCCCGTGTCCCCTCTCCCACCACCGGCTGTCCCTGCAGTCTCGCTCGAGCTGCCTCCAGGTGTGTGAACAGCGTAGAGTCCTCCACCTTCACCGCGAAGCCCGCCTCGACAGCGAAGTCTCGAAGCGCGAACTTCACCGTGTCGTGGATGACAGTGGCGACGCCGAATCGTGGGCACCGAACCGCGTGGTGAGGCACCGTCATGTCGTCGATCGCCTGTCCACAGGAGCACTGACCTGTGAGGGCTAACTGGGGGACAGGGAGACCAAGACGACATGATGAAGCCACCTGCCACTCCGCCTCCGGAATGCGCAGGGCGTCTGCGTATGGCACCGCCTGCAACCACGCTCCTGCACCTACGCCTTGAAGGGAAGTCAAACAGGCAAGGTGCAAGGGAGAGGTGTGACGGGCACGCACGGCCTCCAAGGCATGCGCCTCCAGAAGGCGGCTCGTTCCTGCAAAAAGGGAATCGGGGGAGGCAGAGGCACAAGAGGGCCAGGGTGGGAGGAGAGAGAGGATGTCAGGTGGAAGGCCCTCCAGCGTCGTCCGTAGGGATGGGTCGATCTGCTCCGTCTCACCGGAAGCAAAGCTCTGCCGAAAGACCTCACCGCACACAGGGAGAGAATAGAGGATGGGTGCGCACTGCACCCAAGAGCACACGAAACTCACCGGGGCAATGCGCTCCATGCGACGAATGCCGAAACACCCAAGGCGGATGGGGAGGAAGATCTGGTCGCTGGCGGCATCTTTGACCACCCAGTCCAGGTGGTCAGCAAGAGCACGGCGGACACCTCTAACTACGACCTCTGTGCCACACGTCACCCCCACCCCAAACTGCTGGGACGCCAAGAAGACCCTCGCCATCTGGTCGCGTAGCTGGAGGCAAACTGCTCGCGAAAGAATGCGGACCAACACCTCGCCAATGGCAATCGGCCGAACATCCATGTTCGATTTCGCCAGAGCCACGAGGGTGGAAGACGCCAGTAAAGAGCGCGTAGCTAGAGCGCAACGACCTCTGAGCCACTGCTGGTACACAGCTAGAAGAGAGGGGAGACTCTGAGGGAAAGCCAAGAAAGTGTCTCGAAGGTGCTCAGCAACCCATCCGGACGGTCCCCCCGAGGAGCCGCGCGGAGCTGTGAAGATGGCGCGACGTAGGTGATCCGTCGAGAGCACGAGAGCAGTCCCCTGGTAGTCCGACAGCCAAGCTGGGGTCGGCCTCTCCGCGTTGGGGTGCTTCGACTTCAGGCGCTGCGTCGTCCCCTGTGTATCTGGGGCGGCCTCCGCGGACTCAAGAGCCGCGCAGGCCCGTGAGGTCTCATTGCACGCCGCCAGACGGAGGCAACGTGCAATGCGACGCTCATCTGCGGTGGACTGGGTGGCGACGGGACGTGCGTCGAGGAAGGGGGGTGCGACGGATCAGGGCCTCAGAGAGTAGCTCTGTCCACTCACCTCGCATGAAGCGGGAGACCCGTGCTGCGATGGTAGTCGTGTGCGAGCGGTCTGGCGGGGTCGCCTGCGTCAGGAGAAGTGTGGGTGCAGCGGCGAGGAGGAAGGTAGGGCCCGGAGCCTCGGGATACTGGGATACACGGGCTAAGATCGTGCAGAGGACGTCAAGATATCCTCCGCGAACCCTAGTTGGAATGCGTCGGAGAGGGCGGGCGTGGGTGCGCTCTGGCGAGAAATACTCCGACCAGTCGAAGGAGTCCAACGTCTGCCACTGTGCATCTGTGAAATGCGTCCTCGTCCCCTGTGGCTCCGAGAGGGATGGGAGGACAGATGAGGTGTCGTGGAGGGCCTGTGCCCTACGAGCTGCGTCCGCAGGATGGCAGAAGGGCGTGTGGTGCTGAAGCGCGCGTCGATTCGCGAGAGAGCTCCTGCAGGTGGGGCATCTCACGACCTGGTCGGGTGACGTCGCCGTGTCGGTGGGGTCGATCGGGGCCGTGGCGTCGGAACTGGCTGTAGAGGGGACCCCATGGGCGGCCTGAACTCCAAGAGGATCACCTGGGATAAGGAGAGGAGAGGACTCGCCGGCCCCGTGCAGGGGGGGTGTCGGACAAGATAAAGGTGGTGCCACACAGGATGGGGCTGGGCCTCGTGGCGGTACCGGTCCCGAAGCTAGGGGGGGGGGGCGTGGAGGTGAGCCAGAAGTGTGTGCCGTGGTGTGCCCCTGTCCCTCGGCGGGGTGCGGTCCAAGTGGCGGCTCTGCTACCCCAGGCGGAGGGGTCTCGGCAGGGGCCGATGCCTCATCCCTAATGTTGGTGCCCTCCTGCGTCGCGGGTAGTGTGTCGGCAACGGGCTGAACGAGGGGAGGCGCCGCCACGTCTAGGTGCGAATGACACGGCCTCGGAACCAGGTCCGTCTCTATCGGGGACGGGAGTGACGCGCCTGGCTGAGTAGTGGGGGGGGTGAAAGAAGGGACAGAACGGGTGACCTCCGCATACGTCCGGGTCCGGACCTGTGGGACTGGTAGGGTGGGGGCAGCCGGGGGGCTGCTCGGGCTCTGTATCGCCAGCAGATCTGAGATGGCAGCCCTCACCTCCTCTGCGGTCCCGGTGACCTGCCTGCCTGCTGGTGAGGGTAGGAGGGCTGGCAGGGTAGAGGGTGGGGTGGGGCGTGCTGGCTGAGCAGAGCCCGGGTGTGGACCCTGCCCTAGAAAGCCCCCTTGGCCCTCCCCAATGACCATGGGTTGTGGTAGGGGGCTGTCGACATGGATGGGGTGGGAGGCATGGGAAGGGGAGTCGGTGGCGTCTGCCATGGGCGCATCCCTCATCCCGTCGGCCTCCATCCCGGCAGCGCACACGGCTGCCGCCACCTGGGGGGGGTTTAGAGGAAGGGAGAGGCGGCCCGGGGGTGAGTGGGCTGGATCGCTCCCATGGCCCTGTGGAGGGGCAGGTACGGGAGGGGGGTGTGAGTTTGGTGGTTGGTATGTAGGGGTAGGGCCTGGTGCAGGTTCAGTGGGATGTGGGGTGAGGAGGGGCGGCTGGAGGGGAAGGGAGGGAGGGGGGAGTAGGTGAGCTGGCCCCTTGCCGCCTTTGCCTTTCTTCTTCCGTCGACGGCCAACCTGGTTTTGGTTGTCCCTGTCTGGTTGTGAGGGAAGGGCGGGCTGAGAGGCTAAGGGGATGGGTGAGGGGAGGATGGGTGGTTGGCTAGGTAGAGGAAGCTCAGTGTGCATCCCTCTTCTCCCCATGACATCACCCTCCGTGGTGGGCTGTATGTGGGGGGCGATGTCTGCCCAACGGGGCCACTCGTGGTGAGGCAGGCTGTAGGCGGGGGTTGTGGGTGGGGGGCGAAGGGCTGGAGCAATGTAGCGGTTAGGGCGTGGTGCTTGTGGTGGAGGGAGTGAGGTCTGTGGTGGCTGCGTGGTGGAAGGGGGGGGATTGAGGGGGGAATGAGGTTCAGAGGTTGTGCCCCCATGCTGTACGTTGGCACCAGAGCCCCTCCCGCTGGCAACCCCTCCTGTGGGCCCCGCGCCCATGGTGTCGTCGCCTCCCTGAGCTAGGGGCAGGGGTCCTTGTGGTTGGGACTTGGATGCTTGGGGGGGTTGGTGTGAGGAGGGTGGGAGGGTTGGGGTTGTGCGGCGAGTTGGGTGATTTGGGTGTGTGTAGGGTGTGGGGCAATGCGCGGATGGAGGCGGGTGTGGCAGGGTTGAGGTTTGAACCTCTGAAATGTGCATAGCCCCGGGTGGGGGAGGACCTGGAGGGGGTGGGGGTAGTGGGCTGGTGGGGGGTGACTGGATGGTGTTAGGGGTCGGGGAGCACGGCTCCGCCAAGAAGGCCAGGGCCCTGGCTGCTCCCCGTGATGCTAGAGGGAGCCCCTGAGGGTGGGGGCGGGAGTGTGCTGCTCTTAGGGGAGAGGAAAGGGGCGAGGAGGGGTGAGGGGCAAGGATGGGGCTGGGTGTAGGAGGCTCTGCCCTCGCCGTGCCCGCGTGCTCTCCTGACGGACCGTCTGTAAGCGTGGTGTCAGGCGTTGGGGACAGAGAGGGGGGCTGGTCATGGAACAGCGTGGGGGTCGGGGAGCACGGCTCCGCCAAGAAGGCCAGGGCCTTGGCTGCCCCCCAGGATGCTACAGGGACCTGAGGGTGGGGGTGGGGAAGTGGTGCTCCTGGGGGGGGGTGGGCTGGAGGACGGGGGGTAAGGATGGGGTCTCCCTCGCGAGGTTCTGTCCTCAAAGTCTCCTCCAGCCCCTCCACCGGTCCATCTGCTAGCATGGGGTCGGGCATGGGGGGGAGAGGGGGAACCTCGACATGAGGCTGCAGGGGGGCCGAGTCAGCCTCGCCGTCAAGCGTGAGGTAGTGGGCCAGTGGCCCGTCGATGTGCATCCCGTCCTCTACCTCATCCTCCTCTATCACTATCACATCCCCCCCTTCAGTGGCCCCCCCGGTTGGGACCTCGCTCGCCTCTCCTCCCCCTGTTGCCCCTATGTCCCCCGAGCCCACCCCACCTGCTGTCTCTTTACTGCTAGCCCCTTCTGCAGTCTCTGCCGGCCCTGCTGTGTGCTCCACCGCGCTTGCTGCGGCCCCTGCTGCCCCTACTGGCCGTGCTATGGCCCTCCCTGCTGCTTCAGCTGCAGCCTCACCTTCTGCCTTTGAGGCCTCTGCTGTCCCCTCTCCCACTCCGGCCCTTGCCGCACCCTCTCCTGCTACAGCCGGGGCGGCACTCTCCCTCACACCAGTCCCCGTTACACCCTTCCCCGCTGCAGCCCCCGTAGCACCTCCCCCTGTACCAGCCCCCACCGTGGCCCCTGTCGCTCCTGCTACAGTCCCTGCCGCCTCACCTGCTGCAGTCTGTGAAGCCTCGCCTACCAGAATCTGCTCAGCCTCACCTGCCGCGGTCCCTGCCGCCTCACTTGCTGCAGTCCCTGCAGCCTCACCTGCTGCAGTCCCTGCAGCCTCACCTGCTGCAGTCCCTGCGGCCTCACCTGCTGCAGTCCCTGCGGCCTCACCTGCTGTAGTCTGTGCAGCCTCACCTGCTGCGGCCCCTGCAGCCTCACCTGCTGCGGTCCCTGCAGCCTCACCTGCTGCGGTCCCTGCGGCCTCACCTGCCATGGTCCCTCCTGCAGCCTCACCCGCTGTGGTTCCTGCAGCCTCACCTGCTGCAGTCTCTGCAGCCTTGCCTGCTGCAGTCCCTGCGGCCTCACCTGCTGTAGTCTGTGCAGCCTCACCTGCTAGAATCTGCTCAGCCTCACCTGCTGCGGCCCCTGCGGCCTCACCTGCTGTGGTCCCTGCGGCCTCACCTGCCATGGTCCCTCCTGCAGCCTCACTCGCTGTGGTCCCTGCCGCCTCACCTGCTGCGGTCCCTGCGGCCTCACCTGCCATGGTCTCTCCTGTAGCCTCACCCGCTGTGGTCCCTACAGCCTCACCTGCTGCGGTCCCATCAGAACGCCGGATCCCATCAGAACTCCGAAGCTAAGCGCCGGTGGGCGAGAGCAGTACTGGGCTGGGTGACCTCCCGGGAAGTCCTCGTGTTGTACCCATTTATGCCCCTTGCTCGGCACGTGCCGGGGAGGGGCAAGCGGGAAAAAGAAAGGACGATTTTAGCGCGTCCGACTTTTTTATTTCCATTTTTTTGCCCAAACAACGAGTCAGCGGGGTGGGGGGCCCCCGGGGAGGCTTGCCCGCGCGAAGAAACGCCCCGTGCGCACCACCGTTGGGCGGTTGGAAGCCGCACACGGTCGCGGGGGTGGAGAGCGGAAACGGGCAGCCGGGGGAGGGTGGGGGCGGTTGGACGGGAGTGGGGTGTACGGGGGGCAGGGGAGTTGAGGGGGCAAGGGGAGGGGCAGCAACGGGCAGGGGCTGGGCCAGCTGAGGGCAAGGAAAAGGGGCGGGCAGAGGGTGAGCAGAGGGGCGAGCGATGCAAGGGATGCACCAGAGGGGGGGAATCCAGTTGAACGGAGGTGAGAGGTGAGGGGCGTGCGAGGGGGTGGAACAGGGGCAGGGAGGGGCAGAACGGGAGGATGTGGGTGGGGGGTGGGGGAGGGGAGTGTGTGTGTGTGTGTGTGTGCGAGAGAAAGAGAGAGAGAGAGAGAGAGAGAGAGAGATAGAGAGAGAGAGAGAGAGGGAGAGGGGGGGGGGGAGAAGGGTGGGAGGGGGGCTGGTGGTGGGGACGGGCTGATGGTGGTAAGAGGGCAGCAGGGATGGGGAGAAGGGAGCGTAACGAGGGGAAAGCAAAGGGCAGGGGGGGAGGAAGGGAGGGGCAGGGAGGGAAGAGGGTGAACGTACAAAGAGGGGAAACGAGGGGCATGGATGGTAGGAAACAAGGGCAGGGGTGCGGGAAATCAAGGGCAGGGAGGGGAGAAGCAATGGGTGCGGGGAGAACAAGGGAGGGGCAGAGGGGGTACAAGGTGATCTCAGGGAGGGAAGAAACGTGGGGCAGGGAGGGGAGAAACCAAAGACAGGGGCATGGGCAGGCGGGGGCAGGGAGGGAGCAAAGGAGAGGCACGGAGAAAGAAAGGGAGGTGCAGGGAGGGGAGAAACCGGGCGTGGGGGGGCGGAAAATGAGGGGCAGGGCGGGGAGGAGGGAGAGGCAGGGAGGGGAGAAGCTGAGCACACGAAGGGGGGAAAGGTGGGGCAGGGAGGTGGGAAGCCAAGGGCAAGTGGAGGAGAGTGGGGGGGCAGGGAGAGGGGGGAGGTGGGGAGCGGAGAAAGGCGGCGAGGGGCAGGGAGGGGAGAAACCAAGCATAGGGGGGCGAGAAACGAGGGGCAGGGTGCGGATTGAGGAGGGGCAGGGAGTGGAGTGGGTTAGCGAGGGGAAGGAAGAGGCGTGCAGCAGAGGAGGGGAGGGGGGAGGCGAAGGTAAACGAGGGGAGGGCACGGGCGGGGAGGAGCGAATGGCGAGCGGTGGGTAACGGCGAGGGGGGCAGGGAGGGTCAAAAGAGGCGGCGAGGGAGCGGGCACGCGGAGGGTAGGGGCGGGGGGAGCGGATGGCATGAGGGGGCAGGGGGTGTGACTATGAAGGGGGGACCCGGGCAAGGGGTGTGTACCGGTCGGGGCACGGGATTGTCGTGGTACGATCATACCTCGGCTACTACGCCGGATCCCATCAGAACTCCGAAGCTAAGCGCCGGTGGGCGAGAGCAGTTATTTATTGATAAGGGAAATACAATTACAAGTCGAATATAAGTGTTTTTCCAAAAGGAGGAAATTTCGGCATAACCACTGCTCTATGAGGACGACATATATTGTCTGTAGGGAAAAGAAGAAAGAAAGAAGAAGAAAAGGTCAAGGAGTGAAAAGAAGTAGTAGGGAAAAGAAGAGAGTGGTGGGAAGAGAAGAGAAAAGATAGATGAAAGGAAGAGAAAGAGGGAGGTGGGAAGAGGAGAGGAGAGAGGGAAAGAGACTAAGGAGGAGGAAGCACCAAGGGACCAGACACGGCAGCAACCCGCACACCAAACGCGGGCACAGCGTTTCAAGCACAGCCACTAAACTCTCTACACATATGCATCATACATATATTGCATATCGGCAACACTCTCGAAGCACCCTGTGATATGGTTCCAGGTACCCTGCCCCGCACCCAGTGGGACGGGTGCGGGCATCTATCCGTCGTCGGATCCCCCCAACTGCCGCACCGCATGCTGTAAGATGCATCGAGCCTGCGCGCGCTGCAGTGCCACGGAGAGACGTGTAGTGAGTCCTGTCTCAAATATCCGTGCTGATCCATCATCCCCTCCTCCCCAATCCCTCCGCTGTGCTATCCTCTTCGCGCAGAGCCCCAGGAACTGACGCAACGGCTCGCTCAGTAGGCCAAAGGTCTCAGCCACGCACGCGTAAAAGTGTGGTGCCGGCTGCAACCCCTCTAAGTGCGGCCCCCAGTGACGCAGCTTCTCCTGCACCCGCCTAGCTGCTGCCACTCCAATCTGTGTGGGGGTCGCCCGTCCCAGCTGCACGTTCCCCTCCCGCTGTGGGTCCGCTATGGAGACATCCACAAGAACCATCAAAGTCTGCCCGACGTCGCGGCAGGTGAGGTCTGGGATGCGGGAGGAGGTGCCTGTACGGCCTGTGCGTCCGGCTGGTCCCTGCTGCTGCGCTGGCTGCTGCCCTGTCTGGTCCCTCGGTGCCTCCTCTCCTGTCGTCTCTCTCCCCCTATCCTCTCCTCCACCCACCTGTCCTCTCCCCTCCCCCTCTCTACCCTCCCCCAAACCTCCCAACCTCCCTGCTCGATCCCCTGCAGCCTCTCTCACTCCCTGAACCTCCCCTCCCAATCTCCCCGCCCCCCCTGTACCCCCGTCCGCTCTCTGCTGCTCTCGTCCCTGCCCCACCCCCGAGCCCACACCCTGAGGCGCGGTGCCCTGAGCCTGCGACCTGTGCGGGCTCTCCTGCTGCTGCCTCTGCTGTCCTCCCTCTCCGCCCTGGCTGGTCTGCACCCCCTGCCGTCCCCTCTGCCCACCTGCCCCTCGCGCCACCCGACCCCGCAGCTGATGCTGTCCCCACTGTGCCCCGCCGCCCGGCAGTCCCGCCTCAGCCCCCTGCTCCAGTGGCCCCCCAGCCCGTGTCCCCTCTCCCACCACCGGCTGTCCCAGCAGTCTCGCTCGAGCTGCCTCCAGGTGTGTGAACAGCGTAGAGTCCTCCACCTTCACCGCGAAGCCCGCCTCGACAGCGAAGTCTCGAAGCGCGAACTTCACCGTGTCGTGGATGACAGTGGCGACGCCGAATCGTGGGCACCGAACCGCGTGGTGAGGCACCGTCATGTCGTCGATCGCCTGTCCACAGGAGCACTGACCTGTGAGGGCTAACTGGGGGACAGGGAGACCAAGACGACATGATGAAGCCACCTGCCACTCCGCCTCCGGAATGCGCAGGGCGTCTGCGTATGGCACCGCCTGCAGCCACCTACCTGCACCTACGCCCTGAAGGGAAGTCAAACGGGCAAGGTGCAAGGGAGAGGTGTGACGGGCACGCACGACCTCCAAGGCATGCGCCTCCAGAAGGCGCCTCGCTCCTGCAAAAAGGGAATCGGGGGAAGCAGAGGCACAAGAGGGCCAGGGTGGGAGGAGAGAGAGGATGTCAGGTGGAAGGCCCTCCAGCGTCGTCCGTAGGGATGGGTTGATCTGCTCTGTCTCACCGGAAGCAAAGCTCTGCCGAAAGACCTCACCACACACAGGGAGAGAACAGAGGATGGGTGCACACTGCACCCAAGAGCACACGAAACTCACCGGGGCAATGCGCTCCATGCGACGAATGCCGAAACCCCCAAGGCGGATGGGGAGGAAGATCTGGTCGCTGGCGGCATCTTTGACGTCCTCGCGGCATGCCCATGTCCCTGACGCTAAAAGCTGCTGAAAAGTCTCTCCCAGGTGTGCGTCCCAGCGTGCGAAGCTGGAGAGCACTGCGGGTGAGGGAGGGACAGTCCTCGACAGGTACTGCGGGCGAGTGCTGACACATGCCGAAAGAAGGCGAGCAGCTGTCTGGGGCTGGCGCAACCTCGGAAGCCAAGGTAGCACCCGCCCCATCTTCTCGAGACGATCCGGGACGCTGCGCTCCACAAACGAAACGGTACCCACCGGCACGCCCGTCACAGTGAATCCCCGGCGTGCGACCTCGACCCCAAGACTCGTGAAAGCCTCCACGTCCCTGGACAAAAAAGACTCAGTCTGGTAGACGAGGCACTTGTGCGGTTGGACCGCGAGGCCCATCTCGCCCAAGCGCCTCACGATCTCGGAGAAATGGTGTAGCACCCTGTCTGGGGGGCCTAGCACGTACGTGTCGTCGGCGTACGACCAGAGCTGGACAACGCCCTCCGTCAGAACCGGCTCCAGGGCAAGTCGCTGTGTCAGAGCGTACAGGAAGGGACTGAGGGGGTCTCCCTGGCGACTGCCACGCTCCGAGTGCATCGTGACCACTCCCTCACCTGTCCTGTAGTGGAGATCCGAGGGCGTCCCGTAGAAAAGGCCGATGAAAGGGATGAGGCACTGGAACTCTGGGCTGGCCTGCAAAGCCTGGAACATCATGTCTCGGTGAAATGAGTTAAAGGCGTTCGCCACGTCTAGCTGCAGGACCACCCAGTCCGGGTGGTCAGTCAGAGCACGGCGGACACCTCTAACTACGACCTCTGTGCCACACGTCACCCCCACCCCAAACTGCTGGGACGCCAAGAAGACCCTCGCCATCTGGTCGCGTAGCTGGAGGCAAACTGCTCGCGAAAGAATGCGGACCAACACCTCGCCAATGGCAATCGGCCGAACATCCATGTTCGACTTCGCCAGAGCCATGAGGGTGGAAGACGCCAGTAAAGAGCACGTAGCTGGAGCGCAACGACCTCGGAGCCACTGCTGGTACACAGCTAGAAGAGAGGGGAGACTCTGAGGGAAAGCCAGGAAAGTGTCTCGAAGGTGCTCAGCAACCCACCCAGACGGTCCCCCCGAGAAGCCACGCGGAGCTGTGAAGATGGCGCGACATAGGTGATCCGTCGAGAGCACGAGAGCAGTCCCCTGGTAGTCCGACAGCCAAACTGGGGTTGGCCTCTCCGCGTTGGGGTGGTTCGACTGTAGGCGCTGTGTTGTCCCCTGTGTATCTGGGGTGGCCTCCGCGGACTCAAGAGCCGCGCAGGCCCGTGAGGTCTCATTGCACGCTGCCAGACGGAGGCAACGTGCGATGCGACGCTCATCTGCGGTGGACTGGGCGGTGACGGGACGTGCGCGCCGGGATGTGCGTCGAGGGAGGGGGGTGCGACGGATCAGGGCCTCAGAGAGTAGCTCAGTCCACTCACCTCGCATGAAGCGGGAGACCCGTGCTGCGATGGCAGTCGTGTGCGAGCGGTCTGGCGGGGTCGCCTGCGTGAGGAGAAGTGTGGGTGCAGTGGCGAGGAGGAAGGTAGGGCCCGGAGCCTCGGGATCCTGGGATACACGGGCCAAGATCGTGCAGAGGACGTCAAGATATCCTCCGCGGACCCTAGCAGGAATGCGTCGGAGAGGGCGGGCGTGGGTGCGCTCTGGCGAGAAATACTCCGTCCAATCGAAGGATTCCAGCGTTTGCCACTGTGCATCTGTGAAATGCGTCCTCGTCCCTTGTGGCTCCGAGAGGGATGGGAGGACAGATGAGGTGTCGTGGAGGGCCTGTGCCCTACGAGCCGCGTCCGCAGGATGGCAGAAGGGCGTGTGGTGCTGAAGGGCACGTCGGTTCGCGAGAGAGCTCCTGCAGGTGGGGCATCTCACGACCTGGTCGGGTGATGTCGCCGTGTCGGTGGGGCCGATCGGGGCCGTGGCGTCGGAACTGGCTGTAGAGGGGGCCCCATGGGTGGCCTGAGCTGCAAGAGGATCGCCTGGGATAAGGGGAGGAGAGGACTCACCGGCCCCATGCCTGGGGGGTGTCTGAGAAGAAAGAGGTGGTGCCCCACAGGATGGGGCCGGGCCTCGTGGCGGTACCGGTCCCGAAGCTAGGGAGGGGGGACGTGGAGGTGAGCCTGAAGTGTGCGCCGTGGTGTGCCCCTGTCCCTCGGCGGGGTGCGGTCCAAGTGGCGGCTCTGCTACCCCAGGCGGGGGGGTCTGGGCAGGGGCAGATGTCTCATCCCTAAAGCCGGTGCCCTCCTGCGCCACGGGTTGTGTGTCGGCAACGGGCTGAACGGGGGGAGGCGCCACCACGTCTAGGTGCGAGCGACACGGCCTCGGAACCAGGTCTGTCTCCATCGGGGACGGGAGTGACGGGCCTGGATGAGTAGTGGGGGGGATAAAAGAAGGGACAGAACGGGTGACCTCCGCATACGTCCGGGTCCGGACCTGTGGGATTGATAGGGTGGGGGCAGCCGGGGAGCTGCTCGGGCTCTGTATCGCCCGCAAATCTGAGATGGCAGCCCTCACCTCCTCTGGGGTCCCGGTGACCTGCCTGCCTGCTGGTGAGGGTAGGAGGGCTGGCAGGGTAGAGGGTGGGGTGGGGCGTGCTGGCTGAGCAGAGCTCGGGTGTGGACCCTGCCCTAGAAAACCCCCTTGGCCCTCCCCTATCACCATGGGTTGCGGTAGGGGGGCGTCGACATGGATGGGGTGGGAGGCATGGGAGGGGGAGTCGGTGGCGTCTGCCATGGGCGCATCCCTCATCCCGTCGGCCTCCATCCCGGCTGCCGCCACCTGGGGGGGGAGTTTATTGGAAGAGAGAGGCGGCCCGGGGGTGGGTGGGCTGGATCGCTCCCATGGCCCTGTGGAGGGGCAGGTACGAGAGGGGGGTGTGAGTTTGGTGGTTGGCCTGTAGGGGTAGGGCCTGGTGCACGCTCAGTGGGATGTGGGGTGAGGAGGGGCGGCTGGAGGGGAGAGAGCAGTACTGGGCTGGGTGACCTCCCGGGAAGTCCTCGTGTTGTACCCATTTATGCCCCTTGCTCGGCACGTGCCGGGGAGGGGCAAGCGGGAAAAAGAAAGGACGATTTTAGCGCGTCCGACTTTTTTATTTCCGTTTTTTTGCCCGAACAACGAGTCAGCGGGGTGGGGGGCCCCCGGGGAGGCTTGCCCGCGCGAAGAAACGCCCCGTGCGCACCACCGTTGGGCGGTTGGAAGCCGCACACGGTCGCGGGGGTGGAGAGCGGAAACGGGCAGCCGGGGGAGGGTGGGGGCGGTTGGACGGGAGTGGGGTGTACGGGGGGCAGGGGAGTTGAGGGGGCAAGGGGAGGGGCAGCAACGGGCAGGGGCTGGGCCAGCTGAGGGCAAGGAAAAGGGGCGGGCAGAGGGTGAGCAGAGGGGCGAGCGATGCAAGGGATGCACCAGAGGGGGGGAATCCAGTTGAACGGAGGTGAGAGGTGAGGGGCGTGCGAGGGGGTGGAACAGGGGCAGGGAGGGGCAGAACGGGAGGATGTGGGTGGGGGGGTGGGGGAGGGGAGTGTGTGTGTGTGTGTGTGTGCGAGAGAAAGAGAGAGAGAGAGAGAGAGATAGAGAGAGAGAGAGAGAGGGAGAGGGGGGGGGGGAGAAGGGTGGGAGGGGGGCTGGTGGTGGGGACGGGCTGATGGTGGTAAGAGGGCAGCAGGGATGGGGAGAAGGGAGCGTAACGAGGGGAAAGCAAAGGGCAGGGGGGGAGAAACCAAGCATAGGGGGGCGAGAAACGAGGGGCAGGGTGCGGATTGAGGAGGGGCAGGGAGTGGAGTGGGTTAGCGAGGGGAAGGAAGAGGCGTGCAGCAGAGGAGGGGAGGGGGGAGGCGAAGGTAAACGAGGGGAGGGCACGGGCGGGGAGGAGCGAATGGCGAGCGGTGGGTAACGGCGAGGGGGGCAGGGAGGGTCAAAGAGGCGGCGAGGGAGCGGGCACGCGGAGGGTAGGGGCGGGGGGAGCGGATGGCATGAGGGGGCAGGGGGGTGTGACTATGAAGGGGGGGACCCGGGCAAGGGGTGTGTACCGGTCGGGGCACGGGATTGTCGTGGTACGATCATACCTCGGCTACTACGCCGGATCCCATCAGAACTCCGAAGCTAACCGCCGGTGGGCGAGAGCAGTACTGGGCTGGGTGACCTCCCGGGAAGTCCTCGTGTTGTACCCATTTATGCCCCTTGCTCGGCACGTGCCGGGGAGGGGCAAGCGGGAAAAACAAAGGACGATTTTAGCGCGTCCGACTTTTTTATTTCCGTTTTTTTTGCCCGAACAACGAGTCAGCGGGGTGGGGGGCCCCCGGGGAGGCTTGCCCGCGCGAAGAAACGCCCCGTGCGCACCACCGTTGGGCGGTTGGAAGCCGCACACGGTCGCGGGGGTGGAGAGCGGAAACGGGCAGCCGGGGGAGGGTGGGGGCGGTTGGACGGGAGTGGGGTGTACGGGGGGCAGGGGAGTTGAGGGGGCAAGGGGAGGGGCAGCAACGGGCAGGGGCTGGGCCAGCTGAGGGCAAGGAAAAGGGGCGGGCAGAGGGTGAGCAGAGGGGCGAGCGATGCAAGGGATGCACCAGAGGGGGGGAATCCAGTTGAACGGAGGTGAGAGGTGAGGGGCGTGCGAGGGGGTGGAACAGGGGCAGGGAGGGCAGAACGGGAGGATGTGGGTGGGGGGGTGGGGGAGGGGAGTGTGTGTGTGTGTGTGTGTGCGAGAGAAAGAGAGAGAGAGAGAGAGAGAGGGAGAGGGGGGGGGGGAGAAGGGTGGGAGGGGGGGCTGGTGGTGGGGACGGGCTGATGGTGGTAAGAGGGCAGCAGGGATGGGGAGAAGGGAGCGTAACGAGGGGAAAGCAAAGGGCAGGGGGGGAGGAAGGGAGGGGCAGGGAGGGAAGAGGGTGAACGTACAAAGAGGGGAAACGAGGGGCATGGATGGTAGGAAACAAGGGCAGGGGTGCGGGAAATCAAGGGCAGGGAGGGGAGAAGCAATGGGTGCGGGGAGAACAAGGGAGGGGCAGAGGGGGTACAAGGTGATCTCAGGGAGGGAAGAAACGTGGGGCAGGGAGGGGAGAAACCAAAGACAGGGGCATGGGCAGGCGGGGGCAGGGAGGGAGCAAAGGAGAGGCACGGAGAAAGAAAGGGAGGTGCAGGGAGGGGAGAAACCGGGCGTGGGGGGGCGGAAAATGAGGGGCAGGGCGGGGAGGAGGGAGAGGCAGGGAGGGGAGAAGCTGAGCACACGGAGGGGGGAAAGGTGGGGCAGGGAGGTGGGAAGCCAAGGGCAAGTGGAGGAGAGTGGGGGGGCAGGGAGAGGGGGGAGGTGGGGAGCGGAGAAAGGCGGCGAGGGGCAGGGAGGGGAGAAACCAAGCGTAGGGGGGGCGAGAAACGAGGGGCAGGGTGCGGATTGAGGAGGGGCAGGGAGTGGAGTGGGTTAGCGAGGGGAAGGAAGAGGCGTGCAGCAGAGGAGGGGAGGGGGGAGGCGAAGGTAAACGAGGGGAGGGCACGGGCGGGGGAGGAGCGAATGGCGAGCGGTGGGTAACGGCGAGGGGGGCAGGGAGGGTCAAAAGAGGCGGCGAGGGAGCGGGCACGCGGAGGGTAGGGGCGGGGGGAGCGGATGGCATGAGGGGGCAGGGGGGTGTGACTATGAAGGGGGGACCCGGGCAAGGGGTGTGTACCGGTCGGGGCACGGGATTGTCGTGGTACGATCATACCTCGGCTACTACGCCGGATCCCATCAGAACTCCGAAGCTAAGCGCCGGTGGGCGAGAGCAGTACTGGGCTGGGTGACCTCCCGGGAAGTCCTCGTGTTGTACCCATTTATGCCCCTTGCTCGGCACGTGCCGGGGAGGGGCAAGCGGGAAAAACAAAGGACGATTTTAGCGCGTCCGACTTTTTTATTTCCGTTTTTTTGCCCGAACAACGAGTCAGCGGGGTGGGGGGCCCCCGGGGAGGCTTGCCCGCGCGAAGAAACGCCCCGTGCGCACCACCGTTGGGCGGTTGGAAGCCGCACACGGTCGCGGGGGTGGAGAGCGGAAACGGGCAGCCGGGGGAGGGTGGGGGCGGTTGGACGGGAGTGGGGTGTACGGGGGCAGGGGAGTTGAGGGGGCAAGGGGAGGGGCAGCAACGGGCAGGGGCTGGGCCAGCTGAGGGCAAGGAAAAGGGGCGGGCAGAGGGTGAGCAGAGGGGCGAGCGATGCAAGGGATTGCACCAGAGGGGGGGAATCCAGTTGAACGGAGGTGAGAGGTGAGGGGCGTGCGAGGGGGTGGAACAGGGGCAGGGAGGGGCAGAACGGGAGGATGTGGGTGGGGGGTGGGGGAGGGGAGTGTGTGTGTGTGTGTGTGTGCGAGAGAAAGAGAGAGAGAGAGAGAGAGAGGGAGAGGGGGGGGGGGGAGAAGGGTGGGAGGGGGGCTGGTGGTGGGGGACGGGCTGATGGTGGTAAGAGGGCAGCAGGGATGGGGAGAAGGGAGCGTAACGAGGGGAAAGCAAAGGGCAGGGGGGGAGGAAGGGAGGGGCAGGGAGGGAAGAGGGTGAACGTACAAAGAGGGGAAACGAGGGGCATGGATGGTAGGAAACAAGGGCAGGGGTGCGGGAAATCAAGGGCAGGGAGGGGAGAAGCAATGGGTGCGGGGAGAACAAGGGAGGGGCAGAGGGGGTACAAGGTGATCTCAGGGAGGGAAGAAACGTGGGGCAGGGAGGGGAGAAACCAAGACAGGGGCATGGGCAGGCGGGGGCAGGGAGGGAGCAAAGGAGAGGCACGGAGAAAGAAAGGGAGGTGCAGGGAGGGGAGAATAACCGGGCGTGGGGGGGCGGAAAATGAGGGGCAGGGCGGGGAGGAGGGAGAGGCAGGGAGGGGAGAAGCTGAGCACACGGAGGGGGGAAAGGTGGGGCAGGGAGGTGGGAAGCCAAGGGCAAGTGGAGGAGAGTGGGGGGCAGGAGAGAGGGGGGAGGTGGGGAGCGGAGAAAGGCGGCGAGGGGCAGGGAGGGGAGAAACCAAGCGTAGGGGGGCGAGAAACGAGGGGCAGGGTGCGGATGAGGAGGGGCAGGGAGTGGAGTGGGTTAGCGAGGGGAAGGAAGAGGCGTGCAGCAGAGGAGGGGAGGGGGGAGGCGAAGGTAAACGAGGGGAGGGCACGGGGCGGGGAGGAGCGAATGGCGAGCGGTGGGTAACGGCCGAGGGGGGCAGGGAGGGTCAAAAAGAAGGCGGCGAGGGAGCGGGCACGCGGAGGGTAGGGGCGGGGGGAGCGGATTGGCATGAGGGGGCAGGGGGTGTGACTATGAAGGGGGGACCCGGGCAAGGGGTGTGTACCGGTCGGGGCACGGGATTGTCGTGGTACGATCATACCTCGGCTACTACGCCGGATCCATCAGAACTCCGAAGCTAAGCGCCGGTGGGCGAGAGCAAGTAATGGGCTGGGTGACCTCCCGGGAAGGTCCTCGTGTTGATACCCATTTATGCCCTTGCTCGGCACGTGCCGGGGAGGGGGCAAGCGGGAAAAACAAAGGACGTTTTTAGCGCGTCCGACTTTTTTTATTCCGTTTTTTTTTGCCCGAACAACGAGTCAGCGGGTGTGGGGGGCCCCCGGGGAGGGCTTGCCGCGCGAAGAAACGCCCGTGCGCACCACCGTTGGGCGGTTTGGAGCCGCACACGGTCGCGGGGGGGTGGAGAGCCCGTGAAAACGGGCAGCCGGGGGAGGGTGGGGGCGGGTTGGACGGGAGGGGGGTGTACGGGGGGCAGGGGAGTTGAGGGGGGCAAGGGGAGGGGCAGCAACGGGCAGGGGCTGGGCCAGCTGAGGGCAAGGAAAAGGGGCGGGCAGAAGGGTGAGCAGAGGGGCGAGCGATGCAAGGGATGCACCAGAGGGGGGGAATCCAGTTGAACGGAGGTGAGAGGTGAGGGGCGTGCGAGTGGGGTGGAACAGGGGCAGGGAGGGGCAGAACGGGAGGATGTGGGTGGGGGGTGGGGGAGGGGAGTGTGTGTGTGTGGTTGTGTGTGCGAGAGAAAGAGAGAGAGAGAGAGAGAGAGAGAGGGAGAGGGGGGGGGGGAGAAGGGTGGGAGGGGGGGCTGGTGGTGGGGACGGGCTGATGGTGGTAAGAGGGCAGCAGGGATGGGGAGAAGGGAGCGTAACGAGGGAAAGCAAAGGGCAGGGGGGGAGGAAGGGAGGGGCAGGGAGGGAAGAGGGTGAACGTACAAAGAGGGGAAACGAGGGGCATGGATGGTAGGAAACAAGGGCAGGGGTGCGGGAAATCAAGGGCAGGGAGGGGAGAAGCAATGGGTGCGGGGAGAACAAGGGAGGGGCCAGAGGGGGTACAAGGTGATCTCAGGGAGGGAAGAAACGTGGGGCAGGGAGGGGAGAAACCAAAGACAGGGCATGGGCAGGCTGGGGGCAGGGAGGGAGCAAAGGAGAGGCACGGAGAAAGAAAGGGAGGTGCAGGAGGGGAGAAACCGGGCGTGGGGGGGCGGAAAATGAGGGGCAGGGCGGGGAGGAGGGAGATGGCAGGGAGGGGAGAAGCTTGAGCACACGGAGGGGGAAAGGTGGGCAGGGAGGTGGAAGCCAAGGGCAAGTGGAGGAGAGTGGGGGGGCAGGGAGAGGGGGGATGGTGGGGAGCGGAGAAAGGCGGCGAGGGGCAGGGAGGGGAGAAACCAAGCGTAGGTGGGCGAGAAACGAGGGGCAGGGTGCGGATTGAGGAGGGGCAGGGAGTGGAGTGGGTTAGCGAGGGGAAGGAAGAGGCGTGCAGCAGAGGAGGGGAGGGTGGAGGCGAAGGTAAACGAGGGGAGGGCACGGGCGGGGAGGAGCGAATGGCGAGCGGTGGGTAACGGCGAGGGGGGCAGGAGGGTCAAAAGAGGCGGCGAGGGAGCGGG